TAACAATCAAATAATAATCTTCGTGTAAATACCACATACCACCATAAAACAAACAATAAAGAAACAAGAGATAAATCAGGCTCAGTAGAGGTCTTGGCTGACTACGAGGATACTTAAAAACACGAAGTCCCAATAAACGGTTCAGAGTTACCATTGGTGCTATCGCTTCGGTCAAGCTTTTTGGACGCACAAAAAACTTCATAATTCTTTTCTTTTTTGATATGATGTTCTTCGACTAAATGTTAGGTCACTCAGTTTAAATGTTCTTGTTTTTAAATTTCAGTTGATTAGATATTTAAGATATGCAAAGTCAAATAAATGCATAATTAATAATAATATGCAGAAATAGAATAGTTTTTCTCGATTTCCATATTAATTTATAAACATCTAGAAAACTAAAAAACGAGTATTTTGCAGAATTAAACAAAAATTATTAATCTAATTTTAACAAAAAAATTTCTCTTTTGACAAAGTTGATCATTATACGATATTTGATTAATAATTAATTTAATCTCCACGTTTAGTGCATATAGAATTTTTGTAACTTTTTTTTATTTGATATTAAATTAATATCTAGTAATTCACTTGTAATCAATGTGCAGCGTGTTATACTTGACTAATATAAGACGGCCACAAATAGTCAATGTATCAGATAATGTTATGATAGTTACTTTTTCTCTGCATTTTCTTCCTCGATTTCCTATAATTTGTAAATTAATGATCTATCTTTATTGAGCAATTAAGGAGCACATAAAAGCTCATAAGCAATTATCACGAAGAACGCAAGTATATTAAGCGAGCTAATGTGAGCAAACGAGTCACAGACTTTGAAGCGATCTATTACATATCTAGAAGAGAGCCAATTTTTTCTGCTATGCGATAAGTAATTTGTTGTACAAACATTCCGACAGGATTCACTTTTATTACCTTAATGCGTCACACAAAATATCGACCTTAATGGCGGCACTTGTAATAAATATTACAAAAAGATTATGTATTTGATCATTACTAAATGTGCTGATAGTGCACGGGATCAAGATAAAAATATATAAATTAATTTAATAATGAATATATAATTTAATCACAATCTATTACAAAAAAAAATTTATTAAATTTATTAAATTTATTATTTATTAAATTTATTACACAATGTAAGAGATTCAAAAATACATAAGATAATATACGGTTAACTATGCTACTGCAAAAATTTTAATAATATATATAATGATTTTTATTACATATCCAAAGAGAATGTTTTTTTTACATTATGTTGTAATGTATTTTGGAGAATAATTGAATATTTTAGAAGTGGAACTTACATGCAGAAAGATAGAGGATTGTAATAAGCTGATTAAAAATATCATTAAAAAAATATGAGAGAGAATTATATTTTTCTTTACTATAAACTGATAATACAGAAAAAGAGAGAAAAAGAGAAAAACATTAAAAATGCACTATTAGAAAATATGATAATAAGTTGAAAACTATTTTTAAATTCTAAAATTTTTCAATGCTTGCTGCATTTGCCAAAGAGCGCACATACAATTTATTATGAGTATTAATTTATTACTTTCAATGCATATTAAAAATAAAAATAATAAAATAATATTTAATAATAAAAATAACAAAAATAATATTATTAAGTACTTATATTAATTTATTACTTTCAATGCGTAAAACAGAATCTGGTCGACAATCAGTATTTCTTGTTAGACTATCTCTTTGCTGAAAGATAACCAAAAAATTAAATAAGCTCAGACACAAGACCAGTGATAAACGAATAATAAACACTAATAATATTGTTATAAAGCAGAGAATCTGTATGCTTTGCTCATGCTTCTACTTAATTCCTTGATTTTAGATGAACTTGCCTTTATTTCATATAAAGAAAGTGAAATTATCAATTAGTGCCAACCGGATAATAAAAGTATATTATAAAAACACTACACGTTAAAATGAAAGATAAAATTGCTTATATTATTGATTATAAAATCATACATGCCATGCGTGTTTTGAGTGTGCAAAAACAGCATAAAAATCTTTAATCAAACGTGTATTAAAATAAGATTTCATTTTACTCTCCTCATCGTGTCAATTTTCGAATCTATAATGTTGTGTCGCAGACACATTTTGTGAAAATTTAACTCCACTCATCCGTATTTTAAGCACCCTTTTGTGATAAATCTAAGATAGTACTTAATACGTTGCAGAAGTTTATTTAACTGCTCGAATCAGATCTTCGCGTATCTTTACTTTTATTTAGTATAATCAGAACAAGAGCGAATTATAAAATAAAGTATCAATTATTTAATATATAACTATATATATTAATATATAACTTTATTATTAATATATAATATATAACTTTAATATTTTATTTCATAAGAAAATATTATAAATTATAGTAACTTTATGATTTAAAGTAATTTTATAGTTACGATACACTTGTACTATAAATAATTAAAATTTATAATTATTAGAAAAACTTTTATATTTAAATGTGTATTTATATTTTTTTTATTAAATTATTAAATTTATTAAATTATTTATTAAATTATTTTTATATTCAAGAGTTTAAGGGAAAATTTATCTGATACATAATTAAATTATTTATATATTGTTGTATTTAATAAAGCTCTTCATTATAATGTTTGTGTATTCAAGATAAAGTATCTTACCTGATTCAACGTAGAAACAACACTCATATACAGTAAAACGAATAATTTCCGGGGTATAAGAATAATTTTGATATGCATCTATTTTTGTATCTTTTATAAACATTCCATTATAATTGATTATTATAAATATCAGCATAATATCAGCATAATAAATTCGAGCGCAATTGGCATCTAGTGTATTTAAGAGCTTATTTCGAATTTTTTAAATTAAGTAATAAAAGATGTGTTTTAATTAAAAATATTTATAACATATTTTTTTAAGTTAATCATGTTAGATTTGAAAATTATCCCTTAAGATATTACTTTTGTTTTAAAATAATTTTATTTACCTTTTTTTTCAACCAGCCACTCGAGACAAGAAATAACGTGGAAGAGACATTAGAATATTGCTCGATTAAAATACCGAAGATATTTGACTTTTTTATGTGTAGTAGTTAGACATATTTCTATCCAAAATTTCATTAGAACATAATAGCTCACTAACACATCAATTAATATAAATTCTTGATCTTCACATACTTGCTAATTCAAGCTTATCCCAAGGACAAAGTTAATATCGGCGGCATGATCATCTCATCCATACTCTTTGACCGAAACATTTTTGATAATTGTAATAATCGTCGATCTGAATAAATAGCACTTTTGACTGCGAGCGTATGTACACACGCGGCTGAGAAATTATCGAGTAAAACTCGTCATGAATATCGAGGATAGTTAATTAGATGCTTCGCGTGCACTAATACAAATAGCATAATGTTAAACTGTGCAACTTTGATAAGTGATTGATGGTATTATGACCGTGATCGATGGTCAAACAAGTGATGACGACAAGATCCAAAGAATGTTTGCAATGTCTCATAATACTAGCACAATGAATTCGAGCATGTACAATCTAATGTATTTTAGAGTTTATTTCGAAATTTTAAATTGAAAAAGAAATATGTTTTATCTACGTTCCAAAAGATCCGCCCTCATGATTTATATTAGTCCACGAATGCATTGCGTGAGTAGCTTCCACTATTTGTGTAAATAAAATGTTTTCCGGAATTTTTATATTTTTTTATTTTCTTTTATAAAATGTGTCGATATTAATTTCTATGGAAAATAGATAATTAAAGAGAAATTTTGATAAATACTCGCACATACATGTTTCAGAAGATTATGATTATTCTGATCATTATAATTATTTTTCATTTTGAAAGAAAATTTAGCTCGATATTGGTAAATTTATTTCTTACCATTTTCTCACTTTATTCTTATGACAATAATAATTATTGATAAAATTATTGTAAAGTAAATAATGATATATTTAATTAATGACAATAAGCATGAAATAAGCGACTATATTGGACGCTGATCTTGTAATGGATAAATACTCATGAAACCTTGCTGGGGAAATATCATGTTAAGAACTATCTTGTTAATAACTAGGATAATTAAAAATGCCAGTATTATGTATTAATGTAATTGTAAAGTAAAAGTATAATATACAATATAATGTCGCTTATAATAATCACTTTTTTATTACTAAATTATTTTAAAAAAACTTAATATTTTATATCTAGTATATATTATTATTATTAGCCAGTTTATTAGAAATATTTAATTTAATAATTATATATTTATTGTACATACTGTAAAAAGCTTCAAGTTCGAGAAGTATACTTTAATATAAATCTTAATAACACTACCAACATTGTAATAATAAAAGAATAATAAAAATGAAAATGGAATAAAAAACATATAGTATGTAATGACTTGACAAACACATTTCAGACATAAGTATGTTTATACGATGGTATAATATTTTTATCTCTAACAATTTTGATTGGGTTGCAATAAGAAATTAGTTTTAGAAATATTAAACATCTAGAAAGAAAATATGATATGCAAAAACACCTTCAATTATATTACTATAATTAGATCAAATAAAAAATGCTCATCTGTTCAATAAAGTATAAAAAATATACTTATTGAATATCTTACAGATTCTGTTAAGGATAAAAGAGAATTTATTGAATATCTCAAATAAAATAATCTTACATATTATATGTGTGTATGTTTTATTTTAGCATGTATAGATTTCTTTTATATTTATATTATGACATTTACGATATTTAATACACATTAATTCTTTCATAACTTAAATTATAATTTTTTAAATATAATTATTTATATTAATATCTATAATTTCCTCTAAATATATATTATCCTCTAAATATATATTATCTCTAAATATATATTATCTCTAAATATATATATATATATATATATATATATATATATATATATATTTAAGACTTACATATTTTGAATAGTTTTTTAAGATTCTAATAAATTGCTCACTTGTATCATGACAATTAAATAGGTTGTTACAGCTTTTAGTATCTATAAATAAGAATTTATTCTAATATATATTATAATCTATTATATATACATATATATATATACATTATATATATATATATATATATATATATATATATACATAAGTAAGAATTGTATAATATTGAATATTGTTTACAGTATCTATTTTTCATTTATAAATTTTTTACTTTTAATCAGAATGGAATTATAATAGCGGCCTTTTATTTTAAGAAATATTAAAAAACATTAATTTTTAAACACATTTTAACTTTTTTAATTTTTTAAAAACATTAATTTTTTTTAAATATATATATTTTGCTTCCAGGAAATTGTTAAAAATTATAGACAGAATTAGCAATTTAGCTACAACAACTCGATACAAACCATAATTAGAACATGGTTATCCAAAGAAATGCCAAATGCGAAGAATTTTAATGGCCTTTGTAATATTTGAATACTAAATTGTTGAATCTGAAACAATTGTGGACGATAATTAACGCCGTAAATGATGTAATAATTATTATTACAGAATAATCAATGTTATACATATATCACAAACAAACCTCCTCTTGTACATCAGATGCATCTTCGCATCCATAAATCGAGTAAATAATTTCAATAGTTTTATTTCCCTAAATAATATTAGTAAATTCATAAATATTAACAAATATTAATTAAATTTTAATAGAATAATAGAATGCAAAATAGATTACCTTATCGACTGCATGTTTGCAAACGCGACTTAAAAATATAATTTTTAAAATATGAATAGTAACCAACATTATTGTCACAGATGTTTCTTGCAACAAACTGTCTGTAATCTTGTGTTGTCGATTAATATATCGAATGTATAAACTGTAGAGAATTTCGGTGAAACCAATAACAACCACTCCTATATCGCAAGATATCTGTATACCGAAGATAACGCATATTGTCCTTGATACTTTACATAGTTCTAGATGCACCTGTCTAAAGTAAAAAAATATGTAAAAAAATATTCTTATTTAAGAAAACTTTTCAGAAGTCTCTCTCTCTCTCTCCCTCTCTCTCTCTCTCCCTCTCTCACACACACACACACACACACACACACACACACACACACACACACACACACACAAATTTTCATTTCTTGCACAACGTATTTGATTGTGATATTCAAAGTATTTCATAATTAAAAATTATAAATCTTAGGAATTTATTAACAAAATTGGTTATCTGATTTATATTGCTATTTTTACAAAAATTATTTTATAATAATGTACATTATAATTTATATACTTACTTGATTATTTGTAATAGATATTTACTTCCCTGATATTTCGTCATTACAGAATTGTGCTTCTGAGATCGATTTCGAAATTTTCTCTGGAATTGAAGTGGAACATGCAATTTGACTGAATTTTGTTTCTCTAATACAAAAATATTTTTTCTAGACTGCATCTTTTTTTCAGATTGATAGTATTTAGATAATATCTTCATAGGAAACAAACATTGTTGCTCAATATTTATAATTTTAGCACAATCTTGCATTTTAAAAATGCCCAATTTCATCACTTTTGCTGATAAAACTGAATGTTTATATAAGAGTTGATTGACCAAATCAAACTTCCTTTGTAAGCATCTGCGCAACAGTATGTGTTAAATATTATTTCTTTTAGGAAATTTTAATATATGTACTATTTCTTTTCTACTTCTATTAAATTAAATAATGATTCAAGAGTTACATGCAATAGCTAATACGTATTGTAAATCATAAATATACATATATGTGTGTGGGGGGGGGGGCGCGCGTGTGTGTTTCATATAATTAGTCGATATTTAATATAAACCATTACAATTTAATTTTAATCTTAATAATGTTTATAATAAATTATGTTTTGATCTTATAAACAACTGTATGATCTTAATTTTTTACATATTATTATTATCATTATTATGTTATTACATTATTATGAACAATGATTTTAATTTTTCATATATGAGAAAGAAAATATATATTTAATTAAAATTTAAATTCTAAATTGTTTATAGTCAGCTTACATACTTTACAAATATGCAGAATTCGAAAATGACAATACAATCGACAGCAATTCCATATGTATATGTCACTATAGCGCCGATTATTTTATATACATTTGTGTGCGTTCGCATAGCAATGAAAATCACAACACATATAGAGAAGTAGAGTGATAACCAAGTAATCAGTACTCCGATAATTATAAAATATATTCTGTCATAGTTTATCGTCGATCCAAGCTGTCGCAATGTTTCGTCGATCTTGATGATTTTGTTACAGCAAGCTTCAAATCTCTGCACATATACATTTATAAGAGAAACTTTTTTTATGCACATAATTTTTCGAATGATACATTAATCGTGCGAATTAATATTTTTTTTACCCGTGTTTTCATTTACATTGGCTTACCTTCGTATACCACCAGCTTAATAGCAGTTTAACGATGACCAAAACAACAATAATGTAACTCACAAATTTGTAAAGAAAATATTCCAGTCTAAGTAATTTAACAATCAAATAATATTCTTGCTGCAAATACGACGAGCCATTATAATACAAACAATAAAGAAACAAGAGATAAATCAGGCTCAATATAGGTCTTGGCTGACCACGAGGATACTCAAAAATACGAAGTCCGAGTAAACGGTTCAAAGTTACCACTGGTGCTATCACTTCGGTCAAGTTTTTTGGACGTGCATAAAACTTCATAATTCTTTTTTTTTCCTATGATGTTCTTCAATTAAACGTTCGATCACTCAGTTTAAATGTTCTTGTCTTTCAATTTCAATTGATTAGACATCTAAGATATTCAAAATCAGATAAATATATAATTAATAATAACACAATAATATACGGAACTAAAATAGTTTTTCTTGATTTCCGTATTAATTTATAAACATCTAGGAAACTAGAAAACGAGTATGTTACAAAGTTAGACAAAATTATTAATTTAATTTTAATAAAAAAATTTCTCTTTTAACAAAACTAATCATTATACGATATTTGATTAATAATTAGTTTAATCTTCACATTAAGTGAATATAGAATTTATGTAACCTTTTTTATTTGATATTAGATTAATATCTAGTAATTCACTTGTGATCAATGTGCAGCGTGTTATACTTAACTAATATAAGACGGCCACAAATAGTCAATGTGTCAGATAATGTTATGACAGTCACTTTTTTCTGCATTTTCTTCCTCGATTTCCCATAATTTGTAAATTAATGATTTATCTTTATTGAGCAATTAAGGAGCACATAAAAGGTTATGAACAATTATCACAAAGAACGCAAGTGTATTAAACGAGCTAATATGAGCAAACGAGTCACGGACTTTAAAGCAATCTATTATATATCTACTAATCAACTATATCTACTAATTAAGCCCGCGAAATAATAAAGAATTTATTGTACAAATGCCTCCACAAGACTCGCTTTTATTTCTTTAATGTGTCACAAAATACCGTCGAACTCGATGACGTATAATAATTAATGGAAGAAGATTGTGTAATTGGTCGTTATTAAATATTCTGATTTTGCACGAAAAATATCAGGATACAGATATATAAATAAATGAATTATATATTTATTATATGATGGAAAAGATAAAAAATACATTGGGATAGATCGAAATGTGTTGTAATTTTTAATAATAACAATTCTTATTATGAATCCAAAGGGAATTTCTTACATTATACGCTGTTTCTGGAAAAGTAATATTTTAAAAGTGAGACTTATATGTAAAGAAATTGAGGATTGTGATAAGCTAATATATTAACGAGACATAAAAGAAAATTATATATCTTCCCTTATAACATATTTTTTGTTAAATACTACGATACACATCGGATCGCGACTTATATAATCATTCATACATGCTAATTATACATTACAGGTACTAAACATGTTGTATAACATCAGATAATACTACAAAATTATTAATAAAAGATAACAAGTAAAATTATTCAAGATATATGTATATGAAGCATTTATATACATAAAATTAATAGTTATATAAAAAAGGTATCATCTATATAAGTAGTAAATAAAGAAATTAATAAAGATTATCTAATAATTTTTGCTGGATCGATATTTTTAATCGCTTGTCCATGAAGTATATAAAGTAATTTGTTCATATAATGGTCCACTTATATTGCCATTATCACTTATCCACTTTTATACTATCTTTTAATTTCCTTATATGTTTGATGATAGATGAATTCGCATAATAATGTTATCCCTTTATTACATAATGTAAAATGTTGATTTTTGCCAAATTGAAATAATTTAATCTGCTTAACTGGTTATTGTTTTGTTCCTTCATTTCGCAAAAAAAAATTCCATTAATAATTATACCATTAATTTCACTAGTATTCTTTATTTTTGTGTTCATTATATTCTCATTATTTATCCAATAATTCTTGCTTTATTAGATGTTATAAAATGATTATAAAATTATATATATATATAATTTATATGTAAAAATAATCTTATTTATCGTTTACAAAAAAATAGATAAACATTGCAAAGAACTAATCTGTAGAAAAAGAGAGAGAGATTAGAAATATACTCTTAAAAAATATATGTAAGTTATTAGTTGAAAATATTAAAGATTTTTCGAAAAATCGAAGTTTATACAGTTTATGCAGTTATATCATTTTTCGAAATGTTGATTAGTTTTTTATGCTTATTTTGTGAATAGCTATCACCATTAAATATTTTGACAAATTGAAAGAGAGCTAATAGCAATGTAAGAATTTTATTCGTTTAATATAAGTAAGTTTAATATAGTGGTTTAAAGGAGTTTTTAGTTTTAATTTAATATACTGTGCGACAAAAACAAAAAAAATTATAATATATTCGAATTTATAACATGTTGAATGATTGCCACTGCAAAGAGATACGTATTTTAATAATCCATAATTGATCAACGGTGCAGCAGTAAATAATTTTATTGTTTTTAATTTTGTGATTTTATTCATTAAATATAAATTTTATATCAATATATTTGTGGTTGTTTTCGAAACATAAAAAAGATTATAACTTATTTTTATTATCTCTTAAATTTTAAACTAAGAATAATTCTATAAATTTAAATAGCATCTGTTTATATATATATGAAGTATAAAAGTATATACTATCCTATATATATATATATATATATATATATATATTAATAATATTATAATTTATATATATATATATATATATATATATATATATCTTCATCAAAGACAATTATTTTTAATTTTCGTTTGTTTAGAATTCAGCGTAATAAGATAATTTAATGTCTCGCATAACATTTTATATGTATTAACATTTCAAAGGAAAACCTAAACAACGAGCGCTGAATGTTAGAATGTTCTTGAGCGAATAGAGTCTCTCACGCTCCGAGTGTACGTCTCTCCCCGCTCATCTCCGTTTCCCACAGGCTTCCAAAAATCGCAACGAATTATCGTTCAAAACAATAGTCTTGTCATAATCACGAAAGCGATCTGTTCTCTGTTCTCGTTTGACTACAAAGATTGTCAATGTACACGTCTTCCGTGTGATCCATGGCGACAATAAAAATTATATAATCGGCTAACTTCTGCAAATGAATTCTACCTGTGCCAGCCCTATTCGTTTTCCTGCATTCATCTGACCGGCGAATTAAAAATTATATTAAATTTGGTCCCGCGCAAATCGAAGGGCACACGCGATCATCGTTAAAGTTTAATAAATAATATATGTTGTAAAAAGAAATAAATGGCGTAAAAGTAATTTGGATATTTAACTTTTTACAGAAACGAGTTCCTTTTATTCTAATTCATCGGTCTTTTTGCAGACGAGCAATTTCATTCGTAATTAATCAATCAATCTTAGGAAAATCGATCTCTCTGAGCGATCTAGTCGAATCAGTACAATCGCATTTGCAGAGAACCAGGAAACGAGAGATGCAAGGCGACGATCCGTGAAGTTGGTCTCCTCTCATCGGCAATTCCATTCTTTTTCACTTAAGCACGAGCCGTATAATCGACAGCGATCGGATACGCGGCCAGAGTCGAGGGTTGTAGAAGTATTTGGAAGAACACAGAGGGGTAGAAGTCCCATAGGGAGCTGTTCCACTGTTGCAAGGTGGCTCGCTAATCCTCAGGAATCGAAGAGATTCGCCAATATCGACGATAAAAACAGTGCGATCCTGCAGTTTATGTGACTCGTGTAATTTAGCAATGATATTTTGAACGATCGCCAAATATATTAAATGATGTTAAATCATTTTATAGACAATTAAACATGTGCTAATCAATTGGAATTTCTTTAAAATCCAACGAAAAGTGGTTTTGCAGACAAAAATTCGCACAAATACAACTTGATAAGAGCAAGAGCGCACTTGTTTATCGCGTCATACGTTGAAATTCTTCTACAGTATTATATTATAATATTATTAATTCATATTTATTTTCTCTAATTCATATTTATTTTCTCTAAGTCTCTAACCTTTATTTTTCCATTATTTTTTATTATTCTCTTATTGTTCTTGTCACAAAATGAAAATTATATATTTCCGTAGTTCTTTTATTCTTTTTTAGTGCTTTATGTTTTTAAACGTGTTAAAATTTCCTACTTTTATAATATGATCAAGCAAATATTCTTTTTTTAATTTTAGAAAAATGATTGTTCGATTCATTTACAATTGGGATAAATTAATGGAAAAATCATTGGAACTTTCTCAATATTCTTCATCTCCTTTTTAATGTTCTTCATCTCTGATATAGCCATAAGTTCAAGCTTGAAGGACATGATTCAAATAAGCAATATAACAGATCGCCAGTCGAAGAATTTCGATTTTTGAAAGCTTCTTATCCGGTGGCAATGTCGGCAGCAATTTTCGCAATTCTGCGAAGGCCAAGTTGAAAGCTTCCACTCTGACTCTTTCCCTGACGGAATAAATGTTGCTTTAAGCAGCTAGCATTTCACATATTTGCATTTGTACGAAATTTCAATTCTGCGCTCGTTGTAGCCTTACCGTGTGGCATGTGCGGTTCGATACTTCTGTGTGGCTCTTCTTCGTCTGCGTCTTTCCTCCCTCGACAAAGTGCCCGAACCAGGAGCGCTTACCCCGTTGACGGCAATGCCGTGGCCGCCGTTCGCCATAGATACCGTTCTATCCTCGCTTGCAAAATCGCAATTGAAGCTCTTCATGTGCCTCGACTGTGATACGAGAATGTTCCTTTCAAAGAGATTTAGTCTGATCTGTGTCACGATAGATTATCTTCTCACCTTCGCCGCTGTAGATCTCCTTCACAAAATACAGCTATTTGAGATGTAATTTCGCTTTCCATAGCACGTGGCTGTAATTATAGTCGTAATAACATTGATGGGGTACGAAATAGGTAATTAGACAGTAAAATCGATTTTGTTAACGTTGTAAGCATCAGCATGTATTTTGTCACACAACTCGCGACTTTCATTTTAAAAAAACTTATTTGATTAGTTTTTAATTTATATCAATTTCTTGATAATCGATCATTAGCGTATTACTTTCTATTAAAGAAAGGCTGATTTCAAATTTGTTACATAATTTATCATTAAAATTGCGATCATGAATTATATATAATACTAAGTATATGTTTAATTTAAATTATTTGATAGTTATATAGATATTTATAGGTTTATATGTATGTTACATTTTAATCCTTAATGCAATTTTCAAACAAAAAACATTAAAATACATCATGTATATAATTATCAATAGCATAATTAATACTAATTATATAATTAATGATATAAATAATATATTGAATATAATTATTATCGCTAATTGATAATTTTATAGTTTTCCAGTATATAGAAAATTTATATTTTTACAGCAGGGCATATAAATAAATAATAGTCAAACTTATTTCATCAGTAAGACTCTTGGGAATTGCAAAAACTGCGGAAAATGCAGCACAAAAGGGTTTAGTCTAAGAATATTAGGGTTCGGTCGGCGATAATTGGATAGATAAATATTTGTCAAGCATACAATCGTAACTTATGTAACAGAATTATAGCTTCATGAAAAGAAATAAAACCAGAAATAGATAAAATTTAAAAAGTAAAATATATTATATTCAAAATGTTCTATATTTTCTGTATGAAAAAAAGCTATAAATTTTAGAAAATGCCGAATTTTATCGAAACTGTCTTCGAAACTGTCTCGATTTAATGCCGATTTATGAGAAAGATGTTGCATTATTAAGAGAAACGCGGTTCACGCTCTGCATAAATGGCGCGTTCTTTCATCAAGTATTGACGAAAAACAACCCTCGGTTCTGTTCGATCTGATTCTTATGGTAAACCGGCAATTTGTATGAGCGTTTGCTTCTCTCTCTCTTTCTCTTGGATTTTTTTTAAATATTTCAGATTTCTTTAAGATTTCAGGCGACATGTCTTCCTGACGCTTCTTATATTATTTATCATGGTACTACTGTCCAGTCAAATCGATACGATTCTCCACGGATTTTTTTATTTTTACGACTTTACATCATACATTTTTAGAAAAAACACAATTTTCTAGAAAAAGCACTTTGTAATTTTTAGCAAACTTTATATATTAATAATGTATAAATTTTACATACAATTTTCTACATTATATTTATACATAATATCAAAAGATTTATAATCTCATAATAGATAAATGAAAATTTAATTAAGAAAAGATTACATAATAGTAAAAATTTATTTCCAACTAACATTTAATCAGAAATTAAGATAAAGATTTATAGCAATTTAATTCTACTAAATTTTTAAAACGCTGAATTGTGTAGAGAACCTAATTTTATAGAGACAGCACCTCTTGTAATTTTTAAAAAATTTTATACATTATATATAAAAATGTATTTAAAACTTTACATATAATATTTATACATAATATGCAAATATTTATAATCTTACATAACCAAAAATTTAATTAAAAGTAAAGATTACGAAAAGATTATATAATAGTAAAAATTTATTTCTAATTTAATCAAAACAACAAGATTAAGATTTATAGCAGTTTAATTCTAGAAATTTTTTAAAATGATGAATAATACAATAGATTTAATTTTTAATATTTCTTTATAACGTAATAAAATAAAATCTATGTATTATTAAATCATTATCAATTATTCTATATTGTTATGTAATAGTTGATATGTTTTTTAATTTATTTTTACTCACCACAAGCTTCTGGAATAAGACTTTCTGGGATAGACTTTCGAAATCGTCAGTTTCATCCGATTTGAGGCAACATCATTTTTCTCTCACTCATCTCATATTAAATAATCGCGCACATCGAAGTCTTATTTAATCACTTTCTATTAATTTCAGCACGAATCCGCAGATTTTTCAAAACATCCCACTCCGTTACAAAATGGCTCGTTTATTTATCGAATCTGAATCGAATCTGAATTAGATCGATCATTAAACTTATCCGCGGCAATAAGATTGCCTCTGGCAATATCTCGATCTCCCGGCTTCGACGAGATCGTCGGAAGAGACAACGGCAGCATCCCTGTCGGAAAAAGGGAAGGGCGAAGTTTGGTTATACTCGAGCTTGCGAGTAGGGGTTGTTTCATCCCCCGTAACCACGCCCTTGGTCCCAGTGTTGCAGGCTCCTTCGCCCTCCCGTTTTCCCAGCATCCCTGATGAGCACCCCGAACGTTCTCCAATAGACGACCGAGAGATATCCCGACAATCCCGCCCCGACACCTGATGCCATGTCGCCATTCCGCCACATTTCGCAATTTACGTGACAGTATTTTACAGCTTTCCAGATACACCGTTTTATCGATCATTCATTGTTCCATCAGTAAAATGCAAGTTTTTTCTGGAAATTATTATATCCTTTTTTTTGGATACGATAATATTTTGATGCTGAATACATATGAAAGCAAAATACTTTATTGTGTTATTTTTTGTATTAGTTTATCTCGTCTATTTTCTATTATTAAAATCTTTCGTAAAATGTATTAAATTTTAAATATTTATTGTAGATATTTTATTAATTGTAGAAATTGATCTCAATTACAGATAATTCGTATTGTTAATATCTTTAATTGAAGGGTAATTTATTCAATTTATATAATTAAAAACTGTTAACACAATTTTCTTTTGCTACATCAGTGATAAAAGAGATAAATCGAGATATTCAGACAAACATGGAAAAACAGGTACGTTTACAAGAAGTACAAAGTTTAATTAAAAAGATACGATATTATTACTATATAAAGATATGATATTATTACCCATATTAACATGAGAATACAACAATGTATTTAAATTTCTTGCGATTAGAATCATAAATAGAACATTTAGTACATGAGAATATAATATATTGTTATATGTAATCTCACATTTTTCATAAAAAGAATTTCATTCTTTTTTCCTTTATAAGAGTGTGACATTTATGTGATATCTAAAAAGCTCTGTGAAAGCAAAGAGGAAAAATAATAAACCATGAAAAGAGATAGATTCATCATTAGAATAATATAGATTTTTTCGGAGTATCAGGCGGTAGACGAGTCGCATCTGTGCGTTCGACTATAATAATAATAATATAGCATGTTCCATTGCAGAATATTTCTATATAAAATAAAAACCGTTTCACTTGTACTTCATAATACATATATATTTACATGTACAATTCATATCTTTATATTATACGTGTTTATAATGTTTAAAATATTTCGATTTATTGGAATTTGGATTTACTGGAAAAAAATAAAAAAAGGGAAGAAATCAAATCTGTGTTATGGCATATTAATTTTAAGTCTATCTATTTTTATAGAACGTGTATTCTTATGACATTTTGTCTTGTATATATAATGATTTAAAAATTTGATGTCAATATGAAAAAGCCACCCTCGTTTTAAAAGCCACAACTGCGAAAGTTGCAATTATGCAAATTAGTCAATCGAATTTTAATCTACTTTCAAGCCGAACATCAGTGATGTCATGCAATCAACACCTATCTCAGAAATTGCACTCGTTGGGGATTGACGCGTGCAACACAGAGTGCCACAATAAGGAGTCGCGTGCATGTGCACGTGTGGAAATAACCGATTCGTGACACAATCAAAAAACGCAGCATACACCCTATGACATGCGTATTCGACATATCCGATTAATATGTTTTGTGGCCTAAGTGTCATGAGATAGTTCACACCTTGTTACTACGATGACAGTTTCTTTCATACAAATCTTTTGGTTTTTTCCCTTCATCCTTTCTTTTGAAAGAAATTGCACGTCAAATACTAAATATATATAATAATAAATAATAAATAAAAATATTGTAAAACGTTTTATTTTTAGTCTTTAATGTCTTGTTTGATTTATAGCATATTATTATTGCGAATATATAGATAACTTTGTTATTCAATTAACATTAAATATTAAATATATTTTGCACATAAATTGAATTTATACAAACTTGAGAAATTAAAATGTAGACTTATGTGAAGATATAATTTCCGACTTTTTTATAACATTTTAATTATCATAACATTTTTAATATATCACACTGTTTTATTGTGATGATTGTTTTTAAAAATTCTTCAAATTAATCAATTATCAATTATCTTTATGGTAATAATAAGAGATAGCACCTCAACACAATATAAAATTCTATTTTAATTCATTAAATAGTGCAACTTAATAAAAACATAATTCATGTTTCATATAATAAAAAATGTAAAAGATAACGAAGAGCAAAAAATTTACACCTATGCTAATTGAAAAAAGAAATGGAGTAAACGAAGCTATAGAACGGCGGCAGCACAAACAACAGCGGCAATTGAACCTTATAATCGATACTAAATGGTGTAGAACTTACCAAGAGAACATAATGTATTATAGCCTTACCTTCATAAGATTAAACTTTCGAAGTTATAATTCTCTATTTCTCTATTTCCGTATGCTAATAAAAAATTATTTAAACTCACTGGATAACATTTTCTCTCTTTAATTAAAAATTGGAAATTATAAAAAATTATAATTTAAATTAAAATTATTTATAGAAGAAATAAACTTAAACTTCTTACAAAAAAATTTATAAGCTTGACAAATTAATTCTCTATTAACTACTATTAACGATCTTTAAATAAAGTGAGTATTTATAAAAGTGAATCTTTATTTTTATTTTTAAAGTATTTATATCTGCTGACGTGAATATAAATAAAGGAGTGAATATTTATCAAAGAAAATGTTTTCAAGAAAAAATAAAATTATATGAATCAAATTACTCACTCGAAAAAGCTCATCGACATTAAAGAAAGCAAGAATAAACTTTAAGATTTTTTAGAGGATTATGATACATATCGATTTAATGTCTCTTTTAAAATCGAATTTTCAGTCTTTATATCTATAATATATAGTTCTTTTATTAATATCTGTATATTTATAAATATTTTTTATAAATAGATTACATAAATTTTACATAAAATTTTATTCAACACCCAGACAGTTGATCAAATCAACTTAATATGTTTCATCGACAACTTTTTTTATGACTATAATCGCTAAATTAGTGTTATCATTGTCGATCGATGCTGCTTTCGATTGATTCTGTCCTTCAAATTTCTCGATAATTCTCGGTGCCCAGATATGAAAGAATCGACTTCTTTTTTTGATCGTCGAGCTCTCCATGCTCGTCGCATTTCCGCTCTGACTTCGCCATTTAACAGACAATACAATAAAGCCACGAGAGCACCCTAGAAAAATTAATAGTATAAGTATGTGCATACATATATAAATTATGTAAAAAAATAAATTCTTTCATATTACAATAAACAGATACCTGAAAGGATGCAAATAGCTGATCGCAAAAGAGCCAGATCAGTTCGACTCGGTAATCTTTATGATAAGATAATCCCAAAAAGAAAGAATAGTGTATTCCGAAGAGTGGTACCAGAATCATAGTTGATTTTGCCCATCTTCTGTATTAAAAATAAACGAAATATATCTAGTATTGAAAAACTACATATATTTTTACATATATTTTTTCAATTAAATGTTTCAAATATTAAAAAATTATTATTTAAATAAGAATAAGAATTTAAATGGCAACATTGAGTGTTACAAAAAAGTAAATCGAAATTAATATAACTAACTTGTATTTCATTTTTTTCCGTTGTAAATGCACTGATGTCTTCAGTTTCACAAGCAAGACACGCACGATGTTGAGGAACAACAGAAAATTGAACTAAACGAGGGAAATAGCATAGATAATTTTAAATATTTATATAATTCGACATTGTGTAAAATACAATTAACATACCAAAATTGATATGATAATTGGTATTCTTATGATAAGGAATAATAAAGGATTTTTATGCGTGGTCCAGCAGAGAGTATCTTCGATAGTTGCGCGTATTATAATCCATGGTACTACTACCAAAATGGGAAGACCTATTTAACAAAATTAAATTTGAATATAAGATATGATATAATAGAATTCTATATAATAGATTTCGTAATCTTGAATAAAATCTCTAGCTCACCCCAGCCTAACAGAATATATAGAGCTATTGTATTAGTGTCAGCACATAATGCCTTGAAAACTAGATTATGTAGATACAATCCTTCCATTAAGATCCATGAGTAATTTGCTACGATAAAATATTGCCACAGACTTGTGATAGCCTTACAAATCCCCATCTAGCATTTATTGATTAGTAAAAGTTAGAATTATCAACAGAGTTTGAAAAATCAAGAAGCAAGAATAATTATTTCGATACAAATTCGCGATTGGTATGATGTATATAACTTAGTTTATTCAATTGAAAATTACTAAATGTAAACGTGCAAAATGTTAATATAAAAATGAATTAAATAATCGAAAAAAATAATTAATTATATTATTATCGAAATATTAATAATCAATTATATTATTATTAGGGTAATAATAATTAATCAGTATTTTTTACACTGTGTTCGTTGATAAAAGCATTGTTTCCGTCGACAAAAACAACGTTCCAAGCCATTCCAATCCCATCAATAAAAATCCAATCCTTTAGAAGTGCCATAAAAGCTCTCATGATAAAAGATACAAACAAATGCATGTGTAATCTATTTCTGGGATTCCTGAGTTTCCTACATAATGATGTATATGTATTAATAATGAATGGATAACGCGATCTCCCAGTAAAATTGAAAAGAAAATGATAGTGCATTCATCTAAGTGGAGAAACCGCACTTACCTAAGTAAGGAAAAGATTACCATAGCTACGATTAAAGTAATAAACGAAGTACTGTATCCAATTTGCGATACTATCCTGATAATCGGCAACCATTTCTGTCAAAATATATAATAATGATAATAATATATAATGTGCGTTGCACAATCCAATACATTTTATTTTAGAAAAAGAAAATAGTAATATCACATTTGATATTACTACTTATATTCTCTTTTTTTAAATGATATATACTTGTATTAGCATAATAATACAATGTAATTTCCATTCTCAAAATTAATCATACTTGTACATTCTTTTATATGTAAAATATGAAAATATTGTAAAACATCTACATCTTCGTAAATTTATTCATTATTATTATTAAATAGATATATATTGCTGATCAAACTACAACACTATATATATGTATATAAAAGATTGTAATTTTTTAATATGGCCAGCAGAGTAAGTCGGATTTTTATACTTATATCTAATAAATTATGAAATAATTATTACACTTATATCTAATAAATTATGATATTATTTTTAATGAATGTATATGCATGTAAAATTCGTATATGTTAATTCCGAATGACTTGTTAAATCATAGAATTAACGAATTAATAGGTCAATAAAGACATAAGAAAGAAGATAAAAAGAACTTACATTCAGAAGTGAATACTCCGCCGTTTCATGATCCCATCCCGAATAATTCAGCTTCTCAGCACCATTGATCATGTAACGCGTTCTATTCAGCACGCAAAGACTATAATTGCTCCAGAATACGCCGTCCGAGTTCTGGTACCACTCACCGTTCGCCAGACAGACCTTGCTGGCAACCGCCAATGCTCTCAGGTTCTCATTCGCCAGATCGGTGTATCCCATAATCGAGGCAGGTGGACAGGGCAAGGTTGCTGTACTCGGTGCGTTGGTCCGCGACCAGCAGAGCAGATCATCGAAGGTCGCCGGGCATTGACGAACATCCGTTCCATTGCCCTCGTTGACAGTAATATTCGTTTCTGGAAAATTATGATTCTCTTTTCAACAATTTTTATTGATACTGTTGCTAAATGAACTGATTCCGACAGTTTCGATAAAATTTCCGCCAAATATTGACGTATCTATTTTGTGAATATTCTTGAATTAATTAATAAATTTTATTTTATTAATTCGAGAAAGACAACACATTACGATCAAGTGGACCTAATCGAGTGTATATGATGTTATATATATAGGATATGAGTTGTTTGTCATTTCTAAATCTTCTCTTTTATATATATCTGTGAAACATATTTTGTGATTGTAAAGAAATTTTTCAAACTTTAATAACATTGAGAAGATTTAACTAGTAAATATATATGAGACAGCATTTGTTTCAACAAATACGTATCTTAATTTCATTAAGCAGTTGTTCGCACAGAATATAAAGTTAGATTTACCTTCCTTAAGAAGCTGCTCGCATTTAGATTTCTGCTCGATCAAGAAACGCTTTACTTTATCGCCCATTTTAATGCTAAAGAAGCAACATAAATAAATTTGCGTTATTTAAATGTTATTTCTAACTTTTTTCTGACGATTTTAATATAATTCTTTTTCGCCATTTATTTTATTCATGAAAACAAAGAACTACAGTAATCTATACGTCGCATTTGCACAAAATGTGACACATCATATTAGCGCTACGTTATTATTTAAATTAAAGCATTATTATTTAAATTATTATTTAAATTAAATTACGCACATATATTAGTACTTGTATGACACGTAACGCTACAATCAATTAGAGTAAGAATAAGTAAAATATATTATGAAAAAAGATTTTATGAAAAATTATGAAAAAAATTCCAAATATATCAGATCTTTCTCATCTTATCATTATTTTCAATTTTGCATTTTCTTAATAACGTGATAAATTTTATATGCTCATTATAAGAATTTTCGATGCTGTTTGTATAAAACTAGCAATTATAAACACTAATTATAAAAACAACAAATAGAATAAGTCATTTAGAAAGAGTTCTGTTAAAAAGAATTTTAATAGATAGAGTTTTGAATAATCCTAATATTTTAACTTTTTGATAATTTTTCTAAATCTCAAAAGGGATTTATCTCTTATTTTAATAATAAAGCTTGGATCAATTTCAGACAATGATGTTTGTATCATGATAACGAAACTTCTCCGTATTATATTATTGGACTTGAGATAGGATGTAAAATGAAACGACTACTTCCTTGAAAAAAAAATATTTCACCAAACAATATTTCAACCAAACAATAGTGATAAGTTTCTATCGTTTCGATATCATCGAGAAAAACAAGGTACATAATTATAAAAATATAAATCCATTATATAAAATTAAATAATAATCGTAAATTAAATAATAATTGTAAATAATAAATAGTAAAATTATTTGTTATACTATTATGAATAAACTATAATTCTTTGCTGTAACACACTTTATCTTTCCAAATAATAAATAAATAAAACCATTTCTCAGTTTCTTCATGCTATCTCTGAAAATAAATCATTAATCTCTTTTGTATAATAATTAAGAAAACAAGTTAATAATTTCTTTGTAATATAATTCATCATCGTAATTTATATAACATATATTTCCTTTTATCTCGCCTTCAATTTCTATTACGTCGTAATACTTTTTTCATCAAAACTACTTACAATGACAGCTACGCTTTCTACAGGATGCCCACCTACGTGTTCACGCGATCACGGATCTTCTGAAACTTTGGTAAGAGAAAAGACGTCATAAAAATCGGGCGACTGCGCGTTGTGCTATCACACCATGCATGTATATTTTCCGCCCCTTCCGAACCTTCCACTTATGACACATGTGGAAATAAACTTAAGTAAGTATACATATAGGGCGAGTTAATCGCGCGTCTGTCGAGCAAAATATGTCTACACATGAATAAAAAATTTGCAATATTTAATTGCAATTGCATTATAAAATTTATAAATCTATTAACTCTCTTTTGCTTTTAAAATATTTGTATTAAATTATATTTTAATTAACATTTAAGTAATGTATAAGTAATTAATTTAATTTAGTAAATAAAAATGTTACATGAATTAAGCAAGTATAAATTTAATATAATTTCTAAATAAATACAATTTTCTATACAGCTAATAAACCATTGACATAAAACTAGTGATAAAAAATTAGCAATAATTACAGTTTTTTTATTTTTTATCTATGATTTGACATCAACATTTATTCAAGTTAATTCAAAAGAAAGAATATTATATATCTAATGACATCTTAAAAATCGAATTTATTGCATTGTTTTTTTTAACTAATATAGGTTTCATTGTATTATAATTATGTACAAACTTTCTAATATATTTTGTTTTTACAATGCAACAAATATTTACGAAATTTCAATTTTTAATTTTTTTTATCATTTTATTCTATTTTCATCATTCTTTTTACAACGCATATCTTCAGTCGATTTTTTCGTTTATGAATAATATAATATCTATCATGTATTATAAGTATAATGTATTTGTGAGAATATACAAACAAATCACTTACTTGGTAAATATAATCCATCAATAACTAATTTCTGAAAGACTTCTTCGATCATAATTGTCAATATTGGTTCAAAGGCCAAGGCTGATTTGAATTTCTAATCGTATTGTTTGATTTTGTCCTCACTTCCGCATCATAAACTATGTAAAATAAAAGTCATATTACATGAGATGTAATTTTCAAAGATACACTATTCTATCAATATTAATTATTTCCAACTAATAAAAAAGTAAATTTATTAATAAATATTATATTCAATTAATTTATAAAATTATTTAAAAAAATATAATAAAAAAGAAAATATTATTATATTTGTATATTTATATTTGTATATTGATATATATAAATCACAATTCTTGTTGAAAAAAATAAAAAATAGAAGAGATTGCATATATAAGAAAATTGATGACAATGTAAAATACTGCGTTGATACATCTACGTATCAGACAATACGTCTACGATTGATGATGTATCAAATGCATTCAGAGATTTTTCTCTGACGTACTTTCTTATCTTTCTGACTATTACATATATTTTTGAAAAATTTATAATTATACTTTAAAAAGGTCTTTCTCTTTTTCAATAAGAATTCTTTCATTTTTATATTGTTCGTCGTGACAAACTTCTCATTTAATGTATATTATAACAAATGTTTAATAAGGAAATAGGACAATATTAGGGGAATAAAGCGAATAACATGTGACGTATTCAAAATTCATTTTATGTTAAATCCGTGTGATCACACGTCATAACAGAGTATATCTTTCTGGGATCAGTTTGGAGAACATGCACACACACACGCGCATACATACACACACACACAAAATTGTGTCTTATTTACATACATTCATCGTTGCGGACCGAAAAGTCGCATAACATAAGTATACGTACCGTTAATATCACCGTTCTAATCGTCATAAATTTTTTATTTCTTGTTTGTTAAGATCGTAGAACATTTTTGTTACGCATAACGTTTTTTTTATTTATCGAACTCAGTTTCGATCATTGCGATTAAAACGAACACGACATAAGAAATAACCGGAGGAGTAATTCGTGCGCATATAACTGTAATTTTGAAGTCTTTTAATGTCTACGTTATTCATCTTATACTATGACATCAAAAAAAATCACGAATAAAATAATATAATAAAATATTGATATAATAAATATATATATATATATATATATATATATATATTACATTAAATATAACGTAGTAAATGCCATAAAATCATTCAACAAATTAGATGCTATTTTATTAAGCGAAAAGCTTTTATCGTAAATTTTACTAATTAATTGTTATATATTTTATATCGCGTATATTTTAGTATCATAATCAAGGATGATTAACATAGGCATTTAACACCTTTAACATAATTGAAATTGCATATATTATATCTGAAAACGCACAAGAGAATTAGCTCCTCTTACAGCCATCGATATCAATAAGTACAGATATCCCATCATCTTTTTTTCTAAACTTGTATTATATTATTACTTCATATCCCCATCGTTTCGCCTTTACTTACTTATCTAAATTCTATCTATCGATTTACCTAATTATCTAACTAATTCGTCTTTATCTACATATATATCTAAATATTATATGTTGCTCCCTACGTCGTTACGAAATATTTACAAATTTTCGCGTGTTTTAATTCATAGGCCGTGTTGTACTACAGGAAATAAAGGAGACGAATTCCATGTTGCTTCTCTGCCATCATTATTCGCATCATTCAAATCCCATTGAAATTATTATAATCGGGCGAGCTTTTTTGCATGAGTTCTATTAATCGAATTTTTATTATGATTATACGAACATTATATTATGAATGCGGGTTTCGATTAAAAATTGCAATACAGTAACGAAATCTTAAAGATTTAAAAATGCAGATTATATAAAAGAAAAACATGAAATATATATATATATATATATATATATATATATATATATATATAATATAAGCAATATAATTTAATTCCTTTAAACTTTAAAATCTCTCAAATTATCGAGTTAAGGAATAAAGCAATATTTGAAAAGGCTGCAATTAAATTAATTATATTTTTAATTTATGAAAATAATTCTGTGTTTTATAGAAGAATAAAATACTGAAAGAAATATATTAAATGCTGTAAAGTTAAAGAATGTTACAAATTACACAAATTTGACATAGCTAATCTAGAATCTTACATAAATTACCTTTTTCCTAGATTGGAGATATCCTCAAAAACGTATCCTTCGTTCTCCACGCGTGCATAAAAATTATTCGACAATTATATTATACTCTGCCCTGAGTATTTTTGCGTTGAGAGATAAGTAGAAAGTTTGATTAGCCGACAGGTCGACAAATCTCATTGATATCAAATGTTCTCATTATCACCATTTTTAATACAGATCAACCATAAACAAGTACATATACACATACACACATACACGTACGCATATTCTCTTTTTCTCTCTTTCTTTCTATCAACATTCAAATCATGTCAGCATGACGATAATGCTTTCTATTTATACTTTCAATAATATAATTTCGATTTAGAAAGCTATAAATTACACAATATAAAATTTCTCTCTGCCACTTCTCGCAGCTATCATGTAGTCCTTTGTCATTGGTATCCTAAGTAGGTTTCGAATAACGCGTTAATAAACTTTATGCGTGTTGATAACGCACTTGAGGCAACGATGCGTTGTTTTATCCGACATCATTTACCGTTTCAAGGTCTTCACGTTCTTCTCGTTCTAATTGATTAACGAAACATGCTTGTCATTTCTCGATATTAGAACACATCGTACAATTATCTCAATTTGTCTCAATTACACATTATCGTACAGTATAAGATAATTAAATGCTCTCTCTTCATAACAGAGTATCATTCAGAAGTCTAGTTTCATCGAGTTGACAAATAAAGAGCAGTATGAAGAAACAATGATTATATTGTGTTGATTTTTAAAAAGTTCAAGAGCATAAAAAATTTTCATATTTTAATATGGAAAAAAATAGAATTAAGAATAACGCATAATTTCATAATACATTCGTATTAAAATTTCGTTGCAATTTAAAAATAATATATTTCTTCTTGATATGGAATTTATTATCAAAATAAGTGTTTAAACATAGAAAAAAATTAAAAGATCTGCGATATTTTTACATTAACGCAATTGAATTACAATTTGAATTTGAACATCATAATAATTAATAATTGCGAAAGCATTACACTGAAACAATTTTTACATTCTTGACTGCGATTCTTGTTAAGTAGACGCTTATAAAACTAAGCTCGCCAAAGCACTTTTCAAAAGAAATTCAATTGTCCTACGTTATAAATCATGTATTCAAGATAATCATGTATTCAAGATAATACATGTTGATTTAAATTCACAACTTACCTGTCGTCGCTTGTATAATCTTATAGCTCTGGCATATCTATGTGTTTACGCACACACAGAGTGCGTAAATGATGGTTTTTGAATCAATTATCATTCACTATATTGATACTGTCTTCGAAATTGTCTCGTATTTCTTTGACGTTTGTCGCATCTCGCGAATGATGAATATCATTATTCGATAAATTGGATGATTTATCGAGCAGGAACGATTGTCAAGTATGTCGACAGGTTATCGAGAAATTTCGTGAATCACGAATACGCGATGTAATTGCGCGTCGGACGAAATCGATTTCGACAAGGCTTGTGGTAGACATCGTCTTTTCTTACGGTGTCCCAGTTTCATACGATTATCAGTACTGCAGGTACAGCACTCGCGGGACGACTGATTGATAGTTCGCGAATTTCTAACGATCAGAGGTCAGAGACATTTACCGGGGTTCTGGGAACACCAATACGGCCACATGGACTCCGTCTTGATGCCTCTGCTATTCAGAATTTCGATGTGCATGGCCAATCTGGTGTAAACATTTTCATCCGTGGAATAACTATTCGTCGGTAAGTCACTCCTGAAAAAGATTTTCTTCGTAAAAATATTCCTAAAAATGACATTCTTCTATATAATATTATTTACCATAGTCGTTCAGCAAACGCTGACGCCCTGGGCCATAGTCGAGGTCCCAAGGATGATTGTCCAGTTTGCTCGTTCCAGATCGCCGCTTCGCCGCCGAGCACCAGAGGCAGCTGCTGTGGTGGATAATCCTTCCACGGACGATGATTGTAGACGGTTTGCCAGGTACGATATTCGCCGCACGCGGCTTCACCGCTCTCTCGCCACCTGCCAAAGCCGCAGTCCAGATACCATGCGTCTACATGCGAAAGGATTACGCGAAAGCCGTCCTCCAGTAAGTCCGGTGTTTCCGGCCAATTGCTACCACCCCAGGATTGGATGACATGGATCTTCGGATCGAAGTACATCATGATGTATGGTCTTTTGGTCAATGGCGAGCTCCATATAATCACTGCTTTCGGCACTTTATCGTGATTCGCCCGGATCAATCGTTGCAACATCTTCGTCTCGAATTCCGCCCACAGAGCATGATGATCTGTCATGTTCTGCGCCTGCATAGCCAAAGTGATGTTGCCGTACTGTGCCCAACATTCGAGGTTTACCTCATCGCCACCGAGATGCACCACATCGCGCACCTCGGTGAGGTCCAACAGCTCCCGGTACAGACCCTCGAGTATTCGATACGTGTGTTCGTTTATAGGATTCAACTGGCCGCAATTCGGCTCGCCACAATATGACGACCACGGCTGTTGATCCACGCATAATGCCAACTCACCGAAACCATGTTCCGCACCTAGCATCATACACAAAAATGATCTATTTTAGTAAATAAAAATTAATACTAAAAAATGTGACAATTCTAATAATTTTAAAATCATATAGACCTACGTAATATCTCTTTATTTTATGTATTTAGAATTAAGATTTTGCACTTGAACTTACCCCATTGCCACCCAGCGCCAGCATGAGCCGGAGAATCGATCTCGATGATGATTCTGACACCACGTATCCTCGCGTAATCGGTCAGATCCTTCACGTCATCGGGTGTGTAAATCTGATCGCCGCTGTAAGCGCCCCATCTCGCCATCTCCGGAAATTGTGCCGAATCGAAGGGAAAACTCTGAGAGTCAGTAAGATGCCAGTGAAAGGTATTAAGCTTCGTAGCTGCCATACCGTCGATCACTCTCTTCAGCTCCTCGACGGAGAAAAATTGCCTGCCGGTGTCGACTAGGAGGCCGCGATAAGGGAATATGGGTTTGTCCTCGATAGAAGCTCGTGTAAGAACACGAAGAGCACCCTGCTTGCCAGCGGCCTCGTCCCACCAGATCAATTGACTGAGAGTCTCGAGACCGTGTCGCAGCCCGAAATAACTTTTTCCCGTGATTCTGGCCTCCAGGATCTTCCCTTTCGATGCAACTTCCAGCTTGTATGATTCGTCGGTGTCCAGAGATAGAGTGGTGCCCCGTGCGTTATCAGCGCTCAGATATATGATGAATGTATCGATACCGGATCGACTTTTGGCGTTCAATACTTTGATCAGACTTCTGATGTTCCCTGCCATTAAATAAACATCTTTGAGATGTTCCAGGATACGCTTCTCTCCTTGGGTTTATCAACACTCACCAATGAAGACATCCTTCGCTTGCTCCAACAGATCCTTCGTTTCTTGGTCATTCGTATCGATAGTGACGAATTCGATTTGCTGAAGATGCAGGATGACACTGTCATCGCCGAGGACGACATTCCCAGTCGGTCTGGGCCACAATAGACGAGCGTTCCCTCCACAATGCGCGGTGCAGGTCGCCAAGGACGTCCTCGAGGATCTTACTGCTCGCCTCTCGCATCGATTTGCTACACATGCCCAGGACCACGGACTTTGAAACGTCCTACGAGTGTAAAAGTTGAGTTTGTAAGTTGGTCCATTTTACTTGCGTAATATTTTACGTGATATAATGTATATATATGATGCTTGGTAATTTATGTGACACGAAAAATATTGAAAATTTAATATCTCTTACATAAAAGAAATCTATTAATTTCTCTCTAAAAAGAAATAACTTATTTCTTCTCTAAATTTTATTGATCTATCTGTACTTTGTACATGTCATAGATTATCAAGTACTGTATATAGTTATGTTTTTTTTTTAATTATCTAGAGTTTATGCGACATTTGTTTTGTAATCGATATAGAAAGAGTTAAAAATAGATATGTTCAAGGATAGATAAGTTCAAGGAAATATATATAGTAAACAATGTTAATTTCAAGCTCCATTTTGCAGAGTTAAGATGGTTAGGAAATTTAGTTTGTCGCAATAAATGATCATATCTATTTTTATAAACGCCACATTATTTATATATTTATTATATAATTATTTGATATAATTATTGCAATCAATTATATTTCATATTTAATAATTGGCTCAACAATAGCGATAACAGACAATATATAAATGCATAAAATGAAAAATAAAAACAAGGAAAAACTAAATTACAAAATTAAGATTAAAGTTTAATATTATAAACAAATAATTAAGATAAAAAATCACAAGTTAAATTTATATTTTAAAACTATTTCATCAATATGTATAGTATGTACATATATACATAATATATACATATTTATTATATACATATTTATTTTTATTTTAATAAAAAGAAATATATCTTTATAAAAATAATTACCAAAATATTCCATAATCAATTGGAATCAGCACTATTTTATTATTAGATTGTAAGTCGTTTAATAACATGTTAATCAAATAATTTCGTAAATCGAAAGTGGAAAGAAAACGAATCTTTACAATTCTCTCATTTTGACAAAAAATATAAAATCCATCTTCGCAACTCATTTTCTATTCTTTGCCAAACTGATAATATCGTAACTCTGAGAAATGAAAAGCTGCTCATTACAATGGTAAGATGAATAAGAGTACAAAAAGTACCACTGGGATTGTTCGAATTAAATGTTCAGGAAAAGGAAGAGTAGAAGAGAAAAACGATGTTTGCTGATCGAAGCGCAGGAAAATAGTTGGCTAATCATGAACGGGAAAAAGTCTACCCAAAGTTAAAAAAAATGAACGAATGTATCGTTAGAAAATGAATGTTTCGATGAAATTCCAAAGGAAATTGCGAATAAAGCAACGATGATTTTAACTGATTAATAAAACCTTAAATTAGAATTATATACAGAATTGTAAAATTATATTTTATACTAGAAATTGATGCGATTGTCCATGAATAAAATGCAAAAAAAATTTCCTCTCGAAGAAAAATTTCCTTTTCGAAGAATCTTTTCAATCCTTCGCAATTTCATAAACTTGTAGCCAAACTTGCACTGTATTTCAAAAAGCAAAAGCGAGTTGTTTTCAAAATTAAGGCTGGGAAAATCGGGTTCGCGAAGCGGGTCAGGACAGATGCAACACGGTGCGCGAGCAGTATAATCTGCGAAATACGGAAAACAATGGTGCGCAACAATAGTGTACGTTTAGTATGATGGACGTGTTCGGGCAAGTGGATTAAACGAATGAATGTCAGAATGAGGTGCGACGTTGCAAGGAAAACGAGAAGTGCAAGACTAGAGAATATACGAGAGTTCCCACGCGAAAATTCAGAACATTTGGGAATTTGTTCACGAAGCAATCGACGTGTTGTAGGTCGCGCCCGAATAACGTCTTAATTGGGAGAATGATGTCTGATTGGTATCGGGTTAGCACGTGACTGGTTTCGAAAAGAGGAAAAAAAATATAACGAGATATTTATAACCCAAATATAATACATAGCTTAGCTTTTCAAAAATATATCCAATATATTTCAAATACATGTTGATATTTATATAGAAAAGATTCAATAAATATATATAAACAAATAAAGAGAGATATAATATTATTATGGATTTTATCTTACAAAACCTGTAACATTTGAACCTTTTTTTATCGTAAAACATAAATTTTATTTTTCTATAAAACTTCCAATTTAAACGCACTTCTTTTTTTAAAAATTAAAAATGTTTATTTTTATTTTCAATAACAATTCAAAATTAAATGTACATGATATCATTCAATGTGTAACTTGATGAATGATAAAGTTCAACGTATTTTTAAATATCTTTTTTTTTTCAAACCAGACACATCCAAACAGACCAATCGAGGCAAAAGCGGAGATGAATTCGAGCTTAAGGCATCAGAAATACGCGGTACAGCTCGTCTAGCTTAAAATTCCATCCCCAATCAGAAACTGTCCGTTACCTAGACTCTTCCAGATACTCGTAAAGCCGTTCCTCGGGTCCGATGGTGGTTTCATTACCCACCAGGTAATTAACCAAGCCGCGTTGCAAGTCCTCTAGTCTTCTTCGATGCGCGTTGTGATGCGAGAGAGAGTACGAAATAAATTCAAAATAAAAAAAACATGCAATGTGAAAATAATCAAAAGGCATTGGGGATTAAAATATATCGCGAAAAATAAATCTGGCCACGCGTTAGTGAAAATTATAGGAACATAAAAATTAAAAAGAAGAAAGGCACCTTTCGCACATATATGTTTCATTTAGTTATAAATCGGAAATATTTCCAATTTTTCTATAAATTTTCGTAATTTCTTTTCTTCATAAAAAATAATATACATATAAAATCATACATCGAAGCATGAGATAGCGGTGCCCAAAAAAAGTCGCCCGCTTTTCTAAATATAGGCAAATAAATCGACTATTCTAGATATAATTACTCATCCTCAAGAGTGAAACATCAATTACTATTTTTTTATCTGTCAAATCATATGTTTGAGGGAAAATAAATAGAATAAACTGTAATCTTGCCGGAAATTGCTCACCGACGAGTCGCAAACGGCTGCAGCGATGCGAGCGGCGGAGCATGAGCATACATGGCGATCAGCAGGACTCCGGTCATCAGGACGAGGAAGAGGAGAACTCTCCTCATCCATCCGCTGGGCATGCTACCCACCATTCTGGCGAGTCTGTAAATAAACGAAAGGGAAAAAATTATGTGTACGGTTGCCGGAACTCGCGGCTCGAACGAGCGGATTAATTAGATTGAGGCAATCATTTCATCGCAACGTTAGCGATATCTCTCATGTTTAAATCGTTTATCATTTCCTCGTCCATAAACTGATGAATAAAATTATTCGATGAGAAAAGCGCAAATTTCTTCCGCGTTTATTCTCATTTCTTATTAGCATTTAGCGTAACCGATTATTTCAAACATTTTTTATATAATTTCTATATAATTTCAATCGTGCTCTAACGCGTGAAAAAAAGATAAATATATTTAAATTATAGATATTTAAATGTATATTATATAGTCATATTTTCTCTATTTTCTGCTCTATTTTCATTTTAATTAAAGCGATAAATGTAGTCGTTTTTAATGATGGTTAATTAATACGTATTGTGAATTGAAAATTCTTATTTCCGGTCAGATCATGGTTACATTTCAATTTTAACACGAAGACAAGATGATTCACATTTACTAGCAAATGCACAACAAGGATATAGATGCGCATTCCTATTGCGAAATCTTGAGATGGTGACACATGAGAGATAAGGCGTGATTTACGTGGAAAGCGTGTCTGCATAAAGACACAGTGCGGTATATCTCGAGATTAGAGACCTGAAAGGAAATGCTCCTCGCGTATTTCCGGCGATTCTTCTAGCGCGGGAAAACGCGTTGTTCTTTTTCATCGGGCCAAACAACGAGAAAGACAGCGGCGAAAGTGTTTCGGACGTAAATGCACGCGCGTAAAAGCGCTTGCTTTCCCACTTTATGATCTCACGAAGATTTATGGACCTTTGCCAGGCATCGCCTTTCTGATATTATATTACATTTCCGTCGGAAACCCAAGCAGATTTTCATCCCTCGCGATACGATCCGTCGAGACATATCCGATGTTACAGTTCAGTTTCTCGATATAAATACGTTGAGGAAATTTCGTATAAATGCAATATTCGCGATATTTGCGGAAATCGAATTATTTCGCAAATTCACGTTTAATAAGAATATTTTAATGCTAAAGAAAATTTCATGTTAAAATTACATAAAATTAAATATTTTAAATATCTCAATAATTAAATAATAGATTAAATATAATAGATTTATAATAGATATAATATATTATATCTTAGGATTTTACCTTAGGATTATATAATAGATTAAATATATAATAAATATAATACAATGAATGATCGATTATCAGAGAGAGAGAGAGAGAGAGAGAGAGAGAGAGAGAGAGAGAGAGAGAGAGAGAGAGAGAGAGAGAGAGAGAGAGAGAGAGAGAGAGATATTATTCATTTATTAAATATTTTATACATATATTTTAAACACATACATATATATATACATATAGCATATATAAATATTAATTTAATAAATAAATAAATATATATATATATATATATATTTATTAAAATTTAATAAATGAATAATCTCTCTCTTTTCCTTTTTGATAATAAATAATCGATCACTCATTGTATTATGTTCTATTATATTATTTTTCTCTTTATTGAAAAATGCGATCTCATTTTTGTCAGAAAAACACGTTCTATTAACGACTGCTACATTTCTGAGATGACCGAGTGTTTATTTCGACTTCGCATCGTAAAGAGAAGCAGCATCGTCGAGTGTTGTTACTTATCGTGGTAAGTGATGGTGTCTACGGACCACCTGTCGAATTGCACAGAAATACACTTTGGACGAGCCAAGCTCTAAGCTTAGCTAGTTCAGCTCTCAAAATATGAAACGCGAAGACGGTACCGCGGTTCTGATTACTACATAGACAACACTTGGCACCTTGCTAAGGTGCTTAGACCCGGGGATAGGCACTTTAGGTTTGGATGCCGTTGTCCGAAATGAGTCACAATGTTCTACATGCTAATTTATTCCATCGTAATCATAAGCCTACCGTCTGACACGACAGTTATAAGAGAAGCAACACTGGTTTTAACAATTTTCGTGAACTGTTATTTTTAATTCCGAGTACGTATCTGATGTGTTTTGCATTTGGGCAACTCTAATGACATTCATGCACGAAACCAAGACGACTAAGCGAAATAGAACGGTACAAAACTCGAAAAAATCGATCGCAAGTAACGGCAAACTGATCGATATCAAACAACTATACTAAATCAAAAGGCATGACTCAGTAAATATCGTATCCAAAAAGAAAAAAAATGATCATAGAGAGTTTTGGCAAAAATTCTATATATGCTACATATTTTTAAAATGTAAACATTTGTCAGATGGAACTTTTCTTTGTCATAAATAAATAAATCTTTGTATAAATAATTAAGCAGTGAACAAGATAAATAAAAGATAACAAGCAGAATTTTACAATACACAACGAATCATTAAAGATATCAAAGATATTAATATAACTAAAAAGCAGAATTATACACACATGCACATTTTATATATAACAACATCACAGACATATTAAATATATTAAAAAAAATAAAATAATACATATATGTGTATATAAATTTTATGTTTTTCTTTTCCTGTAAAAAGATATAATAAAAATACACTTTAATATAATTGTGCTTAGTGTGTAATTACTTTAATCATAAATTAACATAATTACTTCAATATAACTACAATAAAATGATACAAATAATATTTAATTTTATTATACAATTCACGATAAAATATTAAGATAATAAAAAAGTTATATTAATAGGAATATGTGCTTTTAATCTTTCATAATAGGATTTCTCCTCGTATTATAAATTTCACTTTCTAAAAAACAGACTTGATCGACGATGCGAGAAACTAAACGACATAAGTACACTGTCCATACCACTAGATCACTGTCTACGTCACGTAGATCAACTCCTCGCATAAGACCACAATTTCCACGTCGAGAATCCAATTCGACAGAGATCGTTTGAATTTCGCACGACACTCGGATGAAATACTATACCGTCGTGATACCTATGTGACGACATCGGGAACCACGACGGAGAGATCCAACCGACTGACGATCCAACACCGCACCGCACCAAACCACGTTGTCCGAAATACACCCTCGCGCGAACGGGTGGTTTAACATTACCGCCACGCCGGTGCAAAGGCAGGTATAAAACCTTCTTCCTCTCTTTCTCTCTCGAGTAACGAGGGTGGTGGCGGAAGCGGGACTAACGCGAAAGAAAGAGAGGCGCAGCGACGAGGGTGAGTCGAAAGAGGGTGGTCAAGAGAGTGTGACGCAACGACGCGGACGACGAAGTCGAAGAAGGTGGGAGCGACGGCGGCCTCCGTTGTTCGTGCCTCCGGCACACGTGAACTATACCTAAATGCCGTGCCTGGCCGCGGGTCGCGTGGCGTAGCCAAGCAACGAGCGTGCCATGACCGTCGTCGCCGATAGTCTCCGACGGAACGGTACTAAGGACGGACCGGACGCAGAATTTGCCCGACGCAGGACGGGATCGTCGTCAACGTCTCGCCTCCCCGTGCGCGCGGTCGACGCCGCGCGTCACGCACGCGGCGTCGCACCGTCGTCGTCGTCGTGGTGATCAACTTGGAACGAATGGACACCAGCCAGGATTGTCATCGATCGCCAGAAACGGTACCGCAGGTGTTTAGCGAGCGACCGATCGACCAGCCTCTGTCGTGTACTGAGAAAAAGGTTGGTTTCACTTAGCAAATTGACACTTGTCACAGGGCAAACAGGTATCAAGTGAAATTGGAGGGTGCGATGTAGCTAATACCCGACGGATGGATTTATGTTTTGAAAAATTCTCTAGATTAAGTAGCTCTATATCTAAAAAATATCTGTTCAAAAATTAAAGATGAATTAACTTGAAGAGCTTTCTTAAATAATTGAAGAAAAAAATCAATATTGAATCAATATCTTTAGAAAATTAAATTTAGATTAATTTTTTTATTTGAAAAAGAGATAAATTAGAAAAATTCAACATTGCATTCTTCAATTAATAAAATGCTTTTATTGATTTTATTGGCAAGTAAATGAATTAAAAAATATTAATTTTTTTTTGTTAACTTTGGATTTATTTAGTGAATCAACTAATAGTTTCGTTTTCTCATCGATAATTTTCTCTTTATAAGTTGAAAAAATGCGTTTATTAAAACAAGGATTAAGAAATGTAAAATATTAAACAGGCTGTTTAATAATAGCAACATTTCGTGAGAGCTTCTAGTTCTAAAACAAATTAGCTGATGTAATTAGGTAATAAAACTATAGAATATTTAGATATAATTTCAAGTAAGCGCTTTTCTGTGTTACCTTGAACACCCTACATAAAGATCTCATTTGGCACGCTTAAAGCACTGCTATTAATATTCAAAGGGAAGGGAACCGAAAAATATATTTTCAAAAATTAAAGATGAGAATTAATTTGAAGAGCTTTCTTAAATAATTGAAGAAAAAAATCAATATCTTTAGAAAATTAAATTTAGATTAATTTTTTTATTTGAAAAAAAGATAAATTAGAAAAATTCAACATTGCATTCTTCAATTAATAAAATGCTTTTATTGATTTTATTGGCAAGTAAATGAATTAAGAAATATTAATTTTTTTTGTTAACTTTGGATTTATTTACTGAAACAACTAATAGTTACGTTTTCTCATCGATAATTTTCTCCTTATAAGTTGAAAAAATGCGTTTATTAAAACAAGGATTAAGAAATGTAAAATATTAAACAGGCTGTTTAATAATAGCAACATTTCGAGAGCTTCTAGTCTAAAACAAATTAGCTAATGTAATTAGGTAATAAAACTATAGAATATTTAGATATAATTTCAAGTAAGCGCTTTACTGTGTTACCTTGAACACCCTACATAAAGGTCACATTTGGCACGCTTAAAGCACTGCTATTAATATTCAAAGGGAAGGGAACCGTAAATCACTAATTTAATTACGCTTTAATCGAACGTAAATAATACCTCGAATTTACATCGTTTGATCCGTGTACAAGCTCATAAGAATACCAATATCCGAGGTCAATAATAATTGATATTCGGACATTAAAGATACTCCCTTCTGGCATTAATCGCAAAATGATCGAAATTTCGCATTTTCGTTCTTTAAAAATATTTGCGTATCTTCTCTCTCATAATATCGATAACAAATATATTCGTGAGAAATATTTATTCAGCTACTATATCGCGTACGCGAACGTGACATTGCATAGCAATGATCGTCAGCACTTGTGTGTGCAATGTCGTATATATCTCTCCGCTTCTAAGGACCTTAAATTATTCTCTGTACCTCAGAAGCAACGTGTAATACCATTGATGACGTCCTCACTCTCTCATCCCATCGCAATCGTTAGATTATAAAATGATATGCTGGCGCACGTCTTGCGGCAAGTCATCTTGCCAAGGATCCTCACGTGGCATTAAATCACATGACATTCGTAATCACGACAGCTTGACGGTATTAATTGTCATTATGAAATACATTCAAAAGCGGTTTTAAATACTTGGATAACCATGGAATATAATCGAACCGTCACAAATGAGTATATTATGTATGACATTCGATGTCATGACATCAAATACGGGAGCACAATTAGCACGATATTTCATATCCGGTGGTGTCGGATGCATTAATTATTGTAAAAAACATTTTTAGCAAAAAAAGACAGTAGACTGAATTAATCTGTATTTACAATAATCGCAGAATATAGTATCATTTCGATATTATTTTGTATTCTCATTATTGCTAACAATAATTTTCGATAATCAAGATACTGATAAACATTATGTAAAATATTGTTATTAAAGAGTTAAATTAAATAATCTAAGTATAAGTAAACAAAAATTGGAAAAAAATATGATTAATTAAGGATTATGTACAAGTATATATATATTAAGATTATTAGTAGTAAGTAATAGTATTAAAATAAACATGAGTAATAGTATTAAAATAAACATCTGTGGGGGAATCTAGCTATTTTTTTATCCTCCTCATAAAAAATATAGCTAATAAAAGTGAATCTAAATAAAAAATAAATCTAATATTAAAACAAGCACATACAAAATTAAGAAACGATTTAAGCGAAAAAATTAGAAATGTAAATTTCATTAATGATTAATTTAATATTGAGTCTTAGGTTACCATTTGAAAAATAACTTATTGAATGTATCTACTAAATTTACTGAAATTCTACTTTTCACTAATTGGATTCACTAAAAAATTTAAGATAGTAACTGTATGCTACATGTTCCACAATCAATTAACCGTTTTCATTAGTTTGATTGAAAATCTCGTCGCAATATATTAAATCATTTAAACAAAAGCGTAGGATATATTTTCTTGTTCCATTTTTTTATTGTTCTTGTTATATTTTGGATTAAATTTAGTATTTTGTTTGAACTAATAATTCTGTAAAAAAACAACTTCAAAAGCTTTATTAACGAGTATTTTATTAAATTACTGCCGTTTACAACTCTAATTTTACTTGTTTTGATTTTTTTGTGATTTTATATAAAAATGAGAGTAGTCAACAATAATTTATCATATAAAAGAAATAATTGAAAATTCAGATTTGCTTTGCATGACAATTCGATACGTGAGAGATTCCTTTTTTATCAAATCTTAAAAAGTAAAGAATATAATTTGTGTTTAATGTGCTCCTTATAATGATTATATTTATTCAATAATTACAAAATTAGTTTTCATTTAGTATGTCATCGACCCATAAACTCTTTGATCGCAACAATATATAACCATTTAATTATAATCTTCACTTATTATAATTTGCGGCTTGACTTTCGAAATACACCTTATAATATTGACGACCAATGTTTCAAATCCTCAATTGCGATCGCTATAACCATCATTTTAGCTCTTTTCAATTAATTGAGTTTAACGAGGAAAGCTCCGAGGGCATTATCTTGTGAAGATCGGCTTCAGCCAAGTAGTGAATCGTGCGCGTCAAGCTGAGCCGAGGCGTTCGATACAAAATGGGAAAAAGGCCGACGTGGTTTTGCGTGGTCGAGGGCGAACCCACCTACATCTACAACATCGGTGGAGGCACCCATGTAGCTCTATATATAGAACCCGTAGGTTATATACACCGTATGTTACGTGTCTACGACGCGTCTTTTAATCGATACATGCACGCAATCACGCTCGATGTCATATGTCCATCAGGCTTATTTAAAAGTGGTTTTGTTTGTATCATGTTTTTGCAATTTGAAAGTTTTGTTTTATCTGACTAATTGTAAGATATTATTCAAAAGATGTCGTGTCACGGCTATAAAACATCGCGATAATGATAGTTTTGTCCATAACATGATTTTTGAACCTTTAAAATTTAATTTTGCTTATCTGGTAATTCCAATAGTAGTAAAATATTCAATATAAAGTGAGGAAAAAATTAATAACGCGTTATTATAAAATATATGGTGATGATAATATTTTATTTTATAATTTTCAAGACGTAGGAATTTAATTTTAATTTATAATCAATTTTATTCAATGAGACTTAAGAGGCAAAAAAATTCTGATAATGCTATTATATAATAATAACATAATAATGAACAATGATAGCCACTTTGTGATCTTCTAAATTGAAAATTATGATTTTCTTTAATTGATAAGTTTATTTTAATCAATGAAACGTTGCCTCATGATTGAGAAATGCACAAGTATGATATATCATAATTAAACTTAATTTAGAAAGTCTTCGTGCTAAATTAAAGGTAATCTTATCTTTCTTTCAACTAATCGCTTTAATTAAAGATAATTAAAAGTGACGAAGCAATTACAGTCGGATAGTTCTTACATCTTAAATAATGAAAATAGCGTTAATGAATTTTATTTTCACACATGAAAATCGCAAGACTCATGTTTTTTATATAAATTTTGTATGCAAATAAGAATGCCATTAAATTTGAAAGAATTACTCAAGCAGTCAAGGTAAATGCAATTCCTCACCGTGTTTCTGTAAAATATATTGAAGTTCATTGCACCAATTAAATGCACTGGTGATGTGTTATAGAAGTCAAATTTGCACACGATACGAGTTAACACTAGGTGTGCATAATTTTCGCTACATATCACGTCGGGGAAACTAATTGGAGTACAGCGACATTATGTGACAACACCAATTAGCGAACCGCAAATAGTGTGAACATATGCTTTCCTAATGTGGTTACTTGCAGTCCTCGTTTATTTACATTTCATCCTTGTATCTTGAGAGTGAGTAAAAATTTCGACAATAAGGAGAAAATTAAAAAATATTTCATTTAAATTAAGAACTTTTAATATGTTTTAAAAACTTATACATGTAAAATGTGTTTCATACCTGTATTAAAGAGAAACTTGCACGATATTCTGTTTTTAATAAAGTTTAATTATTACAAAATCGAACGAATTAATGGAACTTCTTAACTAGGAAAAGATAATTTCGAGAACTTGTCGTGCAAAACCGATGATTGCGACGACAGATTTTCTTAACTACTTCCTTCTCATGAAACTTTTTGTAGCTTTGAAAAAATAAATGTTATAAATTTTAAAAAGAACAATTATATATACATATATACATATGAATATATTCAGGATGTCCCAGTTATCTTCCGTCATCTTTCAAAGACAGATTCCTGGGATCTGAAGACGATTTTTCCTCAACGAAAATGAGGCACTAATAATTTTCGAATTATAAGTGATTGGAAATAAGGGGTTTTTCATAAAATAAGCTTTGTAGAAATAAAATATTAACAACACACATTCTTTGATTAATTTTAAATAGAATTTACTTTAGTTGAGTTTTAATTTAAGACTTAATTGCAAAGATATATGATGATAAAAACATGCAAAAAATGATGACCTTCATTGATATTTTCGCTGAGGAAAAATCGTCGTCAAATGATCCCAGGAATCTGTCTTTGAAAGATGACGAAAGATAACTGGGATACCCTCTCTCTCTCTCTCTCTCTCTCTCTGTGTGTGTGTGTGTGTGTGTGTGTGTATACATACGTATATATGAACATATATGGTATATATGAATATGTAAATGTGTGTATGTATATTTGCATTGTAATTAATTTTTTTGTAATAAATCTAATAAACTTCTAATAGAACTTATATTATTTATACCATTAAGATACTCTCCAATATAATTAACTAATACACTTATTAATGCACTAATTATAATATGAAATATCTATGTGATTTTCATTACATTAATTACTAAATTAGATAAATTAGAAAAATAAAGAAAATAAAAAAACTATTATTATTAATTAACTTTAAAATTAAAAACAAATAAATTATTAAAAATTAAAAACTGCAATGTCAAACAATATCTATTATGTGTGTGAAAAGAAATCGATTAATTTTAATTAACAACAAAGCGATTCTTTTTTTACGAATTGTCATCTTGATCATAACATAAATAAAGAATGTGTGTTTAAAGATCGCGACGTTAATATTACGTAAACTGAAGTGTTCTAGATGTTTTAACCAACATCGATTTCGCTATCAGGCGCAGTATCTTTAGAATACAGCGTATTATATAAAAGTATACGATATGATGGCGATAACTGTCACGTCGATATGCCCGATACGAAGAAAAAAAACGAATGATCCGCACGTACATCAACGAATTGAACACGTAACGTGAAAAATATACCGAAACAATTTGGCGAAATTGGAGACGAATGTATCCACGATCGAAGTCTTGATATGCATAAATTTGCATTGTCGCCGATGCGCAGGAACACTCCGGTGAATAATTCGAGAGTTCCACTGGCCTTCGGAAAAGTTGCAAAAGTAAGGACATACAGAAAGAGCTTATATAGCCGTGGCTTTAATGCGGTTAATGTCGCTAAATGTCGCTGGGTCATTACTAAGGGGAAATGGCCCATAAGATACGACAGATTTCATTTATTGTTAGAAGGGGACACCTCGTCACGGTGACTGCTGTCATTGATGGTTTTTACAGTTTCAAAAAGCTATAAAGTACACAAGTATGGAGGAAATTGTGGATAATTAAAAACATTCCTCTTTATTCAAGGCTAATATTTAAATGACGCGAGTGACATATTCTATAAATTATTGAAGCTTTATGTGAAATATCTAATTAATCTAATTAATTTTTTCATTATTACTAAAAAAAACTTGTAAAATTATTTTCTAATTTTTCTCAAAGTTATTTTACAAATATATAATATACAAATATATCCATAAAGATTCAAATCCATATTAACGATGGATTCTATGGATATTGTTGAGAATCTACCTTGGTTGTTGAACGTATTGGAGAGAGGCTTAACTTGAAGAAGTAGATCAAAAGCACGGATGCGTTACGAACGTTCCATGATTAATACAAATTCTCGGCAGATGCCTCAATATTTAGAAAACAACTACCTCTAGTAGCCTTAAGCTTTGCATTTACCGTACGATTAATAATACATAATGATATATGTGCGAATGATATTTACTATCTCTTTCATACATGTATATGTAAATACTCTCGTTATATATTATTATAGATTTAATTATACAACATTCTACAAGAAAAAAAAATTAATACTAATTGAAATCAATTAAAAAATAATCATCAACAATCTGTTATTTGTATTAATAGTGTAAATAATAAAAAGTTATATATGAAAGTCATCTGCGATTTGTATCAAGAAATGTCGATGACCTCGAATGATTATCAAACTGTGAAAATTTCTTTAAAAGACCTAATCAGCAGATGCATATAACAACTGCAAAATACGGTACTATATCGTGAGAGAATATCGCGCTGTAGAGCTGATGTGAGCCAAGGCCGTCGATTAGCAAGAAAGCCCGATTGAAGCGTTCGAATATATGACACTGATACTTCATGAATTAAAAATTAAAAGAAATTGGAGAGAACTCATCATAATAGTTACAAATAGCTTCTAAAAATATACGGAAGAGGTTAGTTCGGAGAAATGTTCTAAAAGTATCACTAATAGAGAGAAAGAATTTACATAAAAAAATATTTGTTTTATATCAATAATTGTGTTGAAAACAATCGAGAATTAAAGATAAATTAAACTGCAGAAATGTAAACCTCTTGCATGTTTCATGGACAGTTAAATATTATTCAGAGGAAATCAATTTTTTTTCCCAGATAAAAAATCGAGATGTAAAAGTAATCATCCGTAAAAATCTATACAAGCATAAAATGTTATTTTTAAATAAAGTATGTTACACAATTGCAAAAAACCTAAATAAAGTTTTAACGTCGGGTCGAATATCGCGTGACATCATGGCCTCCTCAGATAATCAAGCAGGTGCATGGGTGGTTGATTAGGTTAAATGCGCAGCTGAATAGTCGGCGACTCTAGATCCGAATGGGGTAGAAGATAATTTGCCGTAATAATTGTTTAGGTCGATAAGTGCAACAATATTGCTAATATTAACCGTAATTGTATCTATCGAATACTGTTCTAATGAGATATCAATTAGTTTCGCTTCGGGTAGAAATAGTGCGATTATATGAAAATTTTCCTCTCGATTAGATAAATAAGAATGAATAGGAACGTGAATGAATAGGAACATGAATAATATGTATCAAAATATTAATGCAATGATAGATAATTACATGATTACATGATTGCATAATGCAAATCAAAGTACACGATTAAAAATTATTATATGAAAATTTTGATATGTATCATTAGCTTTTTTAGTATATTATCGACAATCAAATAATGGGGGCAAATAATAAAATTACTTAGAATAATTTAATAATATAATATAAAAAAGTATATATATTACGCATTACGCAATTAGATCTCACATCATATCTCTTTCATTAAAATTTATTGTTAATATATAGAAAACAAAAATAATTTGTTTCTTTTATTTAATGGTTTAAGAATTCTTGGGTTATGAATTAATTAAGAGCAAAGTTTCTACTCGTACATCTTATCAAGTAATTATCGTATATCTTTAAGTTAAACATAGTAAAACATAAATTACATAACACGCGTTTGTTCTATTTTACATTGTAGACTTACCTGTAATTCGGGCGGTCTTGCAAACTTCCTCATCTAACGTCTTTCATTTACGCGAATCTGCAACAAACGACATACATTCCCATTGTAAAGTCTGGAGTAATACAATTTCGAGCAGTGATCTCGTCTCTCGAATATATGATGTGCGAATTTTCATGCAGCGCTTCATGCTCACTATTTTTAGTATCAATATCAATCCAATCCATAACATTTTATGCTTGTATAGATTGCTTAAAATTCACTACGAGTTGCAATGATTTTATGAGTTATACCATCTTTTATCTATGCAGTCTCCGCCACACAGACATAAGTTTAATAGCCGTTATTGATTAGTTCGTCGCATAAAAGAACATATGATGTCATCGTACAGCATCGTACAACAGCGTAAACTATACTCATTATCGATTAAAAAAAAATATGTTGAATGAACTCCTTTCCTGATAAAATGACTATGCAATTAATAATGTATTGTAATAACCCAATAATATAGTATCATAAATAAATGTATATAATGTTTAACATATCAAATAAAAATATCTCCAAATTCTGATAAAATTAAATTTATATTATAAACTGCATCGTATACGTAATAAATGCAAATAATGTTTCAATTACTATTTTTTAATTTTGATATTGTCAGCACGTTAATATTTTATAAGGATTATTGTTATCATCTCGCAGATCATTTTAATAAAAATAAATAAATAAGTTATTTAGATAATTATTATATTAATAACGAATAAAATCGCAATTGAATTTTATTAACAATTTATGTATACATGCGAGGCTATAAATATTCCTAGAGTTTTACATCATACATTATCAAATCCGATTGCAACTTCATTAATACGCCAGGCAGAAATGCGGATACCATACCGCTAAGAAACGAAGAAAAGAAACGTATCAGAGTAGCAAAGTGAGGTAAAGACGCGGTCACAAGTTTTCTAGCCTTTCTCTTTATGTGCAGTTTCGCCTCTCACAAATACACGTAAAAGGTATGAAAAATTTGCATCACGTTGTCTTGAGAATATAAGCTAAAAATATTTCCAGCGATTCAATATTTATGTATTTGTTAAAATTAGACGTTGTGATTATAAATCAATTATTAATCGATTTTAAGACAATCTTAAACTTCATCAATGAGGAATATAAATCAATAAATTTTAAGTCTTGCGTTATAATATTGTGTATATATAACTCAAATTTAAATTAAATTAATTAAACAATTTTAATTTATACTAACGTTATATTAGTAACATAATGGAATAATTTATATTAATGAATTTATATTAATATTTGAATTATATATATATATATATATATATATATATATATATATATATATACACATATTATACGTCTATCATATCATAGAATAAATCAAAGATTTGAAATTTATTTAGAGCAAACCTTATTGAAAAAAAAAAACATTTCTTGAAATAAAGTTTGAAGTTTGAAATTTTCTTTTCCTCGATTTATATGCGCATGATCACGTTAAATATCTTAACCGCAGTCTAATAAATTAACACCAAGTGGATTATCCTTGAAATTAACTAACGTATCGGACGGTAAAATGAGTATTTAAAATGAGTATTGATCGCTATCTGAGAGTGGGACGACTCCTAAGGGAATATTCTCTCTGATATATTCTTGATGATATTTACTCTTCCAATTATATCGCAAAATAAACAAATGTAAATAGCATCGAGAAAAATAATATTATATACGTTATTTCATTTCGATTTTGAAATATATTTCCGTTAGCAGAAACTATCTCGTTAATGCGCTTATTCTGAAATTCACAAAGTTTATTCAACGAAATTGAAATTCTTATAAGCAAACAATTAATGAATTGATATTCTGTTATAATATAACAGAAAATAATAATGAAAATTGTGTCAAAATTAATGAATGAATTAAAAACTAAAAATATATATTTCTAGCGGTTTATTATGTTCATGTATTCGTTAAAGCTAGAAAAAAATATATTTTCATCAAGAGTGCATAAATAATAAACTTTAAAAATATTTTTAATTCTTTCATTAATTTTGACATGATTTTCATCATTTTCCTATTAAAGTAATTAATTTTATTAATTTATCCTTTATTTATTTAATAATTGTTCATTATATATATATAACGATTTCTATAGTTTTTTGTTTGATCAAATGATAGCTAATATCTATATCAAATTTCTGATATTCATTCAATCTATCATTTTTCACTTATCGAATCTAGAACTTGTGCGTATTCTTTTCCAAATAGATATTAAATAAATAATTTATTTTTGTTGTGTATATATATATATATATATATATATATATATATATATTCTATTTGCACAACAAAAATAAATTTTTTATTTAATATCTATTTGGAAAAGAATACGCACAAGTACTAGATTCGATATATATATATATATATATATATATATATATATATATATTTGCACAACAAAAATAAATTATTTATTTAATATCTTTTTGGAAAAGAATACGCACAAGTTCTAGATTCGATAAGTGAAAAATGGATAGATTGAATAAATATCAGAAATTTGATATAGATATCAGCTATCATTTGGTCAAACAAGAAACTACAGAAATCGTTTATTTACAGATTGTGATAAGGAAACAAGACGCGTTCTTTCTGACAGAAGACGAGGCTATCGACTGAAATTCGACGTGCTGGAGAAACGATGACGTGCGCGTTTCACGCGCGAGTAAACCTGCCTCCGGAAATCCGTAAAGTCGCGCGATCGCGGAGGAGTTCCTCGCACTACACGTGAGTACAATGAGGAATTCAATTTGGACCATTGGCATTCCGCGTGAATCGCATCGCGACTCGACTTTGCAAAAAAGCGAAATGGGCGAAATTCGCACTGTCGACTTCGCGACACGACGAAATAATGCGACGTCTGTGAGTACAATGAGGAAATTTTATCTACCGCAACAAAAACGCGTGATAAAAGTATCTCTGTTTAACGGTAAACGTACCGTTAAACAAAGACAATAATACAGGTCACGGATTGCGAAGAACATTTATTGAATTGGCACTATTCCAAACCGATTTATTGTTTCTTAGCTGTTAATTTAATGCCAGTTTAAATGTTTATTTGAAGCATTTAAATTAATATTTGCAACATATACACTCATTATTTTTATAAAATGCATAATGTTAATCTTTTTTAATAATTCTTACACAACTGTTATTTTTATATATCGATTTATCTATCATAATTTTATCATTGTTATTTTATATAGGTATAAAAATGTAGATATAAAAATGCACATAATATTTTTAATCAATTTTTCTCTTCGCATTTTAAAAGAAGTTAATTATCACTGTTATCACAATTATATCACTGTTGCATTGACATGAAACATATTCGCAGAAAGATTTAATTTTAAAGAAAAAATGAATAAAATCATATATTTAGTGACAATATACATTTGATTTCATTATTAATTTTGAAAATTAGAGCATGTCTTAAATTCTAAGTTTATTCTAGTTCAATTTAATTTATATATTAAATATTTTATTTATATATCTCAATATTATACATATTATTGCATACGAACACGTGTGATGACACAAGAATGACAGCAATTCTTTGATTTTTTCTATTTTTTTCTTTAAAATTAAATCTTTCTGCGAGCATGTCTCACGTCAATGCAACAGTAATATAATTGACTTCTTTTAAAATGCAAAGAGAAAAATTGATTTAAAAATGTGTATTTTTATACCTACATAAAATAACAATAATAAAATTATGATGGACAAGTCAACATATAAAAATAACAGTTGTATAAGAATTATAAAAGGCAAAAATTATGCATTTTATAAAAATAATGACAATGTATTCCAGATCTGAGGTTCATTTCAGCCGCGAAGATCCCCCCGAGCGATCTAGTCGATCGTAATGTAAAATCGATCGTGCTCGGGGGGAACCGAAGAGAGGAATGCATCCGGCGGGCTTTTTCGACGAGAGGCGTTTCCGGAAACGATAGACTCCTTCTCAGGCCGATCAGCAGCAATCTCGGAGTAGCACGGTTCGAGATTACTCCGCTCTCGATCTTTCAAACTATCCCGACTGATAACTATCAGCAATACTCTCCTTCTCTCTCTTTTAGCAATTACCACATATATCGATCTCGATGCACGAGATTTCTCTGGCAAGCCTAACGAGGCAGGAAGAATTACAACTCTAGAGAGGAAGGAGGAGGGATAATTAAATTCAGTTAATTAGCTGCTATTCGATGCTATTTGCAAAGAACAGGAAGAGATGCGATTAGAAGAGTTTTTATAGGACGAAAATAAAGACATAATGCAGAAGATAGCGGTAATGCAGACCGCGATACACAAAGGCTATAATAATGGCAGCAATGTTGATGCGAGTAACGCCCTGCCAGATTACAACGACTCGTCGTCGACCAGCAAGAGCGGTCGTTTCGACGCGGATCTGCACGGCAACGTTAACCTTCTTCTTGGTAGGTGAGTAACAATCGTGCCGGCCGATGCTAACAGCATGGTTTGGAAAGCAAACGTCATTAAATTAATTCCGAAGATGCCTTCTTATATAAGTCAATTTCATATCTGACAAGCGACCCTAATCTCTCAATATCTTAATATATTATATAGTCTGTATATTAAATTAAATCATTGCACGAAATAAACTTTAAATTGTCTAGATAGCCAATGATTGAAAATTCAATTATTCGAAGGGTGACAGGTTCAATAAATACATTAGAAATAAATTGACTATTGAAAGAACGCAAGATATTTCTTCGCAACAAGTATTATATTATTGTGAAATTGAATTTCATATGAATATAAATAAATAAGTAAATCGTGTATATATGAATATTAATTACATTGATACTATATATTTTTTCTTTTTTTAACATCTTTTAAAATATTAACTATTTGATAAAATATTAATTAAAATATTTGAAATTTCTTTCCGAGAGTATATTTATATTTTGCGAAAAATTAATAATATTGTTAACAATATTCTACAAATTAGAATTGAAGTAGTTGAAAGAGTTCTATTGTCATATTCCATATATATGAAAATAAATATTCATATAGACAAAATTAAATACGTTGTTAAATCTCTGGATAATTAATTTTTATTACAAGTCACTTTGAAAAATCTAAAATAAAAAGGTCTACCATAAATGTTAAATAATTATCGTAATTACCAATGATGTATAGTGCATTGTGTATATATTAAAGAAGAAAAAGATAAAAGTTATTTGATTTTTAAATACTTGTCGCGATAAAACTCTTCGAGCAAACATCGAAAAATGAGAAAGTTGCTATAATACAATAATTGTTCTATATCTCTTAAATTAATACCTATTCTGTCATCTTTCAAATTAACCTTTATTAATATGTTTATATATACGTTTAAAGTATTTTTGCGACATGCAGTTTTATCTAATCGCTGCAGAAAGTTATTTGTCAAAATGTAACAGGTGTTAAAAGTTACGTTTTATATCCATGTTTAATAATTTCCGCTTCCATTGGGAAAAATCGCACGCTCACTTTTTCACTAAGGCAGTCATCTGCCCTTTATAGCAGCCTCGTTTTTCCCCTGGATGCACGGGCACCTTTTTGCACAAAAAGCACCGTCTAAACATCGCCTATATTGGTTCGCTTTTAGCGCCATGATCAGCGCTGTGATCATGATGGTGGTGCTCATATGCTACTGCTGTCACAAGAACGTCCGGAAGCATCGACCACAGGAATATTCGCAGTACTGGAGGGCCGAGCCAGACATTCATAGTCTAGAAGTCTTTACCATGGATGCACATGCCATGGTAAGTGAAAATTTCTAATCGAAAGATTATTTTCATCGTAGATATTGCAAAAATTATCTCCGTTGAAATCATAATCTTTAATATTAAGTTTTTACACAAATATAAAGTGGAAATAAAATCTTTTATTAACTCTAAGAAGATATTAACTATAAATTTTATTAAGCTTTCTCTGCTATAAAATCTGTAGATTAGTTTAAACACTGGTTACGTTAAAAAAATGTATGTATGTGAAGAAATAATTTGAAACATATTAATTTATATGCTCTATATCTCTCTGAGTATATGTGTGCGTGCAGCCTTTTTATATTTTATTCTATCTTATTTTAATTATTGTTTATTATATATCATGGAATTTTTTAAATTCCACGATATATCTGTGCTTAAAAAAATAAAATCAATTCGAAATGCAGCCAGATATAGCGATTTATTATCCGCATACATCTCTGACGTTTGATTCACGGGAAGTCTTCTATTTTCGATATTAAAAATTTTCATAATGAGGTCTCGCTGGACGTTTTCCAAATTTTATCCACATTTACTCCGAAGCATCTCTTCCGAAAATACTTTTCGCTATATCTGGGATACTCTACAATGTTACATGAAGCTACTCTTAAATCATGCCATCTACTCGACATGTGCACCGCGAGTCGCTATTTCCATGTACCGACCTTTTACGCAATCTCTCATAGTCGCTCACCTCTTTGTGGTTGCATACACAATTAAATAAAAATTCGCATATCTCGTAGAAACCACGCCCTCGTGTTATACATATAAACAGGCCGCGAGAACAACGCCTGGAATTGTACACTGCAATGCGACAACGTGCATATTTCGCACCTTCGTCTTGAGAATGTCCTCAAGTTTACAGATGAAATGGAGAAATAAAACACAAAGAAATGGAGAAATAAAACACAAAGAACACAAAAGATAAAATATTACCAGCTTGCATAGTAACATAACTACAAAAAAAATTTTTTTAAATATGTTTTAAATATGTAAAAATTAGAAATTGGTTGATCATTAAAAAATATAATTTTAAAAAAGCATTTAAATATTCATTTTTATTATTATGCGGATGATCTATTAATATATTATTTATTATATTAATATATTATTTAGTTTTAGATTGAATGTTTGTATATCTTATTCTTTATATTTTTATTTTTTCACGTTTTACTCTCTTGCACTTCTAACAATTCCGTCTCTCTCCAGCAGTGTCTCGAGAGATCGACGGGAACTCAAGCCCATCAGGAAGAGGGAGTGTCCACATCTCTTCCGCTGTGTCCCGTGACCTCAGGTCCGCCGCCAGCTTACGAGAGTCTCATCTTCGACCCTCGGGCACTGCCCTCGCCGACCGACAAGAAAGACGAGTCTGACGATCCCGGTAGCATTATCTCGCCCCCGGTGAACAGCCTACCCAGCGAATCGGAGGCCAACAGGATCAACAAGCGAGAAGATGTCCCGAGGGACGATCAGGGTTTGCCTTCCTACGAGGCCGCCCTAAAATTAGAAGCTGACGGCTACGTTTAAGTGCTGGATAAGGATCGAAAACTGCTTCGAACTGCGGATCTTGAATCGTGAAAATTTCCGTCGCCGAGTCACGGATTTCAGAATAAAATACCATGATCGATACCATGGGCGGCTCTGATTGGCTGTGAACGATAGCTGTTGACAGCTGAAGTCATCAATATCGACGCGAAAACATCTGCAAAAGTTACCATTCCGAACGACACAGACAGCTGAGATTGGATTCTTGATTAAAAGAATAGGTTGAGAAACAAAATAGTTAAACTCATTTTCTAACTAGATTTGCCGTCCGAAAATAAGATGCAAGAGATTGTGAGCGCTTGTTTTTGAAAAATTCTGACAAACTTTTTTTATCTCTGTGTTATATTTAAGATGCACAAAAATGCAGAGTGATTTCAATCCAACGGATAAGAAAGAAAGATAAAAAGCAAGAATTCTTTTTGGAAATATAAATAGTATATAATATATGAAAAATGCATGTATAGAGGAAAATCTTACTATAAAGAAAAAAGTTCTAAAAAAAAGTTGAAACATTATTTTTTTCTCATCTTATTGAAAAGTTTCTGAGAAACTCGTAACTAGTAAAATATTACAAAAGATAAGTGCCTGAATTCATTATTTTTTTACGCGTTAAAATGAAAAAAATGAAACAAGATGAAACAAAGCATTGAGGTGAGACAATTTTTCCAAAGTACATACTATTTTTCTTTGTATCAAACAAAACGACACGTAAAATCTTTTCGAATAATTTTTTCGATATAAAATATAATAAAAGAAAATTTTCGTAAAATGTAACATTCCTCGATTTTTCTATTTTTCGATGATCTCTATGATACGTCGATAATATATTAAATGTAGAGCGTGTATGTCGTAGAAATATGCATATTCAATTTTAAATTGCGCCAGAAAAGAATATAGACAAGCGTACGAGACATAAGTCAATATGTATATGAAATATGTACATGTATATGAAAAAACGGTACATAAATTGTGTAGTCAGGCAGTGAAGAGAAAGACCTAATTTCACAGATAATTACATTTTATAGACACTAAGGAGAAGAATTCTTAACGGCATATTTTTCCCCTTAGTCATTAGTTTAAGAGAGCAAGAGAGAACGTATACAAAACGTGTCACCGTTAGATTTCCGTTTGAATAAACAATGCGCATAGCAATAAATGATATTTCGCAGAATAGTGCACGACATCGCGAAGTTTATGTACATTTCGCTGAGAGACTGTTTCAAAACCATATCATTTCACATACACCTTTCCTCTGTATGATAGGGCGAATATGTAAATAAAGATCTATGCATTTTATGTACATTCGATATGCATTTTCAAGCGTGCTGCGGCACGACAATCGCAATGATGATTTATTATTGTACACAGCACGAATATTATGCAGTGAGCGTCATCGATAAATTGGTGCCTATCACGAACGAAATTATGCCGAAATTATTTCGATTTATTTACATTAATATAAAGTTTATTGTGCGAATAAGACTTGCAAATAAGAATTTTTTCTGTCTCCAATTATAACTGCAATAATAATTAATGCAATGTATCATTAACAGGACGCAGATAATGTTGTGTAAATAATACTAATCGCTACGTTTCTCTCGCCTTGTACATATTTTAATAATCGAATCGTGAGATTATTTCATCGGGCTTACTTAATTGCGACAGCAATTAGCCTGCAGATTTGCAAGAGAGAAATGATAACCTTGATATCTAGAGAAAAAAATATTTGCTTGAAAAGGCACTTTATCGAACGAATCGCGTGTTTTACCGAACCGGCTAGCGATAAAATGCGATGCTTTTGCTAAAAGCTATCTTATTTAAGGTACGCGATACGGCAACGCGAAAATTATGCAGTAAAAGCCTTAATTGAGCAGACGAGTTCCATTAGCGTTCACCATTATTCATTAAATTTTTTCTGTGTCAGCGATATTATTTATGTACATTATCATTAAAGATATATAATCTAAAGAGGAACGATCGCTAATGACTTTAATCAATGCTAATCGTTCGAAATTGTCAGTATAGTTTTAAAATAATTGGAATCTACGAAGTATCAATATTATAAAGAATAAGAATCTAGGGAATCCACTTATTTCCAATCTCTTATGCACTGCAAAATTAATTAGTCTCCAATCTACCTTGATATTTTTGCTAAGAGAAAATCATAATAGGTGTTATATCTCAACTCGATTGAAAAATCTGTTGTTAAAAGTTAATGCGAGAAAAGTAGGACATATATATATATTAAAACATGTTTATATGATATCATCTCGATAGGAAATTGACTGATGTACGCGATGAGATCGCAAGGAGGAAACAACACAATACATCATACATGTATATCCGACGATAAATACGGGTAAAATACCACGATATCGACGAAGCGTCGCAAACTATAATTCAACAATGATTGCGCTGTGTCAATGACGATAAATCTAAGAGCGTAGTTACGTGCACGCTATCACATAATCGGTGTGATTCATTAAGTGCACGCGTGCAGGAAAAACAACTAGCATAAACGCAAAGTGTGTTATAAATATATATTTGCCCGAATAAGAAAACAGTTCATATTAGTAAAAATAAAATAAAATAAAGCTTTATATATTTCTCCCTTAAATGGTTCAATGATTCATAAATTTTTCATATGGAGCTTTAAATAACAAGGTAAATAAACTTATTTCCTTTTGTTACCTAAAAATAATTCATAAATATTTTAACAGATACTAAATAAGGCTAATTAAATTAATGTTGATTTGTTATTTTAATAGCACAGTATATTTTCAAGTATTATTTAAAATTAACTCTTTATATATCGTTTAATAATTAATGATCAAAAGAGAAAAATCGTAAAAGTAATTATACTAAAAAAATATATATAAAGTGTGTGAAAGAATCAAGTACAATGCAGACGCGAAGGATAAAATAATACTCGGTATATCTTTTAAAATCAACGTGAAACGGCACCGAGACAACATAAAATCATATATCGTGACGCGAATAATTACAGAAAAGTGCAAATTACGATTTACCCGCGCGTTACTTCGCCGCAGTTTTATCGTAAAACAACCATTTCATCATCGTACATAATAATAATATCCAATCCAAAACCAATATTACGTCATAGCTTACTATTGCACGTAGCGTCAATATCCTTTCATCACGCGATTTATGCGAAAAATGAAACCAAACAAAAAATATGTAATAATTAAAAATAATTTTCGCTCCGCAGCCTGATGATTTGCGAGGATTCTGTGGCAAAATCCGAAATACCTAATTGCTAACGCGATACGCATACGATTCATCTCGGATATATCATAATTAGATTATGTTTACACAGAATAACCCGTGTTTACATTTCCCAAAGGTGTAACGCAGAACCGTGCCAGTTGCTCCGTTATCAATTTAGCTAGTTGCATGACAGCATACACGCTTCCACAGATAAGCCGATATTGTATATAATACTTTTAGTATGCACATATTGCTGCTATGAAAGATATAGCAGAAAGAAAGATAGATGTTTGTAATATAATGCGATAATATAGCAATAACTCAAAATGTATTTTAAATAAAAATTTATATAAAAGCATCAAGTTAATAATAAATAAATTAGAGATTAGAAATAAATTAGTATAAAAAAATTTTTCAAAATAATGCATATCAAGGAAAATGTTAATTCAAAAAACCCGTTAAAATTGGAAGCAATTTTGAAATCAAAAAAATTTAAAGTTTCTTTAAATTTAGTTATTTAAAAAAAGATATTTAAAAATTGTTTTCAATCTTTTTGCAATTTTAAATATTGCATGTAATCAAAGTTATATAAGAACAAAGTGAAGTTGTTAAATAAAATAAATGTTGCGCGTAGAGCTCTCGAAATAAATTTGTCAGTAGAGCGATTGCAGAGTTTATTTTTCTCTCTGAGCTTCATAAAATACACTGTCGGGCAATTTTCCTTCATGGCTCTTCATTAAGTTTCAATCGGCCATTAAATGTATCGGTATTGCTTGATGCACGTATACGTATACATGCATTATTCAACGATAGTTTGGCGATTGTTCCGACAAAAGTAGAATAACTCGTTTCATGCAACGTCACAATATATTGACATCACATATATTGACTCGCAAAACTTTAAGCGTATGAAAAGACAACAGAATCGCGACAAACGTAAAATAATTATCCATGAAGAGATAATAAATAATTATCCATGAAAGAGATAATAGAATACGGAGGTAGACATCAATAACGCGATTTATGTCATCGCCCTCAATTAAAGCAACCTTTACTTTCATGCGTCTAGATTAGTAATAACGAACATGTTTCGCTGACGAACAACCTGTGCTTGTTAACCACATGGCAAATTTATGAAACGATGAACGTTAAAATGTCAAACAAATTGAAATTTTAATTATTGAAATAAAATTGTTTGTTTTATATACAACAGTTGATATAATTTTAAATTTCATTTGATGTTTGTAATACTGCTGTACTTTGTCATGTAAAATACGATGCTTGTCGAAAATGTCATTAAATGTACAAACATATAAACAGTATTCACTTAATATTTCTCAGTTCATATTTTTCATACAAAAGAACATTTCATCTTTTAAAATTATTTATCTGCCAAAGCTTATTAAAATTAATAATTAAATATTGCAAACTAAGAGACAAAATTATGCAAAAGAAAATCTCTCCCAATAATATTAATATTGATCAATAAATATTACTATGCGTATAATAATAAATTATAATTATAATTATGACAAGTTATCATAAACAAGAATTTTATATGGCATACATTATAAGACGACATAATTCTCTTCGAATAAACGAGTAATAATCTGATATAAAGCTGATATTACTCGGATTGATTTTTACGAGTATACTAGTATCCATGTCACGAGCCAAATTGTTTCAATGACCGTCGACTGCACGAGGAATAATATATGTGATAAGTAGTCCACGATGTGATAAGTAGTGTTACCATATGCCATGTACAAATGTCTGTTATCATTTTTGTCACTGACATTAATGCGTAACGATGAAATATAACGTATTAAAGTAATAAGATTCATTACAATTTAATATGATATTATTTAATATATGTAGTTCTTTCTTAGTCATTGGAGAAAAAAATTATCAACAAATATTTTGAATGCGCAAGGATAGGCAGCGGAACGAAGAAATCTGCCAGATTTGCAAGACTAATAAAAAAGCAAAACTAATAAAATAAATGATGGCAAAAATACAGATGATGGAAAATACAAATAATAATAAATAAATATAAAATAAACTTAATAAGTGATGTTGTTTAAATAATTTTTATCATTGACAATCAATTTTTGTTAGAATTTATTTTAATCTTGAGAGAAAATTGGACTGTTTCTTTAAGTTATTATGTATTTATCATCTGTATATTATGTATTATTATGTATTTCTCAAAAATTATTTTTTAAAAGAGATAAAGAAAAACTAAAGAAAATCAATATATATATATATATATATATATATATATATATATAATACTTTACAATTTAAATTATATTTATTACATATTAATTTAGATATATATTTTAATTGTATATTTTAATTTAAATATTATTTTTTCAAAAATTATTATTAAAATATATAATTAAATATAAAAAGAAGAGAAAGAGAGAAAACAAAGAGAGGAAAAAATAAATGAACAGAAGATATAATTAATTATATCGTAATATCATTATATCATAATATAATTATATCATCAATAATTAATTATATCATATAAAATCATAAATTATAATTATAAACATAATTATATGTGCATTTAGAATTATACGTTTCAGAAGACATGGTTCGTTGATCTTATACGTATCTAAACAATCACGGATTAGCTTGTTTACTAAAAATATGGCAAATGTATTTACAAGTTTACATATATATATAGATCATAAAATGAGTTTGACAGTCTTCCGCTGTAGTTTGATACCATTCGCTTAATAGGATATTTTGAACTTAAATGTCTTCTTTTAAGCTCACAACACATGTTTCTCACTTATGTGCATTCGCGCGAATGTATGTGTATTTACACGTCATGCACACTTAAGCACATCGTAAAGATTACGGAGTTTTTTTCATCGTTATATAAGATGTATAAAGTTATTCATTAAATGATATTTTTGCATCTGGAAATTGTCAGAGATTATAATTATTAAGAGATTAAATTGTAGAGATTATAATTATTATAAATTATATAACATTATAATAACATTCAATAATAAAATTTATAAGCGCTTTTTACTTTTTTTACGTTATTACAATTTATACATGTGCATACGATATATAAAATAGTGACAATTTTTATTTTTATAATATATATATTATATATATATATATATATATATATATATATATACATATATATATATATATATATATATATATATAGCATTCTATTATTCGAATTTTAAATTTTAAACTTCAGTTAACCTGGCATTTCTATTATGAGAAATTCGAATGTATGATATAATTAAGTATTAATTTAATTATGTCATATATATTCGAGTGATATAATTAGATTGCCAATTTGTTATTTCTAAATTCCGAATTTAAACTTTTATTAATTTCTCTTTTTTTTCTCTCTTTTTATCTTAATTTTTGGAAAGTTTAAATATTCAAAGTTTAAATATTCAGCATTGAGAGAAATCATTACTAGAAACCAGATAAACTAATGTGTAATATTAAAATTTATATCTATATTTTTAATACTAATTTCATACTAGTTAGAAATAGTGGAAATTCAAGATTCGAAAAATAAATTAATAATAAATTAGCATTTAATTATGTCATAAATGTAAATTTTGTCATAATAGAAATATAAATTAGTATATTAATGAATTTTAATACGTTCAAATAAGTATTTTAATCATATCTACTTAAATCAGTTTATGGAAAAAAGGATAGAAGATAAAAAAATTAATATCTCTCTTATCTTTAAAAATGATCGAATAAATTGATAATTAAATATTCATATACATAATTTTCGATGTAATCATCGAAAATTTTTTCGATGTAATCATCAAATAATTATATTTCTGATGTCACATTCAATTAACACATTTTCAACAATTCGTGTAACTTTACATTTTTTTAATAAGTGCAAAGATACATTTGCTCTTCAATATTTACATGAATTATTTCACCATCTTATCAAAACGCAAACATAATATATCTCTGCTTATGTAATATCGTCTACAAATATAATCTTTGATGATAACAAAAAAAATTATGACATCGATGAATTGTCAATAATTGGAACTTGATTTAAACATTCATAGAAAATTAATACTTAATCTGTATTTACTCCTATCGTGAAAATAATTTTTTCAACCGATAAATTCAACATCTCAAATATAATAAAACGTAATAAATGTTGTAATAAAAACAGCAATTATATGTAAAACCGTATATCGCAAACACATAAACAGAAAACGTAACAGAACGATATATTATAACGATATGTTATAACAACTTCGATAATAAAGTAATACTTCATTGAACTATTGTAATCGCGTATGCAAAGAAACGTATGTGCGATCATAACGCCAGCACGACGAAGGTATTATCTATAAATTATTAGTGAGATGTTTTATCTATTATATTGATATAGTACGAATAAATCGTGGATCGATAGATTTATCTGGAAAATATGGCCGATTAAATTCTATCCCACGGCGAATTGATAATGTTATCGCGACAAGTACATAATTCACATATTTTGCGATAATTTGACCATCGCATTGAAATTTTGCCATTCAATGATATTGTAACTGTCCCGTGATGAAATTTCAAAGAAAATTAATTACGCAAGAATGATTGATAAAAAGATTGATATACATTTTGTAAATAAATACCTACTGCCTTTGTATGATATATAACAAACGTTACAATTTAGTCAATATTTTTTATCTGGAATATCATTTTAAAATATATTATCGTCAGAAGAGAAATGTAGGTGTAAAAATACTCATAAATATAGACAATATTTTGAGAACGGATTCTTTAATAAAAAAGAATCCGTTTTAAGAATCTTTTTTAAGCTCTTCAATCTTCATACGTATTTTAATAAATTTTAAATAAAAATTTAATAAATGTTTTTAAAAAAAGAATGATATTTGATTGTTTTTTTTTTTGCGCATTTACATTAAATCTTTAAAATTTTTAAAAATATATATTTAAAGAAAAAGTCCAAGATGCAAAAGGATTATAGGAAAAGCTTCAAAAAAATACCAATAATGTTCTATAACGTTCTATAATGATAAATAGTCACGTAGTTATTATTATCGCCTTATCGGATTAATCGCCTTAATAGAAGAACAGGGAAAATTGACAGTTCGCTGGATCACGGTCGCACTTATTTACATAGAGATTAAAATGATTAAATACCCGCACCGTTTGGCTTCCATTACAAGCTGTCCTCGCGATCGAGCTGACCTTACACAACTTAAACACTGCTTTCATTTAGGATCGCTTCAGGATCGATTTCACCTTGAATTGAAAAGCGTACGCATGGGTGCGAAACGTATGCTTCCAATCAAGTGTGCACGCGATTCTTCCGAAACATGTAATTTTTAACATATTCGAAAGATTCAAGCACTACTTTATGCGCTTATAATTTGTAAGTATATGCTAAAGGTAACTTTATTTTAATATAATCCAATAAAAAATAAATCAATCTCTTCTTGGTAAAAATATATGAGAGATAACTTATTTTTAAAAGAGTAAATTATTTTTAAAAGGCGACTGCAAAAAAAAATTTTAATGAAAAAAATTTTATTTTTGAATTAAAAATTTCTATTTTTCAATTGTATTTTCTAATTTTTGAATTTTATTTTGACTTGAATCTTGATTTAAAACATAGTTATTTAACTCGCAAGAATTCATTATATATGTGAATCTTCGATTTTTGGAATTTTGAGAACTATAAGAAAATATAACAGATAAAAAGAAAAATTATCCATATTCAACAAGGCATTCTATTCAGGCGTCCTGAACACTTATTACGTAATATTACGGGATGAGAAAGCAAAAGTTTGTAGAATGCAATTAAATAGTCTTATTAAGCAGTCTTATTATTTCAATTGAAAATTCAAATTTTATATATCACTCCATTATTTAAATGTTATGATCTCATTTTCAAAGAGGACTTTACTTTTTAATTAGAGATTTAAATTATCAAGACATTTTTAATAACGAAAAAATTCATCAAATTTTAAGTTTGTAAGTATAATTCGAAAATCCATTGTTAAAAATGGAGACCGCAATTTCGATGATATTTTGTGTCTTAATTATTTCATAATACTTCTAGTCTAGATTTATTCACGAGTGAGGGTATACATTTCCGACGAGTTGCGCACGCGAGGTGCATACGCCACGATGCATCACGAACGCACGGTATGGAGCGAATGTAACGATCTGGGCGGCGAGAATGGAAAGGCGAACGGCAGATCGAACGCCAAAGATTCACATATATATATATATATATATATATATATATATATATATATATGTGTGTGTGTGTAAAATGCATCCGATTAGGTGACTTTTCGAGGATAAATTTGTTAGTAAATTTTAAAAAATAATACTTTCAAGAAACTTTTTTAGCATCTTTAACAAAGTATAAGTAAGCTTAAGTTAACAAATTCCTCAAACTATGGCATCTACTTCAGAGATAAGAAAAAGATTAAAAATTAAAATATATTTAGACATGTCATACATATAGAGAGAAAAAGGCTCTCTTTAAGTTTAGAAATATCAAATTATTATGCTGTATTACTTTCTGATATTAATTAATTATTGATATATATAATAATAGAACGACAACGTTTTTTTTTCAAATTCTAATGTCAAGTTTGTATATACGAGATCTATTCTCTTCAGGCATTTGACAGAAAAACATTATCAAAATAAAGACGTGCGCGTACGAACATTTTTCGTCACTTGTTGACATGTCCGTAAACTGAGGAAAGTAATAATAAATTCGGTTGGATATATTAAAAACTGTCGTATAAAAATTTACAATAACAAGTAAAATAATTAATATTTTTACGAATTATTATTATCATTGTATTATTATCGTTTGTATTGAATAATAATATACATATACTGATTTGTATTGAATAATAATATATACTTTAATAATAATAATAACTTGTAGTATTAATTATCGTATTATTTTTTTAATTATACTATTGTAAATTTGACAGTCATTCATATACGTCAGTGTACGCTAATGCATCCAAAAGAATTCGTTAGAACTAACGCACATTGTATTTAATCAGTAAACTATCTGTACATATTGATAAAGCACAGTATCTTTCTTTTTTACTCAATCATTTATTTACTTATCAACTCGATATATGCATCATGTCGACTAGATGACGTTTATCGACAAAATGCTGAAGGCAATATTACACATATACAACGACGTTTAAATATTCGGTAAACGATCGGGCATCCGGTTCGCACACGAAAGCCGGCTTTCAATTATGATAATAAGATACTTTCGGAGCGCGCATAAACACGCGATCCTGCTGAGGATGCAGAAACAAAGGCGATCGGGCGCGATTTTCTAGATCGCCGCGGGTCGCGAATCACGGGAGGAAACGAACGGGAAAGGAAAGCGGAGCTGGACCAAGCTACACCGTATATCAACTTTACTCACCCTAACCTTCCAGCGTGATGGTCCTTCGGGATGAGCGGCGTGATGCCTCGTCCCTCTGATCACACGGAGATGAAGACCCGCGTCCTTGCACGCGCGCGATGCGGGATGCACGTAGAGGATCACGCACGAGTTACGCGGCGGCGGAGGCATCAATGGATAGTAGGAGAGACGCGTGAGTAACGGTATGTCTTAGCCATGTCGGGAGAGGATCGACATAGTGGGAGCGAGGGAGGGAGGGAGGGAGGGGGATGGAAGGGAGAGAGACAAGATGAGAGTAGAGAGGGAGGGGGGACACGATTTAACGCGCGCACGCACCGTGTCAATTCGAAGAAACACCGCCTGAACTCCGGTATCCCCGTTATCGTCGTGATCGGCGTCGACTCCGGTTCACTCTCTCCCATCGACGACATGTAGCGAGATATATGAGAGAGAAACGAAATATACCTCTCCCCGCTCGTATATCACGTCACATCTCACGTAGATACCGAACCGTACTGCGCATAGTGTCGCCTCGGCGCCGACAGCACCGCGAACGGCGTCGATGGCGCCATCTTGCGTCAGCTGGGTGGAAGCCGCGGGCGGAGACTCGAGCGACCGGTAAGTGTCGCAATCGATAACCTCGTTTGATAACGCGGAAAGTACACAGTTGCGACGTCATTGGTGCTCGCTAATTTAGATGGCGATAAAATGCAGGAATGACAGCGCGGTAGTGACAGCTCTGATTATTTCGATTCCCTGACGGAGCTTGCTTGTCAAACGAAAATTCGCTCCGGCTCCCTCGTATCTGTTATCGTCGGTTTGTTACGCACGATCGTTATTCCGGCGTGCGGCAGGAAATATGATAATTACCCGTATAATTTAGACCGCGCCGTTTGATAATATAACATGCTGTTAATATATGATAAGCTGCGCACGTCTGCAGACTGCTTTAACGTAAAACTCGCCGGGCTAATAATCGTCAACGGATCGCAAAGGGATTCACGATTGCGAGGAAGCGCTAAAAGTGATACATGTGTCATAGAATAATTTAACAATATCTCTGCTTGGCCTCTACAAGTGTTTCATTTTGTTTTCACGAGTGCTAAAAACCAAGTACGAATTCTGCTTCATTAGTTCTATTATTGACATTGATCTTTTTCTAACACGATGCCTCTTTCGTTTTTCTCTACGTATATTACGTTTTTGTCAATTTTGATTAAAAATATTCGTGAATACTTCAATAAAAATCTATGTTTGTATCTTACAATTTATATTATATTGTATTTATTTTTTGTCAGCGAACATACACTGAGTCATGTTAATTCTTATTAAGATTTTTGTCAATTTTAATTAAAAATACTAATAAATAATTGAATATAAATAATTTGACAAAAATCCATGTGTTTATATTTTATAATTAATATTATACTTTACATTTATTTTTTGTCGTTAATATATGTGCTGAAACATTAGTTCTTATATTATAATTTGAAATTTTATATATTTTTTCATTATTATTACTCGAAATATATATATCAATATAGTACATTATTTTAGAAATACAAATAAATATAAAAATAATATTTTAATATCTCATATAATGTAAGAGAAGAAGAGAATGTACACTTATATACTACTTTAATTTCTTTCATACAGCTAATATGACTGGAATATATCACTTGGGATTATATTTATTGCTATTGGAAAGTTGCATTGGCAGTTATCCCAGATGGGACATGCAACTGCTGTGCTCGGATTTATATCCGCGAGTTTTCACAAGTTATTTACCTCGTGGCAATTTAACCGGTGGAACTTATACACAACAAATTCACTTGTCCAATATACAGGACTGTGTTACGGCCTGTTGTAAGAAACATCTGTGTAATGTAGCATTCTTGCATAATGGTACATGTTATCATGTAGAATGTGATAATTCCATGGTGTGTGTACCATTGTACAGACCAGAATTAGCAAACGATAATCCACCAAGCATGGTACTGGTTAGACCTGTGGAGAATAACAAAATGTGGAGTGATTTCTTAGATCAAGTTAATGATGACACTATTGGGTAAGTTTCAATATTAAGCAGATAAAAGTATATACTTAGCATTTAAAAATTAGAGAATAATTATTTGCTTCTCTTCTCTAAATATTATGATGATTCCTTTCTTTAATATATTGCTACTCATGTGACCCATATTTAGGACACTGAGTACAGATGGCACAGAACAGGATCAAATGTTATTTAATGAAGCAAACAAAATCAGTTGTATAGATCAATCAGGTTGTCTAGATAATGAAATTTGTGTAAAACATGAAGAGACTGATGTTGGAACTTGTCAATGTCCTTTAGGCTTTAAACGAAACATTGCTGGTATGTATTTTATTTAATTACTTATGCGATTTTATAAAATATATATTTTTTAATTTTTTTATTACATATACTTACATACATGTTTTTATTATATCTAAAATAAAATGTTCTTTAATCTTGTATCTATTTTATCATATTTAGAAAGAATTAATGAATTTGAAATTAGATTTATATTTTTAATTTCTTTATTGTTATAGGTACTTGTATAATGATGCATGAAATAGAAACTGCTGAAATTGGTGTAACTCCAGAAGCAAAAGCTCAAACTATAAAAGATACTACTACATCAATTAAACCAACTATGAAACAATTATTAGTCTCAGCAGTTTCTAAAGAAGTAAGATTACCAGAAAATGAAGTTACATTGTCCGCATATACAGTTCCTGCTGAACGGGGAAACCAACATTATAATTATGCTTGGAGTTTGCTTAGTCAACCAGAAGGACATACTGGAACAATGACAGATCAGAATCGTATTACTGTTAAATTAAGTAATTTATCAGAAGGCTTATATACATTTAAAGTAGCTGTAAGCAGTCCAAATGCCTATGGAGAAGCTTATGCCAATGTCAGTGTTTTACCTCGTGAGTATTTCCTTTGTCTTTTCTTTTACTACAAGAATACATAATATCAATTATTATTCGAATTTTTATTTTTTAGCAAAACGTATCAACCAAGCACCTATTGCTATAATTACTCCTGCTTCTCAAATTGTAAAACTACCAAATACAGGCGCGGTTTTAGATGGTTCGAATAGTAAGGATGATGATCGTGTCATCTCTTATCATTGGGAATTGCAACAAGGTCCAATTGGATATCAGCCCAACCTTGTAGATACACCTACGCTTCAACTTAATAATCTTATTGCTGGCAATTATACGTTCAAGTTAGTACATGGTATAATTGTTCTATTATATTATATATAGTATAATTGTTCTATTATATTATATTATATATACAATATTATATTATGATTGTGAACGATTATATAACAAACAACAGTTATTTTATTTTTCTATATTCTTAAATTAAAGAAATTAATATTCTTTATAAATCTTAATATTAATATTATTATATTAAAATTAAGTTATTATATTAATATTAATATTAAGTTATATATATATATATATATATATATATATATATATTAATATTAATATTAAGATTAATATTTATTTTTCAGATTAACAGTCGAAGATTCAGATCATGTTACAAATTCGACAAGTGCCAATATAACTGTTTTGAAAGTGACCGACTATCCTCCTAGTGCAAATGCAGGACAAAATGTTATCATTTATCTACCTCAAAATACACTGACGCTTAATGGTAATCTAAGTACCGACGATCGAGGAATAGCCAGTTGGGAATGGACGAAAAGTCCGTCCGATCAGAATAAAGCAGTGGATATGCAAAACACAAGAACACCTTACTTACAATTATCAAATTTAGAGGAAGGAATGTATACATTTGTACTTAAAGTAACAGATGACTCGGAGCAATCTTCCACGGCGGAAGTACATGTATTCGTAAAACCTCCAACAAATAAACCGCCAAAAGGTATTATTTTTATTATCAACATTTCAACAGATTGCACACAATAAAATTCTTATAAATAAGAATCATATGTGTAAATATTTATGTTAAAAATCAATTGTATCTTTTTATAAAAAGAAGAACTTGTGAAAAAGATTAGTATTTCTGTGCTTTTGGATATAATATATATATATATATATATATATATATATATATATATATAAAATTTCCTGTATAATCTCAATTCTTTAATTTTGTTGTAGCTGATGCAGGTGAAGATATAAGCATAGCATTGCCAGTAACACATGCTGTTCTAAATGGTACAAGAAGTAAGGATGATATAAAGATTGTTTTATATCATTGGGAGCAAATAAGGTATATATCTAATTTCATTCTCACATTACACATTTTGCTTTACACTATCATGTTATCATTGTGTTATAGTGGACCTAATAATGCAGAATTCACCACAGTCAATGAATCTATTACAAATATTACAAAACTGACAAAGGGCGATTATATATTCAAACTGACTGTTGTTGATGATAATGGAAATGCAGATTCAGATACAGTTAGTGTGAAGGTAACACAAAGTATGTATTTATAATTCTTATATATGTGTATATATATATATATATATATATATATATATATACATGTAATGTTATTGCACAATATATATATTACTAATCTAAAAATTATTTTCTAGATAAAAACGCACCTCCGAAAGCGAATGCCGGTGGCGATCAAATTGTAACAGCGCCGATCAGTGCATTAATTATCAATGGTTCACAATCGAATGATGATCTAAGGATAGGACAATGGCTGTGGACCAGAGATCAATCTAGTCTTGCAATTGGTACTATAATTCAGGATACGGACAAATCACCAGTCTTAATGGTAAAATTAAATTAAATTCATATATTGTAATATTAGTATTATATTTCTGATGTTCATTGTTACATATATTATAATATTAATATTAGTATTTCTTCATATTAATATTAGTTTGTGATTTTATATTTTTAAATGTATTTTATACATATCTCTATGTACATTATGTATATACAGTAAATGCATACATTGTGTCACTTTTTTCATAGCTAACAGATGTAGTTCCTGGCCGTTATGTTTTTCGATTAAAAGTAACAGATGATCAGGGTTTGAGCAGTGAAGATACTGTGTCAGTAATTGTAAAACCTGGTTAGTATTGTAATTAAAAATAATGTATTTTCATTTCTTAATGTTGTAACTTAAAAAAAAATAATATTTTCTTATATCCCATAGATCCACAATTATTACATTTAGTAGAACTAACACTAAACATTGGGGCTAGCATGCTAACTGTTTCACAGAAAAATTCATTAGTAGTGAAACTGCAGATGTTATTACGAGACGAGGCTTCGATTGTCGTACGAAATTTGAGGGCCGAACCTCATACTGGAAAAGCCGTATTAATATTTTATGTTGAAAAGAAGGGAGGAAAGACTACATTACCAGGTCCAGAAGTAGTTAAGAGACTGAAAGAAAAATTACTACAAGATTCTGGTCTTTTACAATTGTCAGTGGCTAACATAGATACTGCTGTATGTCAGAACAATTGTTCAGGTATATAACACAAAGACTATTACATATATAAAATTTTATATCAAAATATATAATATATATATTTTTAAAAATAGATCTAAATTTTTTATACAGTTAAGTTATATAAAATTAATATTTTTCATATCATCTATAGGTCATGGTGTATGTCATCAAGAGACAAGACAATGTCTATGTGAAGCATTTTGGATGCAGAACTTAATACAAAAATATTTTGGTAATGGCGACTCTAATTGTGGTATGTTAAATTTTCTTGTTATTTATTATTTAATACAAAATAAACTTGCGTATCTCATATCTCAATTATCTTTTCAGATTGGAGTATTTTGTATGTGATAATAGCATTGCTATCATTAATTGTATGTTGGGTTGGGCTTATTTGGGGATTTGTTTGCTTATGCCAAAGAATATACGCCGGCAGAAGACGTTCACTTCGGCCTAAGAAAAAACCAGCACGTTATTCTTTACTACAACCAGAACCAGAAGATGACAGCAGCGCATGTATGTAATGTTTTCATTATACACTCTAGTCGGATAAATAATAAATATTTTGCATCGTTAATATTATTAATGCTATAAAATATTAAATATAGATTTACAAATAGATTTTCTTTTGATTTCTCTATAAAATATTGTCTGAATGACAAAGTTTTCTTTTTCAACAAATTATTATTTTAAATTGCTTTTTTCGCTATAATCATTTTAACAACTATACTTTTATTTTACATATGTACATGAAAGTATATTAGAATATTAATAATTTATTTATTATTAAATGATTTAATAATTTCTGTGTGTATCACAGTTTCAACTTATAATAAGATGGTGTTATCAGAATCCGATACCGATTCTGATGACGTCTTATTTGAGCATCGTAAGAGTAAAAGTGGCAGTCATATAAGAAATGGTAAATCTCAAAATGGATTTATTAAAGTTGGCCCTCGAGTAAAGACATGAGGTAAGCTTACTTTATTATAATAATACACATTGAATTAAAAAAAAAAAATATGATTTTACATATTCCAGAAGTGCAATGGTAACAAAGATGCAAAGATAAATAGCGCACAATCGTGTGAGTTTGGCCAAACTTAAAACTACTAGTCATGAACTTTCATGGTGTAAATTGTGACTTATGCACCTTATATGAACGATATATTGTCTCTCCAAGATCGGTATTGGTAAGAATGTTCTAAGAAAGTAGATGAAGTCTATCTAAGTATATTATTTATAGATATGCGAAAATAATAATTCACTCTTCGTCACGTTACTTAATTCTAATCTTAAGTATTAATTCTATTCTGTACCTTTATTATTGTGATTCTAATAGCGCCAATAATTGGTGACATGACGATACAAGGTCGCATATCGTCAAACTCGAGAGCTTGTCCAAGTATTATATTATGGCCTTAGAAAATATTTAAATTTTAAAATTGATATGTAAACACCTATTATATCTATATGTCGTTTATATGTACTGCTTACTCTTTAATATGTACATTATCAATCTTATTTTTACACTATATGGATACTAAATAAAATTTAATATCCATACTTACATCTGTTTTTGTTAATTTTTCTATAAAAAACTCATTTATCCATAATTTCTCATATATCCATTTTATTCAAAAACCGAAATTGCCGTTTGTACTTTTCCAATTTAATGTTATTTATAGATATTCTTGTTCTTATATTAATTAGTAATTTTTTTAAAGAGATCTTCTCTAAAAGAAAATTTATTATATAGAAGATAGCTCCCAATACAAATAAATGTAAATAATAAATATAAATTTCTGCAATAATAAATAAAGACTAATAGATTTATATAACATACCTCTTTACAACTAGTATATAGTTAAAATTTTGCATGTCAAAGAACGTTTCACGCGCGTTTGGCTCGTAGCCTATATTTTAAAGTTATTTTTAACTCTATGCTATGAACAAGTTTCAAGTAGCAAGAAGATTTCATACTACCCGTTGATCCATTTTCGTATCTTTTGTTAATATTAATGTTGTTTGGTGAGTTATTTTATTGTGATTTATTACAACGTATATTTATTGTATTCATATTAATTGTATTTTATTGTGTAGTGTATTATAATCAATGGATCTTATGAAGTGTTCAGCGAAACGTTCTTCAAAAAGTTGTTGCGGTCGCGAGACTGCAGTAGACAGCGATCTTGGAAGCTACGATCATATTTATGCAAGTTTAGTAGAATACAAAAATAAAGATACAAATATCGAAGTTAATGTTAATGAACCAATAACAACGGCAAATAAACGGTGAGCGAAAGCTTCAAATTCACTTAGATAATAAAACCTAGAAAAAATTTATTACATATATATATAAATATAAATATATATATATAAAATTCATTTATCCTAAACTTTTAAAAACGAATTAAAAATATTAATTCATTATATTATGATCATAAAATTAATGACATAATAAGTATATTAGTTTCATTATAATTCTTAATTATATAATTTTTAAGATTTTTATGTTCTTGGATATATTAAAAGTGATTTTATTTTCAGCAATGAAGATTCCAGAAAAAAATATGCTCCTCGATTCACAAATTCAAACATTCTTACATATCAGCCTTCTCCTGTTTTTCCTCGCAAAATGGGTAGCGAAGTTTATGAAGAACCGAGAGAAATAATAGATCCATACAAATCGCACGATCTAAATTTTCAATGTCCTAGATGCGGACAAAGGATGGAAGAACCTAGACTTCTTCCTTGTTTACATCCTATATGCTTATCGTGTGTTTATGAATTGATAAATAAATGTAAGTGAGAATTGGCACGAGCAAAATTTTAGTTTATAAAAAAAGGATTGTTTTCCCAGTTGATACAATTGCTCGTAGTTTTGATTGCATTAGAAACTATTTAACTCGTAATGAAAATATATTTTCTATATACAGCTATTTTTCTATTTACAGCTTCGTATGTTTCACTGAAGAACAAAATACGGAATAATAATCAAATGTATGCTCAACACAATATTCGTGAGACATGCCCCTTATGCGATTCCTATTTGCCGAATATTAATTCTACCATACCGCCGCCGCATTATCCCTTACAACATCGTTTAGTTATGGATACTATGCGGCGTAAATTGGTTAATAGAATACTTTGCGACACTTGCACAAGTGAAGTTCTGGTAACGATTTAGATATTATATAATATACATATATACATATTATATACAATATATATACATACATATAATTTAGTTCTTTCATTCTTTATTATTATTGTCAGTTGTTTCCTTGATATCATTATATTGCAATATGATTTTATATGTGTTCATAATGAATAAATATTAGAAAAATCACACAAATATAAGAATTCTCGGGAATATCTTATAAACAGGTTCTTCTTTATGTTATTTTTTTCTAAGGCGCTTATCCAGTGTTCTACATGTTTACGTAATTTTTGCTCGGAATGCAGCAGACAACATGAACAACAGAATATGGCAGAAGCAAGAACAATTAAACATTTAATGAGACCTCTGTGGGAGGCTACCAAAATACGAAGGATCATTTTATGTCAAACACATCCGACGCATGCCTTAAGATTTTATTGTATCGCGTGTCAGCAGGTCAAAAATTCTCTTTCTCTATATACATATATATGATATTAATTCTCTTTCTCTATATACATATATATGATATTAATTCTCTTTCTCTATATACATGATACTGTTTAAAATAAGAATACAAATATATTATTAAAAGAAACAATTGATTTCAAATAATTGAAATTTAATAAATTATTGATATTTTTTTTAATTAAATAGTTATTTTAATCGTTTTGTTTGAAGTTGACTCAATTAATTTTGACTTATATTTTATTATAGTTTATTATATTTATAGTTTATATAATTCGATCAGACATGTGTCTAAACTATTGATATAAAATTTTCAGGTGACATGTAAAGAATGTATGTGGAGTGCCCAGCATAGAGGTCATGCCAGTGAGGATGCACTCGGAGTGGGAAAGAGAGCTAGTGCATACTTAGCAACAATGTTGCAAAAAGCAAGAACATTTCTAAATTCTTTGTTGATTCAATATAATAATGATGTATTTTCAAATAATGGTTCCGAAGAACTGCAAAATGTAGCCACACCTTACAGGTATGTATTTATATAGTTAATATTATAAATTGGGAATTATATAAATTATATTGTTATAATAAAATATGATTATGTATTTTGCACAAAAGCACTCCACAATATTCTTTATAAAAATTTATAATTTTTTTTACTATAATAAAGATATAATCTGTATAGTACATACATAATAATTTAATGCATGGGTCTCTAAATAAAAGTTAGTGTTAATATAGTATAATATACAATTGTCATGTGATTAATATGAAAGTAATGAGCAAAAGAGAAAATATAATGAGATAATTGTCATTTGAGGTATATAACCATTATACATTCCAAAAATATGATTAATGCAAATTTGGATATAGTTATTAGTTAATATTATAATAATCAAGTTAATATCGCGATCAATAATTTAATTTAGAACATATTATTGTAACTTGGAACATATATATATCCAAGATTAGTTAAGTATTGAAATATTTATAATTAATTAATAAATATAAATGAGCATTTAAATGAGATTTTTACATTTTATATATATATATATATATATATATATATATATATATATATATGTGTGTGTGTGTGTGTGTGTGTGTATCTATGTATGTATGTATGTATGTATGTATGTATGTATGTATGTATATATGTATGTATGTATGCAAAAATGTACAATGCAAATAAATATTTATTTATATATACAATGTATTAAATTTTGTCTAAATAAAGAAATAAAATTAATACCAAATAAAAAATAGTGTAAAAAAATAATAAATAATTTGTGTAAAATAATTATATATATTATATATATATATATATATATATATATATATATATATATCAGACATTGTTATTTTAATTTCTGCATGATATTAATGTTATTTTAATTTTGATTATTGTTATAAACTGTAACATACAAAATATAATACATTAAATGATAATAAGATAAGCTTTCTTGTATAAAGAAAAAATTATATATAATTCTAACAAATGAAAAATCTAATTCAAAAATTACATTTCTAAATTAATGTATCTCAAAATCATAAGATATAGAACGTATAATTATTGACACTTATCTCATATAAAATATACATACTTCACTTTCATAATTAAATATGGTGAAATTAACTATGATTCATAAGTTGAATTTCCATTAAAATCTTGCATAAAATTATAAAAAGATAAAAGTTTGTTAACTATTTAATTTTATATCTATTTCATTAATGTTCTTTGAATTTTAATGATTGAACATTTACGATTTTTTCTAAATTAAATTTTATATATCTAGAGAAAACAACTTATAAATATAAATTTGCACTTTTTATATAATATTAACATAATCAAAACAAATTTAAGAGACAGAAATATTTAAAAGATATATTTATTAATTTATTAAGACTTACAATGTAAGTTGATGCATAGTTTTTCGTATCATTAAGCAGCGTCCGTTACGTAATATAGATCCACAACAAGACCAATGGTCAACACCTGGATGTCCAATATGTCCATGACCACAACCTTTATATCCACCTTTGAAATGAAATATATTATTTTTATTTATTTCTCTAAAACTTTATATAGAATTTATTATAAAAATCGCCTTTATATATATATATATATATATATACATACACACACATACATACATAACACTTTATATTATAAAATCATTTTATGAAAGTATTATAAAAATATTGTTTTTATATTAGTTTTTATAGTTTCTTTTTTTAATTGATATATTTCAATACATATGTTATATATATATATATATATATATATATATATATATATATATAATTTAGAGATTACTTGATCAACGAAATTAATTCTTACCAGGCATAGTACCTCTACAGCCACAAATTATTTCCTTTTTGCCACCACTAGAACAGAATGTGCAGCAATGATAAATACCATTATGTGTAAGTTTTAAAGTTGATAGTCTTCCATTTTTGTACCAATGTTCTATAGTAAAATATAATACATATTATTTTCTATTAAAAAAATCTTCAATCACATCAATCAACAATCATATCAGGTACATCTTACCATCTTCTTTATCCATTGTCACACCTAATTTATTTAATCTTCTTATTATTATTCTAGCAAGTGTTAGTATTTCTATTTCAGAACCATCAGCAAGTAAATCATTTACTAAAGAAATAGCATCTAAAAGATGCCTCGCTTTTCGTAGTCGATCAAATTCTCGAATTCTTTCCTGGGCTTGTTTCGTATGAAGTAATAAAACTTTGTAATCTTGTAAATTTGAAACATCTGCATTATTATCAGAGTATCTATATAAAAAGAATTTAAAGTAAAAAATTATATAACAATAATAATTTTAAATATCTTATAAATATAAGGTAACTTATTACATGTAATAAGTTACTATAAAACATTAATTAAAATAATATAAATAAGTAAACAAGAAATTTGTTTAATACATGAATTGTTTCACTATCATTCTACATTCAATATATAAAAAATTGAGATATATTGTATATATTTTATGTTAAGCATTGTCATGTGATTTTTATAATACCTATCTTTTAAAAAATACCTTAATACATATACACATTATTACTTAAATATATGAATGTGTAAGAGATAAATGCATCTCTTATTGTCATTTGAGGTATTGATATATGATTAGAATCAGGATATGTAAATAGCGCTTCTTATATTTATTAACACAATGCTATTTCTTATTTTAAGGTCATATTACAATTAGACATAAATAAAAGCTTAAATCTGCTAAGCAAGTTCTCTAAAAGCTTAGAATATTTCTAAAAAATACAAATACATTTTTATAAATTTAAAAACCTATACACATAAACCTGTTAATTCTTATATTCCTTTATATTCTCAATTAAGATAATAGAATTATAGAAAAATAAAATTTGCAATGCAAGCTACAATAATAGTTGCATCAAGTGATAATTTAATTGTCTTGGTTGCTAAAATAATAAGTATTATATGCTGCAACTAAGAGCTACTCCCAAGAAATCTTCAAAATTAATGCTGATTGTTCCAGTTTGATCTGTATCTCTTGTTCTAAATGCCTCTGCAAAATGACGTTTTAATAAATCATTCCATACATATACATACACATATAAATAAATAAATAAATAAGTAAAAAAAAAAAAAATATATATATATATATATATATATATATATATAGAGAGAGAGAGAGAGAGAGAGAGAGAGAGAGAAAGAGACATACACTAATATACATAATGTTGTCTCTCTCTTCTACACACCTATAAATTCTAATTTACCTGTAAATCTTTGTATCTGAACACACAATACTATAAACTGATCAACAGTAATAGATTGATGACCACGAAGATCGCTCTTTTTTATAAGGAATTCAATAAACTCCGAACTAAGTCTATAACCCATTTGTGTTAAAGCTGCATTTAATTCACTTTCTTGTATACTGCCTGAATTATCATGATCAAAACCACGAAAAACACCAAGCCAAGCATTTATATAATTATAGAGAGCTTGGAATTCTGATACATTTATAGTGCCATTCTTTTCTTTATCAAACATACCTACAGATTAAATAAAATTCTTGCCATTATCTCTTTAATCAATTATTGCTTATAAAAAAACAATTGTTTAGAATTTGATTCTTATTAAATTATAAATATATATAAAATTTGGATGCATACCAATCATTAATTTGCATGCTATATCAGAGAAGGTGCCTCCTTGACCATTAGCTAATGCTGATTGTAATTCTTTAGCTGTTATTTGTCCACTTCCATCTTTATCCACCATGGAAAACCATTGATTAATATTCGGATTTATTCCAGATTGAGAATTAGTAGAACCATACATTGTATTCTTAAAAGAATAGAAAAAATAAATATAACTAAAGAGAGTCGTACATTTTCTTCGTACACATACACATTCACAGACAATTTATAATAAATAAAATAAAGATAAATGCCACAATTTCTTTATAATATTTATCTGTGCATTAAAATTAATTATGCACATATCAAGCAGTTCAATAATAACAAGTAAGATGATAAAGTTGCCATATTATTGCTATGTATATACGTGCAATTATTTATAATTACCGGATACGCCATGATTGACAAATTTTTTCAGACTGTCATCATGTAAAATTCTGTGTTACATTTGATTGAGTTATGCAATATTCACCAATTATCAACAGCATATACTTGAATCATCGACAAATAAAGATATTTTACTTAGGCGAGAGCACACAAATATATAAACAAATAGAGAAAAAATATGGCGAAACTTATTGGTACGTCATGATCTACAATAGATAACGGGTCTGTTCTTTTCAGCTGTACTGCTGCACTAGTGCAATAAGTTAGAAAGAGACAAACATACTTTCTTTCACTCTAACTAATTGCACTAGTGCAGCAGTGCAGCTGAACAGACCCAATGTAAGCCTTAAAAGATTGACCAATCAAGTCGAGTATTCTCTTCATACTTGACTGTGATTGGTCAATCTCTTAAGGCTCAAATTATCTATTGTAAACCCGGCCTAATTGAAATGTGATTGGTCAGCGTTTCAATCATATGACGTATCGTGTTCTCCCTTTTACCTTTCAACAATTCCATGAGTCTTGGAACGCAGTATAAGCACAATTAAGTCGCCATCTTGCAGAGTTTATCGCTTTAGCTATTTTTATAATTGATATTTCTGTTGATATCTTTCAATCGACATCCTTTATCGGCATCCTTTTTTTATCCATAATTATTTCTTTAAATTCTTTACTTTAATCACTATTCTGACATCCGTCCGTGTATTATGATATATTAAAAAAAAAGCTAGCAACATTGCATGTGGCAACACTGTTCGCATTTTGCACTTTAAACAAGGGCATTATCGAGAGGAAGTGTCGTGAGAGAAAATATCTTATACATATTTAGAAGGTGAAAGAAGAAGGCTGTGAAACGTAAAACGCTGTGGCTTCGAATAATCTGTTTCTCGCTCGAATCAAACATCATGGATGATTTGCAGAATTACAAGTTACAGCTCCAACAGGTAAACCTTGTTATTCTTTCTTAACCTCAATAGCGATTAATCAGATGCAAATGAGAGTCTTAATCTCGTTTACAGTATTTCTGCGTTAACTCGTATATTTTGTGTTTCAGGTGGAAGCAGCTCTCACGACAGATCCGAATAACGAGGAGTTGATAAAGCTGAAATTTGATTTGAAGGAAGTAATAAAGCTGACACATGATTTAATTAAGTCACAACAACAGGAAAAAAGACAAGCCAATGGCATGGATGCTAAAGATCCTATTTTGCTTGCAGTTCTGGCCAATAAATGGAAGGTCGGCGATCAATGTATGGCACCTTGGAGCGAAGACGGCAAGTGAGTACTCTATATGAATTTAATAATATAATTGCATTTTATTTTAATTTTGCATGGATAGTTTATAATGTATATCGCATTGTTATGGGAGCTGAACATTTTGTGAGCCATTACTAGAAACTGAAATATAAAAATATTGTTTAATAAAAAAAAAGTTTTGATAAAATTCTACAAATTCTTAGATAGTTAATTGGAAATTGTAAAGTTTTGGCAAAATTTTTTATTTTATTTTTTGAATTATTTATTTTTCAGTTAATATTGGATGGACTTCATTTTAAGAAAGTTTTAATTTGAATTTAAACTGCCAAGTTTTATTTAATGTTGAACATTAAAAAGTTGCAGAAAAGGCCCCAAGGGTGTTAAGCAAGTATTTATCTCTCTCATGGATAGACTTTCAAAATATACATATATTTTGATATATTAATATTTTGGCTAAAAAAAAGCTCAATAGCTATTTTAAAATAAAACTTGCGCAGCTTTCATTTTTTATATTATATTTTTGTAATATTTTACAGATATTATGAAGCAACCATAGACTCGATAAGCGAAGATGGAGTTGTAAACATAACATTCAATGAATATAAAAACACTGATGTCACCATGCTCAGTCAATTGAAATCTGTTGCTAAGAGGCCAGCATCAGACTGGGCAGATCAAAAATCAAAGTAAGTTATTTTTAATCAATGATATTCATAAATGTATCACTTACAGATTAATATTTTGTACAATTTTGCATGCATCTGCCTTATGAGAAACAAAAAAAATATAAGGCAATTACTAATCTTATAATTTTCCCCTTGTCCTTCTTTTCTGAATTGGCAACAATACTCCACGATTGATATGATATTTGGTCTGAAATTACTCGTTATTGCTCTCATCCTTTGCCTTTATCCTTTGATGTTATATGGTCTGTATGTATCATCGGGTTCCAGAAAAAGGTAACAAGAATTGTCCAATTGCTCTGGTACCATACTTTATAAAACAATTTAATAATTGATATAATTAGAAAAGAAAGGAATTGTATACGTATAATTAGTTATATATAAGTATTGTTTTACTATTTTATAAATATTGATTTATTGAAATAAGTATTAAATAAGCATTAAATTTTTAAAATTAATTATCAATAATAATAGCATGCACACATGTGAATTTTAACTTTATATTCATACATATATATGTACTTAATAGAAATGTTGATAGTAATGGTTTTATTTATTATTAATTACTTATAAAATTAGCTTATTTCCTATATTATTTATCCACATGATAGATTCATTCATTTACAGGAAGATGCAAGCAGCTGCAGTGGCAGGTACAGATCCAAACAAACAAAGAGAATATCTTAAGAAGAAGAAGCAGAGGAAATTACAGCGATTTAAGGAATTAGAAGAAGAACGTGAGTTAGAGAAAAACAAATGGTTAGCGTTTACCAATAAGGTATGTATAGTTGAAGAATTCATTTATATATTTATCTTGATTCATCTGACTTATTATAATAAAATATATCAATCTTGTAATTATTTTTCACAGTCTTCAAAAAAAGGCGTCATAAAGAAAAGTATCTTTGCAACACCAGAGAATGTGAATGGTCGCGTGGGAATTGGTACCTGTGGCGTTAGTGGTCGAGAAATGACGAAGTTTAGTAATGGAGAAAAATGGAGACGAGGAGCTTAAATAACTTAAATGTAAATAAATAGATTATTATCCTTATAACTTGGTGAGAGATAGAAGAGATTTTTGCAGAACTACTATTATATTAAATATTAAAAAGAGACTGCTGATTTTTCACGAAAGTTGGTATAGATCGAATCAATGCGCGCAATCGAAGAATGGCGATGATGTGCGCAAAGATGATAAATTTTGTTAATACCGACTCTGTAATTTCCGAAATAATTTCGGATTTTTTATCATAACACAAAATTAACTGCGATAAATGTGAATATCTTTTTAGATTAATGTTTCTGTTGGTATAATTTCTTTACAAACAAATCCATTAATATAAATAAATGTATATAAATTAATCCATGGAGTTAGTTAGTTTAATCCATGGAGAAAACAATATAAAATATTCATTTAATACATATTTTTTTTAATGAAACAAAAAAATTTATATACAATGTATACAACTAAAGAACATGGAAAATATTTCGATTAATCTTAATATACAGGTTTATTACAATGCAATATAAGAAAACTGAGGAAATTTATCATTCCATTATTCACTAAATTTTTAATATAGCTTTTATTTTCTTTTTATTTATTTCTCTAAAAAATATTTAAGTTTATCTTTTACTGACAAAAAATATTCATCTGTAATATCATTAAGAACATTGCTTACTTTATCCTCTGTAAGATTATTGTATATATTTTCATCTAAAAATTATATATATATATATGTCAATATTATTTCTATTCCAACAAAAATAATATATCGTAAACATAGATATTATTCTTACCCCTAATTGATAAATGCCCAAAAAGTTCACACACTGCAGGTATAAATGCAGTAGTATCTTTAATACCAGGAGACGGTTTTCTAGCCCAAATATAAATGCGTATATCATTATACAAATCATCATTAAGTCCTGATTTTGCTCGTGTAATGTATACATTGTGCGCCACTTGATGTGATTGTAAGTAATTCACTATAAGAAATGTTTGAGACACAAAATCCCGAATATTTTTAAAACTAGACAACTTAAGACAGAATCCTTTTGCTGGATAATTTATCAATAAGTATACATTGGATGTATAACTGCAAAGATCCTGACAAAAAAACAGACATCTGTAATGTATTGTAAATAAGTTTTTATAGTAAGTAAATAATTGTCAAATATATTAATTACAATGTATTCAAGAAGCATTTCATATTTCAAATAATATAAATGCCAGTGTAAATGATTAACAGATGCATGAGCGCATAAGCTATTAAAGATAGCCCTCAAAGACCTAAAGTGGAGAATGAAAAAAGAAAAATAAATAAATATCTGTTACATTAAATTTTGATAAATTTCTGATAATACAACACAATTATTACCATGAATTACTTAAAAGACATAATTCTGTTACTTTATAAAGACTATACTCTGTCATAATTTGTGGTAAACATTTTAAACGTTCTGTAAGAACTAAACAATGACCCTGTTCCAAAGGACTGGCATTAATTGCAATTATATCATTTGTGTCACCATTGCCTATATCAAATAATATTTCTTGTTGTGCTAGTTTAGTAAAATTAAAACCTATAGAATTAAAAGGTTGCAGCATAGATGTGACAGATTCTGGTGCACGTCTACATTGAGCTCTTTCTGGATTTAACTGAAATTACGATATTGTGCATTAGATGAAAATATTCTTCTTATAAATGTAGAGTATACCTGTGCAAGAAATCTATATTCTCCTTTCAATGATTTACTGCTCCTTATATTTAAAATATATCTGAATGCTTTAGCTTCTTCGGCTTGTTTCCAGGTTTGTTGCAAAATATTATCAAATTGAGACTCTTGTTCCTTATTTAACTTAATGATAATATTAAAATCTTTTGCATCATAAAAAAATGTGGGAATTTGCCTATGTGAAAGCATCTTGCAATCGTGTATAATTTATATTAAATCGCGCAAATTATTAAAATATATGTATGTACATACATCATTCAATCATTTCAGAAGCATGCTTTACACTGATATTACATGCATGCTAAAGTTTATCGAATATACCGATTGGCTGTCAGATGAAAAATTTCTAGAATATTTTAATAGTCTTCTAGAAATTTCGCATCTGAGCCAATCGCATGTCTCATATATTCTGTCACGTGATTGTAATATTGTAAACTTGATGCAAGGAATTTGACCAATTCGAAAATTTCTTTTTATTCTCCTATTATGAAAATATTTTACAAAATAAACATTTTATTGTTATTATTATGTTATTATACGTATGACAAATAATGAAAAAGATATAATCATTAGATTTATTTTATATATATTTATTAATATTTAATGTTTATTATTTTATGTGACACAAATCATGACAATATATATCATAATATACATTCATAATATACATAAAAAGATTAAATTAAAGTTAGTTTACATTATTTTTATTTTGAAAATAATTTTAATCTAACCATTCTCTGATGTATTGGCATTTTATAGGAGTAACTGGCCCATCATCAAAGCAATGCTTTCTCACCTGTGAAAAAAACATACAATAAGAAAAAAACGTAATAAATACGATATATTTATAATGTATCTTACTGGACACAAGCCACAAGGAGTTCTAATTAATCCAGGTGAAATGACTAAAGGCTCAATTGCTCGGTATAAATTACTTCCATCTCCTGCAAGTATTCGTTCGACCTTGCCATCATAAACTAATGTATTTAAAATCATTTCTATATTTGTTACAGATAATTTCACCTATAAATATAAGATTTTCTTTAGCTTTAATAAAGAAACAGAGATAGATAAATACATTTGATAATCAGAAAATGTTTTGATACATTTAAGAATATTACCTTACTTATTCCTAAATCTGAAATAAATTTCCATACATCCTTAGATGAAGCAAATGTCATGTTCCTTGCAGCAACAGGCCCAATATTACAATTTTTCGTTTTTTCTTTTTTTTGCTCCAAAAATCGATAACATTGTTGATTTAATACATCAACAAATTCCGTTTCGAAATCTTGATCTTGGTACCATGCACCACCAGTTATTGATTCATCAGGTTCTAAGTTATATAGCATATACACTTTTTTCTTACTTGCTGCTACAGATTTAACAACTTTAATGAACTTTTTGGTCTCCAAACTTTTCAGAATCTTTTTTAATTGAGTATGCATCAAATTAGATTTAAATCTTATATCTCGAGTCCATATTCCTTTATTCCCTGCTTCTTCAATAATCTTATATACTACTTTCTCTTCATTATCTGCACCCTTAACAATTTTTGTTGGATCTCTCAAACGATAGGAAAGCACTCCTGTTTGTTTATTATTATAAAGCTCAAAACATTCTTGCTTCAAGAGCTTATTTATAATTTGTGCCCTTTGATCTGGCCGTAAATCAGGGATCTCAATAGCTAAGTCCTTATCAGAAATACCTTTGTTGGGTCTCGCTTGTGCTAGAGCAATTATTCTATAAAAGATGCAAAATATGTATACAAAATAGATGATAAAAAAATAAGATTTATAAGCCTTATAAAAAATATATGATAAATTGAATAAATGACACCAATGATTGAAGCTAACTGCTTCATGTTCTTCAATTTATAATTTTATATAATAATCAATATTACAAACATAATTATTTAAAACAATTATGAGAAAAAGAAAATAATTTAATGCATTAATTTTATATTCAGCTGAAATTGCATATTTTACATCTTTGATATTCAAGATTATCAAAAAAATTAAACGCACTGATATTGTTATATTTTGATATAAAATTAAAAATATCTTTAATTAAGATGAGACGAATTTATACTTTTGCTCAATTGTTTCTAGCCCATCAAGATTTGTGTTTACATTTCGTTCTTGTAAGCCGCTGCCTTCCGCTTCCATTATAATATAAAATAATATTTACACTTCAAAGCATGAAATTTACGTTGATATAAACATTCGGTTAAGGTTAGGGCACCATGAAGAAGTATAGTGTATAGTATTAGGGCTGTGTACAGAAACATCATCCGAGTGCTCCAGGGTATCATTTTATCTTTGTTGTTCACTGAATGTTAAACAAGAATAAAATGATACCTAGTAAAGTCACTAGATTAACAAAGGACCGCAATTTTGATCTCAATAAGATAAGCTGGAGCAAAAATGGCGTCCGATAGGATAGATATAGGCTGCGATTGCTGCATTTCTCCACGCAACAACCTGGCATTTTTGATATTTTCTTCTTTTTCTGCGCAACAGAAGGAGTTTTCTCACCTCACACACAATAGGACAAAGGACAAACCAGGATCAAGATTAGAAAAATTGCACTTAATATAGATAGCTACACAAAGTGTGCACTATCTGCACTATGCGGTACTTTGTTAATCTAGTGACTTTACCCGCGAGAATGTCAAGGTTCGTTCGAACGCGTGACGCGCGTAAACATAATACACGCATGTATGTGCGCCAACAGCTCTTTTAAGAAAATACTCAGGACTGAAACAGTTTCACCAACTGGTCAATTGATGAGTTTTTTGTATCAGTGATTGGTAGAACTGTCTCATATATGAAATAGTTGAATTGAACTTTTTTGAAAAGTTATTCGTCGTTGTCGCGATATTAACGTCCGGAATAAGTGGAATATATTCGTAAGTTATATACAATTTTATTATTAATAAATAGTTGATTGCTCTCGAAATACGATACTCGATTATACGATAGGAATCAAAATTATAAATTATTACTTTGTTGCAATCTTTACGAGCAATGATTATTCTTCTATTTCTATTTCGTTTCTATCCTAATATATATGTGTACACACACACACACACACATTTAGAATTCTAATATAATAAATAAATATTCTCTCTGATATCATTTGATCTAAATATAATTTGATTCAGAATGCGCAATAAAACGATCGAATAAAAATCGGATAATTAACATAACGGAAATATATATTTTTAAAGTTATATACAAGTATATCTTAAAGTCACACACACACACACACACGTACACGTACACACGGATTAATTATTTATTAAACGATTAATATACTTCGTGAAGTTATTTCCATTTTTATTTGCAATTATGATCTTTAATAAAGATTTCTCATCATAATAAAAAAATTTTATATCGTTTATCAAAAGTTTAAATTAGATTTAAAAGTATATTATTGCCTCTTTTCGATAATAATTGATTATTTCACTGTACCTATTTCGTGAATAGCTATCATTACAGAGATCGCGTAGAGTTTGACAATGCAATAAAATTAATAATAAAATTCCAATAAAATTAAATACAAATTAATTATAATAATTAAATATAAATTTGTTTATAATTAACTTTTTCTACGTTGAGAAAAGTTTTTCGTTTCTTTTGGAATATCTTAAAGATTCTTTTAACTAAATTTTACAAAATATATAACTATTAAATTTATAGTATTTAATATTTAGAAATAAATAGATAATATTTCATTTTTATATAGATTAAGTATACGATATTATTTATTAAAAGAACTAATATATCTTTTATGGATCTTTTTGTTAAGTTAATTATTTAGATCTACGATTGTTTTACTGCATTTCAATCCGAATTATATATTTAAATGATCGAAAAATAAAACGATAATAAAATAATAAGCAATATATATCTATTTTAAAAATAGTGTATATAAATAATAAATAATAAATAATTTTTATAAATTACTCACCGCATGTCTCTGGCTGCTTCAGGCTCTCTCCCTGCTTTCTGACTGTCCGATACTTTTTCAGATGTCCTTTTCTTTTGTTGTTTCATCCTTTGTTGTTTCCTCGTAGCAGTCACGTATTCACTCGCGAACAAACAATTATATTTCAGTTAATTATATTTCAGTCATATACAGAAACGATCGCGAGACACTTTGCACGGCACTCCCGATCGCAAAATAATCATACGAGATACGTATTTTTATAATATTATTATTATTTTATTATTATTGCAAGAGAGGAACACAAAAATTACAATAATTCGCTCGATTTTTAAACGAAGCCAAAATCATGCACCATTCGATTCTTACACTAATTAACTATTTCTATTTGTTGATGTATAATATATGCATAATAACGCGAATCATAAGATTAAAATATTAAAGTAATGTAAATTGATGATACAGCAATCGTTTAATTAATATGATATATATGCATGCAGTTTAGGAAAGTTTAAAACATCGGGCGAAATCGAATTTCATTCTACGCAATGTTAAAGAAATAATTATTATTCGTAAAGTTCGATAATCGGAGAATATTGCGAGAAAATTTGTAATTTTTGCCCCTTTCGCTTCAATTTTTATTTGCAATAATGAAAGATCGCGTTTCGATGAATTTATCGTCGCCACAATTGCATTTATTATAAGAGTTAATTATTTGTCATTTGTAATAGTCGAATTATTATATTTCGATCTAATCGCGATCGTACCTTTAGGAAAAGAATTCGATAATACGGAGCGGTCCGTATCGCTACTTTCTCCCGTTGGAATGTCGCCGTGCGAATGAGGGGAGGTCGTCGCGTATATAAACAATAGCGCGCTACGTCACAAGGCCAAATGACGTCACAAGGTCGAATGACGTGTTAGCTCACTGCTGAAATATTTAACGCGTACTGTGACGTATGTGAGAATTGTATTTATATACAAGTATATTTTTAAAGTCACACACACACACACACACACACACACACACACACACACACACGTACACTGAGAAAAAAAGTTGTTAACTCGACTAAACCGTTTAACTAAATTATTTTTTTTTTAATTGAAATATCGAAATATTTAAGTTAAATAAATGTTATGTTAGATTTATAATAGTTAAATATTCCAATTAAAAAGATAATAATTTAGTTAAATGGCTTAGTTAAGTTAACAACTTTTTTTCTCAGTGTACACAGTTTAATTATTTATTAAACCTCACGAGATGTATTAATCGTTTAATAATATAAGTGTATTTATATCCAAGTATATTTTTAAAGTCTCACACACACACGTACATTGAGAAAAAAAAGTTTTTGTTAACTCAACTAAACCGTTTAACTAAATTATTATTTTTTAAATTAAAATATTGAAATATTTAAGTTAAATAAATGTCATGTTAGATTTATAATAGTTAAATATTCCAGTTAAAAAGATAATAATTTAGTTAAATGGTTTAGTTAAGTTAACAACTTTTTTTCTTTTACAATTAGTCTTTTCTCTGCCTACTATTTGCTTGTTTTATTACGCTTTTAGAAAGTAAAGTTCTATAATGTAACTTTTAATTTTGTATTTCATATGAAATTATTATTTTAAACATAATAATTTTCTTTCTTTGCATTTCTATCATGAATAGACATTTCCAACCTTTACTAAAAAAACTAAAAATATCCCTCAATTTTTTCTCTCTTCGGACAATTTATTTACATTTATATATAATTCTCTTTATTCCTTTAAAAATGAACATCGAGAACAAGGTACACGAGTATTGTAAATGTCAAAAAATGATCGCGCGAATATTATAGTTGTGAATATATAAAAATAAATGCAATATACTATGAATTTTCTACGTTATATATTGAATCGAAATTGCACAAAAGAGAAAAAGAAGAACAAGCCTATGAATAGACATTTCCATTTTTTATTAAAAAAACAAAATTAAAAATATCTCTCAATTTTTTCTCTTCCTTCAGGCAAGTCTACATATATGACCAATATGATTAATTGATTCCATCTTTATATATTTATCATTATGTGCTATTAATTAAAGCCGTAAACAATATTTCAGAAATCAAAGTTGTGCGAACGTTGCGCGCAGGAATGGCCATGCGCAGAAACGAATGCGCAGTGGTTCGGCCGCCATGTTGGCGCGTGACTGCTACGTCATACGCGTCATTGCTACGTCATAGGCGTCCTACGTGACTCGGAGTCATACGCAGTTACACGGATCGTCGTACGTCCGCATTTTTCGCGTCTTTTAACCGTTTTTAAACGAATATCGCGAGTGAATGAGCGTCGAAAGTGTCCAAGGATGATCGCGCGACTTTTATAGTGTGTCGATGGAAACGCGCGACAGCGATTTTTGAAGATATCAGTGATGGCGTCATCGCGAAGATGGAACGAAGTTGCGTCGCGTTATTCGCGCTCTTGATGATGATTATCGGATGCGAGCGAGTATCGGGAGTGCCGAATAAAGTGTCGCGCGTTCGCGATGATATCGTGTGCATCAAGATTGGAATGGGACGTCCCGAGGCGAGCGAGTGGAGCGGCCTGTGGAACAGCCGGTGAACGGTGAGTAGATTTGATTTATCATATTTGCGTGACAATTCATGCTCATTCGACGCTTATACAGCATCGCGATGTCTCGAATTACGTTCGAACAAATCGGCGCCGCATCATAATTCGATGCGATGCCGTGCAATTCAAATAAAGTCGATCGCGTGAAGATGGTTCGGCTAGAAGATTTCAAATTTATTTTATATACGCGCAGTGCTGCACAGCCTATCTCGTAGGGCTGCCAACTGTTAAACGATAAATTTTTTCGATCTAACCTAACCTAATCTAACCTCTCAGTGTTTTAGATGTCAAATGTAAACACAAGTGTATGCTGCCTGGATTTTATCATGCTTTCAAAAATAATATTTAATAATTTTTATATTAATATTAAATATTTAATTATTTTTAATTATTTATTTATTTAATTATTTTATATTAATCGTATTAAATGTGCGACATACAGTTTTACACATTTTAATGAGAAGCATATAATATAATTGGTTAGGTTAGATTAAATTAAAACAAGCTGCTGTGATTCATTTAACGTAATAGCATTAATTTGACGAATGTGCAGCTATTGAAGTTAAATGATATTTGTGGACACATTTTTAAAGTAATCATGAGTGTCTTATCTCATCTTGATTATATGAAATTAAAATATAAAATATTTATGTATTCCACATTAACATTCATTACAAGTTATTCATTACAAGTACTATATTACTTTTCTTATATCTCAATCATATTTCATCGATGAAGCTTTTCATATATCGCAGACAATATGATACTGTGTGTGGAATTTTACACAGGTAATACATGGCACAAAAATAATTTGTTCTCAAGTATTGTGCGCATTTCTCAAAAATAAATCAAATTAAATTATTTTAAGTAGAATCCAAAAATCACTACATTGCCAGGATCGTATCTTATTATAACTGCGATATTATCACCTTTTAATATGTGTGCGCAGTATTACATACATAAAATATATAAATTTATTTGAAAACGTACAGAAATCTTTATCTTATTTATAATATTTATGATATAAAAGAAAATTGCAACTCTAATGAAACAGAGCGGTGGAATAATTGGTTGATACTTATGCTGGTCTACAATATTTATCCTTTTTTCATCATTAGATTTTTGGTGCTTTTTTTATTATACAGATGTTATCTGTAAATATAGTACTTGTAATGTTGCTTCTGTATCACTGTAAGCACACAAAAATGATAGCATTTGCAGGTAATTATGTTATACTTATATATCATAAGAAAGAGAAAATAAAATTAAAGTTGAATACTGAATGTACTCTAAAGTAAATCTCATCTAAATAAATAAATGCATAAATGTGCGCCCCACATTCCTCATGAAAAAAATACATAATATTAATTTTTATGTATTATTATTTTTAGATTTTTATTCTTTTAAATTCTCTAGATGCACTTTTCATTTCTCCTCTCTTTCTTTCCAACTACTAAATATAGATTTATCATTTTTAATATAGATCTGTTATTTTTAGTGTACATTATTGCAGTAAGTGGAATAAAGAGCAAATCTTTTGGCACATTTAAAATGTACAGGAAAGTTTTATCTGATGCGTTTTTTTCAATAGAAATATCTGAAAAAAATGCATACGTCTTTTTTAATCTTAGTCTTTCTAAATAAAAATTAGAATAATAAATTTGCAAAATAATTTGCTTTAATATATTTTTATTGCAAACATATGAAGCAAAGTGCTCAAGGTGCATCACTATGAAAACATCGATAGAATAAAAAATAGATCGCATACAAAAAAATTAAAATATTTACATTACATATTTGATATTTCTGCAAATATTTTCATTATTTTGAGATTGATTTGTTTCATGATATATTGCAATAATTAAAGTATGATTTCTGATATAATCTGCCATGAGACTGCAGAGAAAGCCAGCTTTAATTCTTTTGTTCAATATTTTTAATAATATAATAATTAAATTAAAGTTCTATGAAAATATGCTTGAAATACTAAATAAAAAAGATTGTTTCTTATGTACAACCTTATATCTTATAGTTTAAGTAAACAAAAAATTATTGTTAATAATATACATATATAAATTGATAATTAAATAAAACAATTAATTAATTAATCGACACAATCCACGTTTTTTTTTAGCTTTATGTCTAACATATATATATATATATATATATATATATATATATATATATATATATATGTATATATATTTTTATAAATAAAAAATGTTTCTTTCTAATATAAATTAAATAAAAAGTATAATATGCCTTTAAATACTTTATATACATACCTGTTGCAATAAACCAATAAAGAATGCTTTTACATTCCTCTTTGTACTTTGGCATGCATATCCTTTATCTCGCAACACGCTTTTATCGCATGATGACAAACAAGCCCATTATCCTTCATGAATTTTCTTTACAAATATTTTTATATTCTCAAACTGTGTAAATAAATCATGTAACACTGAAAAATACAAAGTGATATTAAAAGAGAAGAAATAAATTTTATATTATATAGTATTGACAATTATTATCTTACCAGTGTATTCCTTGTATGTAGGAATATACATTAGTCTTTGACCAGCCCTATTTAACCGTCTTTAGGGATGCTTTGGCTTTTGATAACGCAAATCCAGCTAATCCATTTCCATTTCCAGTTACTATAAATGAACTGATTCTAGTCTTACGTGCTAAATTACCGGTCATACAAGTTATCATTTTATTTTCCAAAATCCAGGTTTCAAAACTTTCAAATGTATCTGCAGAAAACAAAGATATTAATTATATAAGATTCTAATATTTAGAACTGAAACATCAAAAAAAAAATTGAAAATAGACATCGTATCACATGATTTTTGTATGTGTGTGATTTAATCATTATAATCCAATAATAGCATAAATATTAACCTTTTCCAATAAGATTTGATTCAATGCTTCTGCCATCCATTGTAACACTCGTCCAACCACATTCCAATGGCGATAATTTTATTTGCATTGGTCTGGTCTGACTTTGTGGTAATTCCATAAGTTTTTGCTTTTTTTCAAGATTTACAAGCAATTTTTGCTGTTGAATTAATTCTTTTCCTCTAAACACAGGAGTGTTTAGACCAGGAAATTGTATCGGAATTTTTCCCATGCCAATAATTTGCTCCTTATTTAGCTCTCTCTTTTCACTACTCTTCTTGCTCTACCTCTGCGTCTTCTTGCATTACTGATACTTGTCACACTCTTTCATAATTCATCTTCAGGTCCTATAGAACAAAAGCACAGTGAAATACAAATTATTTTCTACTGTAAATATAAACTATTATCAAAATGCGATATCCATAAAAGTTCTACTTACTATTCGCAAAAAATATAGAGTTCTCACATTATTTAATAAAGTGACTATTTTTAATAAATGTGAATGATTGACAAGCAATAAATTAAACAATATTAAACAATAATATACCTGAAAAAATTTCATAATTTTATTAGAGTTAAATTGATAAATTAATTTTAAATACACATTATATGTTAATTACATATAATGATTTAGAGACAATGATATATTTCATTTGCATTACCATTGTTTACAGATTGAACATTTTTTATCAAATTATTTACAACTCTAAATATGTAGCATACGACAAGCCATTTTTAAAATCTATAAAACAAACAACAAAGTTGTTCATAGTTTTCACTCTGTTTTGTCATAGTCTGCTTTTAGGCGATCTTAGGCCGGTATTCATAGTCCGATCTTATATTTGAGATCGTCTTAAGTTAGTATAAGTCCTTATTATTATAATTAAACGCAAAATGTATATATTATAAATTAAAAAAAACAAATATAAATATCCTATTCTAAAAAAGGCAAAAGTCGATTCTCGAATGTATCGGTTTATCTCAAAAATCTCGAAATGTATTGTTGGCTCTTTTTGTCGCTCTGATTGGTTTTTATGGTGTTGCATGTTTCGTGTTATTTGAGTGTTATTTATCATTTGACATCGCGAAGATTATATTGACAGTACAAAGAATTGGTAAATAAGAGAAAATAATTTCGAAAAGGTTAATTATGTTCATAAGTATATATGTCATTAAAAATATATAATGTAACAGAATAAATGGTGCGCGCGAAGCGCGCGCTTTGTTTTGTTCTAGTAATACAAATTTAAATACATATCTAAAATGTTATATATATATATATATATATATATATATATATATATATATATACAGGATGTATAAAAAGTATCGGGACGGTAAAATATCTCGAAAAGAGCATTTAGTAAACATTTCAGAAAAAAATGATTCGGATAAAAGTTGTAGGATTTCAAAAGATCTATTTACTGGCGCTATGATGGATGATGTCGCCAAGATCAGAGCAAGATCTTCAAAACTTTATATACAATACGAAAAATGCAAAAAAAGATAAGAATTTTGCGAGATATATTATTATTCTTGTGTGTTTAATGTGTTCGATATAATAAATATTTTAGTTTCTAAATTATTTGATAATTATTTTATATTTTGCAAAATGCATGTTGTTATGTATTTGTATATCTTTTTTTTCTTTTGAAATAATTTTACACAAAGAAAAAATATATCACACTAAAGAAGGAGAAAACATTTTATATAATTAATATATACTATAAATATATACAATGTACGAACAAAAATAATGCATTACATATAACAGAAATGTGCATAATACAATAATATTTTTTGTATAAAAATTTCTTACGAAATTTGCACTAAAAGTAAATTTCTAACGAAATAAAGTAATAGTAACATATATATATATATTTGTTTTATCCATTACGCCTATTATAATTTGTTGAGAGGAAGTACAAAATTTATTCAAAGTAAATGCTAATGTATTATTTTGAATCAGTTTAGTTAAAGAAAATGAAACATCCTAAAATTTAATTATCCTAAAATAACAAGAAACTTACATTTTAGAAAATTTCATTATTTTTGACGATGTCCCTGGCTGATTTAATGACTTGACAAACTAGATGTCCTTGTCGAAATAATTTATTCACGCGATATCTCTTTTTATTCTATTGGAGAAAAATTCCAGTTTGCCTTCTTTTTTACGACAAATAAGGACCGTCATTAAATGACCATGATATCTTCTTTGTTCAAAAACGATTTTTTTCATCGTTCTCGTCACGTATAAATAGCAATTGGAAATGTCCGAGCGTTCAGTTTTAGCCAAAGATTTGGAGAGTGAAACGTAAATTTAACTTTTTTTAAAATGACTAGATTAGCTAGTTGCACATTTGCTTGTCTCGTCGCGACATTGGCGGTGCTAATTGCGCATGCAGAAAATGAAAAATATTCGAGCAAATACGATCATATCGATGTTAACGAGGTGTTGGCTAATTCTCACTTGAGGAATCAATATGTCAGATGTTTAATAAATATTTCTCCTTGTACTATGGGATCTGCACGCTTCTTAAAAGGTAATCTTCACTTTTTTTAAATTTATTATAAACTACTAAGAACAGTGTTTTGTAATGTAATTGATATTAACTTTTTATTTATGAAAACTAATTTTATATATTACTAATATATATATATATTTCACTTATACATCATATCAAGATTTATAATTTATATATGAAATATTTTCAAAGATATAAATAAGCTTGTTATATCACGTTTTATACTTTTAAATTGTTTACATTACAATATTTGTCATTTATTATTTTAATTATGTCTTTTTTTAGATATATTTGCGGAAGCATTTATTACAAAGTGTAAAAAATGTACGGATAAGCAAATATACATTTTCAATGTGATTACCGATTGGTTTACGAAAAATGAACCTGAAACTTGGAATCATATAGTGCGAACAACAATCGAGGAAGCACAAAGGAAAAATGCATAATTGATTATAATTATTAATTATAGTTGTCGGATTAAGATGATAATCTGATTAAACCTGACTAAAATCTTTTGCTTAAAATCTTAAAGTAATTTATTTTTTGATAAGTTTCATAAAATTTTTTGTGAAAAACTGGACGAATTGCAATTTTATTAGATGGAGATACATACGAACAGAAGTAACAACATTACACAAATTTTTATTTTATTTGCATGCGTTTTATATACAAATAAATGATATTGATTGACCGATAGAGAAACTAAATTATTCATATGTAATATATAAATGAAAACTAACAAATTATTCTACTTGTGCTAGAAATTGTTCGAAATTTGCAACATACTCTTTGTTTGGGTCATATTTTTCAAGAAATCTCGTCCAGAGCTCTGGTTTATATTTTTTCAAATGATTGCCTATTTTTCTTGCTCCTTGTCTTTGTTTTAAATTGCACTTTTCGCAAATTGTAGCTACTGCTTCTGGAAGTATACCTATATATACGAGAACATCAAACTTTATTTAAGTTTACCTCAATATATGTATATGAATAAATATGTTAAAATATCATTATTTTAATTATTTTATAATTTATAAAAGTTTGTATATATACATTTAGCGTTATATTTCAATAAATATAAATCATATAAATGAGCTGCTATTCTTTTTTTACTTATTTCTTTGTTTTCTCACTTAAATGCAATATTTCTCTTTGTGCTTAAGAAAAATATAGCTCTCTTATAAAACTGTTATAATAAAATATCGAAATAAAATGCACTTACGTTTAAGACTGCGTGCATCGGCCGTACAGGAACCTTTTTCGAGAATGCAATCCAAATATTGATTTAAAAGACGATCACTATTAAGAACTGCATCTATGTCTACATTGTCATATATATCCGTATAATTTTCCGTCCCTGAAACGAGTCCAAAGAACACGAAACTGGACAGCAATAATAGAAATGCGAGTTTCATCTTTTTTCTTATTCTTTCCTCGTAGCAATCTATACTATGTAAATTATAACAGAAAAAGAAAATTAATCCTTTTATAAAGCCTTTTAATTATTATAAAAAGGAATGAGAGTGATCCCTTTTTGATAAAAGGCGATAAAATAAAAATAAAATAAGATAATGAATATCGTAATTTCCATCAATTTTGAAATAATGATGAAACAATCAAAAATTTTTTTCATTTTTAACATAAATACTATATAACAGTTAACTAAATTAAACTAACAATTAACAATTAACAAAAAAATTTACAATAACAAGAATTTTTCAATATTTTATTCAAAGACATAAGTTTTTTTTAATATAAAAAAGAAGTATAATACAATCACGTATTCTCACCTAAGAAGATTTCTCTAAATTTTACGTACTTGATCAAAGTCCTCACGTAAAGGCACAAATTTCACAAGAATAAGATATGCTAAAATCAGCGTATATGAATGTGTTGGGCGAAAAAAAAGAGAGACACTCATCAAATGTTTATTGTGCTTGTTATTATTATTCTGAGTTTGTATCTTTAATGAGTAGCGTACGAACGTGAAATTTTACCTATACAACCTGTAAATATATAATATTTATGCAGAATTGTGCACAATCTGCAATAAAATGCGGAATCAATTTATTCATCATGTCACGTATAAAATCTTTTGAAACGTGATAATATGCGATTTAAATATTTTCAGAATCATTCGATACATACATTTACACTCTTTCTTCATGATTTTTACAATTTCAATTTTTATATGATATCTAAGATATATATATATATATATATATATATATATATATATATATATGTTTGTATTTGTGTGTGTGTGTGTGTGTGTAAACATCTATATATTTGTATATTTATTTTCATCTTGTGAGATTGTAATTTTAAATAAATACAGATAAAAAGAAGATCGGAATTTAAAATGGAATTGGATGGAATTTAAAATAATTAAAATTATAATATTTTTACATATATTTATATACAGGATGTTTCATAAGTGGTGAGCAAAATTTCAGGAATGGATTCCTCATGCCTAGAGAAGAAAAAAAAGTTAATCAACATAGGTCCGGAAATGATTAGCTTTTGAGTTATTAAGATTTTTGTAATACAAAATTTGGTCTCATTTCTCGTCTTAAAAATCCTTTTACAGACATCAACAATGTTTTTCAAGTTCGGCGGCCTGAAAAACATTGTTGATGCCTATAAAAGGACTTCTAAGACGAGACATGAGACAAAATTTTGTATTACAAAAATCTTAACTCAAAAACTAAGCACTTATAACACCACTTATGAAACACCCTGTATATCTTAGATGAAAGACACATAACTATAAAATTTACCCAGGTAGAACGTGAAACTCACTTAGGTGACTCACCTAGGTGATTTTTAAGTGATAAATAAAATCATAAAAAATGAATAAAATTATGAAAAAACCATAACGTTATAATGATGTCATTATGAGTTTCATGTTCTATCTGGGTAAATAAAAAAATAAATTTAGGATAAAATATTTAGAATTTTTTAAAAACAGATTCAATCATTTAGAATATGTTAAAATAAATAAATAGTTAAAATAAACATGAAATCCTAGTAAATTAGAATAATTAACATATATATATGCAAAAGAAATAATAATAATTTTAATTCTTCTACTTAATTACTATTTCATTCAAAATAAAATGAGCAAAATATGAAAATAAGCAAAGTATAAAATGTAAGAGATGCGAATAAAAAAGATGATGATAAGACTATATCATGCTATTACTACCCACCTATAGCTTATTTAAATACCCATATAATATACTTAATATATTATATTATTTAAAACTATACAATATTTTAAAAATATTTGGAATTATTTATTAATAATAAGTATCATCTAATTATCATAAATAAATCTGTAAACGATATAATTTATCTTTTGAAAGTACAAACAAATATTTTTTTGTAGCAACAGCACCCATAATTGGAGAAGTTTCACAATTTAGATCTATTATTCTTTGCTTGGCTGTCTTTGCTCCGTCATCAGGTTTCTCATACAAAAATACATGTCTGGTATGTTCTACTATAGCTATATACGAACCGTCTATGGAACAAAAATGTATATATTAATATTTTTAATTACAGATAAATATAAGATATATAATAAATTTAAAGATTTTAATTTTAATGTCTTACCAGCTGGAGACACACAAAATTTTTTATTAGTTTTACTTGCTTCGACATAGCCAAATCTGGGAAAATTGTGGGTATGTCTTATATCCCATTGAGTATCATCGCTCACATCATCTATTATCCAAACACAAGCATCGTGATCATGCCTTAGGCACACTGCTTGCCCATATTTTCTTTTGCATGTGAATAGCACATGATTATTGCTTCCCAATCTGGCTAAATGTGTCGTTGTTTGTATAGAAAAATTAATTCTTTGTAAGAAATTATCCTTTCCTTCTAGGTCACATTCTTCTAACTGCTCAGCATTAAATCCTACACAAGGTTGATCCCCTCCAGTATTACTATTCTGATCTGTACATAAGTGTGCTAGCCTATAAATGATGATATTACATATATAATATATATAATTATACTATATTTGTGGGTTGTATAGCATATATATAATATATTGTATAGCATATATATATTGTAATATTTGCTTCTATTATTTTGAAAAATTGAAATACAAGAGAATCATAAAAGTATTGTGCAGAATGTTAAATATACCATTAATATTACTAAAAAATGTATAATGCTAAAATATGTAAATTATAAAAAATACCTTGTATGAATTTCTGCAGCAAGAGCATCATTGGGTAAACATTCACCTCCTGTATCACCTTTGATTAATTCACTCCACATTAATCCACTTTCATATTTACTTAGATCAATTTGCAACGTATCTTCTTTAAATCTCCAAGTTGCCATATTCTCCTCTAATCTATGTTGGCATTCTCCTTGTATTAATATTTCATTTTCCATTAAAACAGACAATTCTAATGGCTTGACTTGTATTTTAGGCTGTTTATTGGTATGATATTTAGGTATTTTAATCCAAACAGTAAGCGAATCTTCATCTTGTGACCAGTAATATTTTGGAGTCTTTATTTGTAAATCAATATTTGACTGTTTTATTTCATCTTTAGATTCTTGTGTATCTTCTTTTACAAAATCAATATTATTTTGACAGATGGAATGTAAATAATTACCATTTTTTTCCACGTAGACATAATCTACAGTACCTTGTACCTTTAATAACTGTTTGTCTGTGTGATAAATATTCTTTATCTCATTTTCCACATATTGCAAGGTATAGGATAACAATGTGAGCTGTGTATATTTTTTTTCATCATTTTGTGCAATTGTACACATAGTTACAATAATCTTTAAATCTTTTTCTATATATTGCACATTCATAATAACTCCAGGTTCTATAGGACCCAGTGAAAAAACTTTCATATTCTGTTCTGTATTTCCTATTAATATCTCTAGTTTTTCACCGCCATCAGAAACTACTGAAATCTTATTTAAAGTAAATTCAATTGATGGATTGTACATTAGTTTTGACAAGTCTATGTCTGCAGTATGTAATTTATACATTTGATCCAAGGAATTCTCCTTATTTAAACGCCAAACAATCCAATCTTTATCAATAAACCAACACGACATGTCATACACATTTTTAAATAAATGATTATGAAATGCAAATAGTCTTGCTTCTAACCAGGATTCTTGATTATGATTTGGTTCTATTCTGTATACCTCTGAAAAATATTAATTTTTTTATTAAAGAAAAATATCGTATTTTTATGAAAAACTGTATCTACATACAGATTATAAAATACAAACTAGAAACTTACGATTTTTTAGTTTGATTTCAGAAATTATAGAAACAGCATCAGTAGAAAATTGATACTTTTCAAAAGATGAATTTATCAAAGTTCTATTAGGACGTAATTCAATTATTTCTGTCATAGTTGTCCTTGTGTGTTTTTATAAAAAAAATTTATATATCTATAATATATCTGATCTGCAATATCAAAAATGTGTCAAACAGATAAACTTTTCACAGGATAACCCAACCTTATAGCCGCGATTGTAGTACCATCTAGTATCAATCTGTTATAATAAAAATTCCTTTTTTTATTTTAGTAGTGATAATTTTGTTTATTCACCATAAAATTTTATAAATAAAAAAAATAATACAAGCAAATTAATAATATTAATATATGCATGATTTATATAAATTTATATATAAATGACATATATACATATATTCCAAAATATACATAATGCATGTATAAGCTAAAATTTTATTTAAATAAAACAGTAAATATAAAATTTAAAAAAAATTTTTTTTGTTTATGACTTGCTCATTTACATATTGCGAAAAAAGAAATTGTTACTCCAATTTATTTTAAGCAATAACTTATAAAATATTTACACTTTATATTGTGATATATTAACTGTAAAATATATAATAGATATATAATAATAATGAAATGTACATATGGAGATATATAAGAGAGAGTATATAAGGAAATATATATATATATATATATATATATATATATATATATATATGAGAAATATAAAAGGAAATGTAACATTAGAAAATTGCTCATGACATTAAAAAAGTTTCAAATTATTTTATTAATTTATCAAGATAAAAGCAAAAGATTTTTTGTTCCAATTTGATCAATCAAATGTTTTAAAACTTTTGTAGCATCAAACAGAGTGCATTTATAATTTAAAGATTTCTTATTTTAAATTACATTCTAAATAATACTATGTATATAAAAAGTAATTTAATATCAGTATTTTTACAATAGTAATATTAATCAATACACAAATGTATATATGTTTAAAAAATACTTGTAAAAGATATCAAAACAATCTTCATAACATTTTCTTATTAAGATATTTAATTTGCATATAAAAATATATCTATAATGTATTAGTATATTCATATATATTAGTATATTCATATATTAGTATATTCATATATACATATAAAAAATATATCTATAATATTCTAGTATATTTATATATATTAGTAAGATTTCAATAAAATATATATATTATAGTTTAATAAAATTTATCTCATAAAAAATTATCTTTATCTATATATCTTTAGCTTTTTTATATAAAATATATATTATGTTTAGTATATTTAAAAATAAGCAATAAAAATTTATTTTTAACTAAAAATCACCTATTGCAACAATAATATTAGATAAGGCTTTTCTTGCATCACTTTCTTTAAACACATTTAAAACTTCCATAGCTTTTTGCGAATGTTCCTTTATAAGTTCTTTAGTTAATCCAATACCTGGACCAGCTGCAACAATCTCAAGTACCTGTACACGATTATATCTCTCTCAATATTGATTCATTAAATATAAACTGGAAAACACAAATTAATTTGATTATACATAAATTATTATTATTTTACCTTTAAATAATCGATATTTTCAACTGATTCTAATCCTTTGTCAAGTTCAGTTAAAATTGATGGATCATGTTCAACATGAAACATAATTGGAGCAGCGCACAAATTATGCAAGATTTCTTTGTCTTTATTAATACATAAACCTAAGTCCAAGGAAGCCTGTACAAATGTTATTGTATTAAATTTTTAAATTAAAATTTGCTTATTATTAACAAAATGCAAATATATATTTAATGCATATTTTCTTAAATTATATTACCTGCCAAGCTAAAGCTAGATGCTTGCCAAACTTGTAACCTTCTGTTTGTATTTCTTTACTATGTCCAGCTAACTGCAATGTGGCTTCACAACTTTTTCCAAGCAATGATCCAGCACCATAAACATTTAGAAGTGTCCATTCTTTAAGTGCATAACCCGTACGATTTTCAGGTGGTATTGATGGTATAGGAAAATTTTGATTGTCTCTACATGCTACAAATTCTGCTTGACATAAATCTTTTACTGCAGATGATATTAAGAACACAAGCTGAAAAAAAGACATTAATCTTATTTTAGCTGTGTATGTACATCTTAAATTATAGAAAATATACTAAACTCTTTCTTTTCTCTTTTTTTTTCTTATAATGAATACACTTCAACAAAATTTATATATAAGCAAAAATAATAAATATGCATATTTACATCTTGATTTCTGAGAGATGCTAATTCAGCACAACTATTACTAAGTAAGTAATCACCACATAACAATGCTATTTTATTGCCAAAGGTCATATTGTTCAATTCTGAGGATTCCACAGACAAAGCTTCATTTGTATTTATATTTACCAATCCTCTATGTATCAAATTGCTAATGCGTATCATTTCTGTAACTTCAGCTAATGCCCTTTGACTAAAATTTGTTTATACATTATAGATTAATTTCTTCTTTTCCATGAAATAGTAATATACATTAATTAAATAATGGTAATATACATTATATGTATTCATAACCAGGAACATTGAAAAAAATTATACTTATATAATACTTATGAAATACTATGTAATATTAAATTAATATACCTATGTAATACCCCTGCAGCCTTATCTTCTTCTACTGGTTTTGCATTTAAATGACCAGCAGCTTTAGAGATTAATAATATAATGAGACCAAATACTTGTGTGTTACGTCCATTATAGATAATACTTCTGTTGTCAAAAAATATAGATCATAACTTTATGCTTACAATTAGAGAAATATTGTGTTATACTTACTTAGCTGTTTTTAACAAAGGATGATTGGAGCCAACCAACTTCCTTAAATGCAATGCAACATTTGCAATTTCATCGCTCAATAGCCACCTTAAACTTAAGAAAGACGTTGGATATCCAACAATTTTTTCTGCCTCCGACATAGTTTTATTCCAGTCTGTTTTCTGATTCACTACTACTTTGTTTTCAGCTTGATTAACATTATTAAAATAAAATTTGTTTTGTGTTGAAATACAAATTGTTCTTTGTGGTTGAAAAATCTTTGATTTCCACAAAAATGTAGTCACAGGAATGTTTTTCCAAATTTTGAATATAGTTGTATTTGCAGACATTTTCTCTATTTTATTTAAAAAATTATTACTTTCTTTAGTAGTAATCCTATAATAAAAATACATTATTTAGTCAATAATTCTTTTCAAAATTAGGATTCAATATTTTAACGAAATATTAATTAGGTTGTTCAAAAAGTTATTGCAGTTTCTTAGAACACAAACTAATTAAAAATCAACCATATCAAAAACACAATTATTAAAACAAGAACCAATATCAAACAAAATTATTATTATCAAAATGTAGAGCAAAGTTTGCACTTTAAAATGATATATAACATACATAAAGAAAAAACAATTTTGTGAAAAAAAAGGGATAAATCTTAAATAACAAAAACCATAATAACTTTATGGATAACAAAGTAATTAAATGATCAAATTTTTGTTAAAAATATATTAAAAGAGTAGAACAGAAAATAAACAGAATTTAATCAAAATCACAGTACAAATCAGAAGCTAAATACCTGAGAAACTATATGTGCTTATAGATTAATAAAACAAGTGTGTCCAAACTTTCTCTTTGGCCTAACTTTCGAAAAATTTCTCACATACAATCGAATCTCACATATACATTTGTAAGATTATTTTTTGTTTAAAATATACATTTAAACTTTTAAAAATCATTGTTCTCTCTGTCACAAAAAAAAACACTTTCAATATTTATGAAATTTTCTTAAATTGTTTACATTATTTATAAAGTATAAAATTACTCTGCTTTATTAGGGATGTCTTCCTTTAAATGGGGATGATTTCTCTTAAATTGTGTGTTTTATATTATCACAGCGAAATTTTAAAAAATATAAAATTTAAATAATATATATTTATGAACAAAAAAAAAAGATCGAGGTTATACGTGGACGTACTTGATGCGAAACCAGGTTAAATATCTTTTATTCACATCGTATAAAAGTTAAGACAGCAGAACATTATCATTAAATAAAATTGACAGATTTTTAATTTCATTAAGACTCACCAATTACTCTCGACGGGCGCCAATTAAATTAAATAATAAAAACAGGTGCACGTTATATATACACGTACGTCACTTGATTCATTCAAATCGAGCTCGAAAAAATAATTTTGACGTTGATATTTGATGCACTTGTGGAATACGTTGTACGCGTCAAAGTGTCCAGTTGACGTTACAAAAGCTTCGAATCATAAAAAGCAGGATCCTGTTTCAATTGGTCAATCAAACGCTTCGTAGCTTTGTAACGCCAAATGGAATATGCTAGATGAAAAGTATAAGAAATTTTTAATTAATTATTTATAATGTGTGTGTACATATATATATATATATGTCTGTGCGTAGGTGTGTACAGATATAGATGTATGTCGCAATTTCCGGAAATTACTGTACTTAAAATGAGACAAATATATATTTAAGCGTCGGAAAAAAAGAGAAAGCGAAGTAAAAAGTGCAAAAAGTGCAAATGCTATGAACAGACACTTCACGTGTCGCGTGTTTTATGGCTGATCATGGTTTAGCGCAGCTGATCACGGTTATATGATCGCTACAATTTTAGATGATGGCGTTTATTTTTTAATATTTATTTAGTATTCTCGATGTTGTGAGAAGAAATCGCAGAGAAAAAAAGTACAATGACAAGCATATTGTGTAACCATTTGCTATGCAAGACACCGTGCGACAAAAAGCTGTGGAACATGATGAGAAAAATGTATCGTACCAGTATTTCAACACGATCAATGTTGTCTAATAAATTCTACGTTGCTGGATATAATTCTACATTTTCGCTCCTTAACGTTAGGGTAATACAACTAACAATGTACTTATGAATTGCATTTTATTATCATGATGCTCAATCATTAATCATATAATCATTATATAAAAGCATATATATATAACATATACGGAATTTATACATTTTTGTCATAATTATTAATTATGATAATATTTTTTATTCTTATATTCTTTAATATGTATATATGTATTTTATATTCTTTAATCTATAAGATTTATAATTTTTAAATTTAAACATGCGTGTTATAATACAATTACAGTTAACTTGAAATTTTATATATTATATACAAATTATCGCAATGTAAAAAATAACATATGAGAAATCATTATTTGATTGATTTAAAGATTTATTACATATATAAATTTTTTAGTATACAATAAAAGATTATTGTTACAGCTTCTATAGATAAAATATCTATAATATCTGCAATGGGGCGAACATTGAGAAAACGTCGCCAGAAGAAGAAGCTCAACTTTATAAAATTGAATGAGAATATTGAAGAATCATTAATATCTTTAAAATCCTGGCTTCTAAATGAAAACTGCTTATCGATTCGTCATTTGATACCAGAATATTTTCCTCTCACAGGCAGAGGCTTAAAAACTTTAAAACATATAGAGTGTAACGAAGTATTGATTCAATTACCATTTCGAATGTTAATAACGACAGATACACTATTGCAGAGTAATATTAGATTTTTATTTCTAAATACCACTGATAGTTTTAACCCTCAATGTATGCTTGCAACATTTCTTGTATATGAAACACATTTAGGGATAAAATCAAAATGGTATCTTTATCTAAAAACTCTTCCGCAATCTTTTACAAATCCAGATTTTTGTTCCAATAAAGAGAAAAGAATACTACCAAGTTTTATTTTAAATTCTTTACATCAAGCACATAGATTAGAAAGTAATTTTTCTTTACTAATGAAAGCTGTGAAACATCTGGATATTATCAATAAGAATCATTGTTCTCATTGCAATTTGCATCTACGAAAAATAATAACATTCGAAAAATATAAATGGGCATATTATGTTGTTAATACAAGAGCAGTATATATAGATACCAAGTTATTGCGCGAAAAAAATATATTTAACATAAAACAACCTAATAATCTGGCTTTAGCACCATTTCTAGATTTATTTAATCATAATGTCGATACCGCTGTCAAAGTATCTATTATTACAGATAATAATCAAAATCAGTTTTACCAAATTATTACTTTAAAACCATTTGATAGAGAATCACAAGTTTTTATTAATTATGGAGCACATAACAATCTTAAATTGTATATTGATTATGGATTTTTCATTCCATGCAATCCATTAGATGAAATCTATTTTGATATCTTGGAAATACAAAGATGTTTTGATATCCCAAGAAGCAAATTAGATTTTATTACATTCAATAGTTTCCACAAGAATATGTCATTTACTCGGGACGGTCTTAATTATAATGCGACTGTGACACTATTTATATTAGGTACAAAATTAGAAAAGAATCGTTGGAAAATGAAAATATATAGCAAATCATTTGATCCATATGAATTCTGTTTTATTAATAAATTAGGAATAAGTATTTTAAATATGAAAAAAATGGAATATACACATGTTTTAAATAATATGAGAAATTTAAAATCTAAAAGTCAAAGTTTTTCCATTGCAATTGATCTTGTAGATGAATATATCAATATCTTACATACAGCATTTAATTATATAAAAGAAACAGAAAAAACTGTACATCCAAGAAATCATAATTTACAGCAATCTTAAGATTATTTATATAATATTGTTCAGTCTGTACAATATAAAGCATAGAATATATTGAAAATATTTTTTTCATATTTATATGTACATCTGATATTTTATTACATGTATTTAAGATATTCTATATTTTTTACAAAGTATATGAACAGAGAGAAAGTAATAAATAATGATCAAAATGTATAGTTTTTAATTTTCCTTTTAGTATCAATTGCAGATACAAATATATTTCTCTTTAGAGATATTTCAAAACTATTAAATTTTTTTTGAAATTTTTATTATATATAATTTATATATGTATTAAATTATAATTTATAAACAGTTTATCATATGCAATATATCTTATGCAAAATAAAAGTGATATGATTAGTTTTTATATTTCTTTCAATTATTTGTCTTAAATCTTAAATTAAATCTTAATTAAAATTAATTTAATGAATTTAATCATATATATATATATATATATATATATATATATATATATATATACATATACATATATACATGTTCGTAAATATATATTTATTTTACTTCTTGTAGGATATATTAATAGAGATAAAAACTTTAAATTTTTCTTTTTTATTATAGTATTGCAGTGGGAATGTAATTGACCGTGCTCAGAAGAAGAAGAATGTGCCACAATCTAAATCTGTTGTGCCACCAATTAAATTTTCATCAGTTGTTACTGGATTAACTGGAGCAAAGCCTGGGCAGCAAAAAAGAAACTGTTTTCATCCTGGCATTTCCGGCTTGAATAGAGATGTGCTTGATTTACACAATAAACAATCTATCACCAGTATGGATATGTTGAAAGCCATGCTTAGATACATATGGCCAGAAGTGAATATAATTTATGATTTATGCAACATATATTGCAATATATATACAACATATTTATTATGTATCTTTGCAGGATGATTCAGAAATACGACAAAGAGTTAAAATTGCAGTGGGTTTACTTGTTGGAGCCAAGATCCTGAATGTTTTAGTACCATTTATTTTCAAGCATGCCGTGGATGTTTTAAATACGCACACTGCAACAATCAATGGTAGTGCTCTAATGGATTTAACAACCGCACCTGCGACAGTCGCGACTGTAGCAACCTCGCTACTCGTAGGATGTAAGAAGCGTTATATTTTTTGGATTATTTTAATATTTCAATATGTTAAAGAATTGTAACAGTTACACATAATTTCAGATTAACGTTCTTTGCAGATGGAATAGCACGTGCTGGTGCTGCGGGTTTCAGTGAACTCAGAAATGCGGTTTTTGCAAAGGTTGCACAACACTCTATTCGTAAAATAGGCAAAAATGTTTTTATACATCTACACAATCTTGATATGTCTTTTCATTTGAGCAGGCAGACTGGTGCTTTATCAAAGGTAATATTTAACATGTACCATTTTCTAGTCAAAATCGAAATTTGAAAAATGTTATAATATTAAGATTTGAAAAATATTTATATTCTTTTCACAGACAATCGATCGCGGCAGTCGCGGTATTAATTTTATTTTAAATGCTATGGTATTTAACATAATACCTACAGTATTCGAACTAGCATTAGTTAGTACAATATTGGGAATAAAATGCGGGGTAGAATATTCAGCTGTAGCGCTTGGTTGTGTAGGCGTTTATTCCGTATTCACATTGGCTGTTACACAATGGCGTACTAAGTTCAGGATTCACATGAATCGAGCAGAAAATGAAGCGAGCAATAAGGCAGTAGATTCACTCATCAATTACGAAACAGTAAAAGTCAGTAATGAAGCATAAGCTGCTTACTTTATTTTTAAAAGAAACGAAAAGTATGTTGAAATATGCTTCTTTTTCTTTAGTATTTTAATAATGAAAAATTCGAAGCAGAGAGATACGATGAATCTTTAAAAAACTATGAAACGGCATCTCTCAAGACTAGTACAAGTTTAGCGATGTTAAATTTTGGACAGAATGCTATTTTCAGTGGTGCGTTAAGTCTCATCATGGTGTTGGCGGCACAAAATATAATAAATGGTATATGTATTATTTATAGCTACGACTATTACATTAGTTAGAAATTATAGACTAGTCTCAGAAACTGTTAGAAGCACTATTCATAGAAAAACTAATGCATGTTGTATTTATTATCTTTTATGTTTAGGTACTATGACTGTTGGTGATTTGGTGATGGTAAATGCCTTGTTGTTTCAACTCTCAGTTCCTTTAGGCTTCTTAGGTTCTGTTTATCGAGAAGTAAGACAAGCTTTTATCGACATGCAAACTATGTTTACTCTCATGGCAACAGACACTGCAATTAAAGTAAGATTATTTAAATGTATTTTTTTATAAACTTTTTATCCTTATCTATGAAATAATCTGTAGATAGTCTATATGTCTCACAAATAATTTTAAATTAATAATTTTAAATTTTTTTTCTGGTATTTATTAACAGTCAAAAGAAAATGCACTGCGATTTTATGTGACACCAGATTCCTCGGAAATTCAATTTAAAAATGTAAATTTCCAATATGTTGAAGGAAAATCTATTTTTAAAAATATTTCATTTACCATACCAAGTGGTAAAAAGGTTGCTATTGTTGGAGGATCTGGTTGTGGGTAAGATATTAGCTATATAAATTGTTTGCAAATGATAATACAAAATTTAATAAATATTCAAATGATGATTATCAATAACACAATTATTCCATGCAACATTTTATCTTTCTCTATCTAGTAAGACAACAATTGTGAGACTGCTGTATAGATTTTTTGAACCACAAAGTGGCGATATTTATATCAATGGTCACAATATTAGAGATGTCGATTTAGATGATCTCAGAAATTGCATTTCGATTGTGCCACAAGTAAGATCAATATATCGCTTTTTGCTATTTTGATGATTTAAGCTAATTATATTTTGCATACAAATACTTTAGTAGTACTCTTTTTATTATAATTCATTACAAATTTTAGGACACAGTACTTTTTCATGAAAGTATATTTTATAATCTACACTATGGTAATTTGAAAAAATCATCTGAAGATGTTTTTGAAGCTGCAAAAATGGCAAATCTACATGATTCTATATTAAAATGGCCACAAGGATACGACACACCCGTAGGAGAACGCGGTTTGAAATTAAGTGGGGGAGAAAAACAAAGAGTTGCAATTGCTAGAGCAATTTTGAAAGATAGCCCTATATTAATCTTTGATGAAGCTACCTCTTCATTGGATTCTATTACAGAACATGTCAGTTTAAAAATTTTTTTTCACATTATTAAAAATCAGTTATATATTGTTTTAATAAGTATTTCGTTCATAACAGAACATACTTGATGCCCTACGTAAAGCAACAAATAAACGAACTTCAATTGTGATTGCACATCGTTTATTAACAGTCATGGATGCTGATGATGTACTCGTTCTAGATCAGGGTAATCTGATTGAAAGAGGCACTCATGAATCTTTATTATCTATGCCAAATTCTCTGTATAGTAAATTGTGGGAAACTCAACATATGGGTATGAAGAAACTACAAGGACAAGAAGAAAGAAATAAAACTGAACAATTAAAAATGTAATTTAGGTAAAAAAGTACATGTAATATATAAAAATGAGTGAAAAAAATCTTTTTAAGAAATAAATATAATAAACAAAAATGTTACACATATGTAATATCAACAATTTGTTACAAATAACCATCTTCTAATTTTCATTAAGATTGAAAACAATATTTGTTATGAATGTTTTAATGGATTAAACATAATACAAAGTAATTTTTAAATAATTTGTATTTAGAATTATATGTGCTAATTAGATATATATAAAATTCCTATGTAAATTGAGAAATATTATCTCATCTATCCAAATAATTATTATATAAAGAAATATATATTATATAGAATATATATTAGAATATATATTATGGAATATATAAAGTTGAGAGATATTTAATATATAAACAATTTTACATATTTATTTGATTAAGATAATAAATAATTAAAAATATATTAAATATATTCTAAATACTAAAGAAAAGCATTGATTACTATATATCAGTAATGCTTACATAGATGTTGCCTTAGCAACCATTTGAAACAATTATGGATGTCGACTAGCTCACAAGGAGCATTTGACAGTTCTATAACAACTTGGTAAAGTTGTAACAAATATAACACGCAACTAAAATGCGAGTCGTATAATGCGCTGTGTATAAATATAAAATGCAAACTGAAGCATCTATCTTGCCGGTTGTACAGCTTAATGTGCATAGAACGATCAATAGGTAAATAAAACTTTTTGAGAATTCATCTACTGTTTATAGTATATTTATAAATTGCATTTCTCATTATAAATATTCTGTAAACTTTTCAGATAATACACAAAGAAAATATATATTCCTAGTTAAAATTTATTTAAAACATTTTTTATAAATATATTTTTAACTTATATATGCATCTTCTTAAGGTTCATTGTTATTTATTCCAAGTATAGTTCAACTGATATTATATTATACAATATTAATTATAAAAACGTTATAAAAAAAGAGAAAATTATTATAAATATTACAATATTTTAAATTAACATTTTATTTATTAAATATGTAATTTGTAGAAAACCTGATTCAAAACCCAATTCAAAAAATTCAACACTGGAATCTAAAAAGCTGTCTCTTTACAAAAAAACATTACTTCCATCAAACAAAAAATGCTTGAATCCTTTACTTGGTTTGTATAAAAGCACAAAAATTCAAATGTATTAATTATTTTGTAATACTTAGATATATATACATATTTATATACATCTATATATATATATAGGTGCACCATATAGAGGTAGTATTAAACAACAATCATTATCGGATGAACCAAAATCTAGTAATAAAAGTGTTCTTGGACAAAGAGTAATGTCAGCAAAAATGCTTCGTTTCAAGCAACTACAAAATCAACTAGCTGATGCACATTATCATCTCAATGTAAGTTTTAAAAGATATTCTAATATGTTCTATGTATTTAATATTGTATGTGAATATTTAATACAAAAATAATTTCTTTATAGGAATTAGCAAATGAAAATAGATTATTAAAAGCATTGCAGAAAAGACAAGATTCCGCATTAAAACGTTATGAAGGTACAAATGCTGAGCTACCAAGACTTATAAATTCGCATCATGAAGAACTGAGAATACTTCAAACAAAATATAAGAAATTAAAAGAGTTACATAAGGATACATGCAACTTGCTAAAAGAAAAAGAAAATGAACTTTATTCTGTAAATGTGAGTTTCTCAATTGATATACTAACATGTAATGTAATATTTAGCATGTATTTTAGAAAATTTTATTTTGCAGTCACAAAATAAACATCTATTACAACTTAGTAAAGATCGAAATCTTGAAGAGAGAGAAAAGTTACAGTTGCAATTATCTGACATGAACCATAAAATGCAACAACAACAAGAAACTATACAGGTAATTATCAATATATTTATTTTATAATAATAACAAAAATATATATAATTACTAGTTATATATGTAAAGTATTTTATAATAATAAAATATGTACTAGTATATGTAACAAAAAAATATGTACTAGTTATATATGTAAAGTATACTAATTATATTATGAAATTGTGACCGACAAAATATTATCTTTGCAGCTCTTACACAGAAAGCTTGCACTTGAAACTAAAAGTTTAAAACATCAATTACATGTTGAGATTTCTAAACATAAAGAAACACAGAAAAACTTGCAAGAAACATTAGAGAAATTAAAAAGCTTAGAATATTTATTAGACAATAGAGAAAAAAGATTATATTATAATGGTCAGTTGCCAATTTATAATAAAGAGAAAAATCTAGGTAGTCATTCTTTTACAAATCTCAGGTACAAAAATTATTATAATTTATTTTAATTATTATCTAAATTATTATATATCTCTATATTTACTTCCAATAATGTATATACATAAAATAGATCTATTAAGATTTATTAATATATGTCTACATTTTAGCACCTCTAATCCAGTTAAAGTATCTAGCAGGAGTAAAAAAAGCGAAACTAATATATCAAAGGACAATTTGGTGAGAATAAAATACATGTAACTTATGTATAATTAAGTATGAAATATTTAACAAAGATTACAGATTTTTTAAATGTGATATAATTGTAGCCATTATTGGATACATTGGCGTCTAATGTTGATGAAAAAGTAAATCGAACGACGAATAATACGAATGATTCAGTGGATCAATTGAAATCGGAAACAATGGCAAGTCTACAACAAATACGAAAGTTTCGATTGCAAAGGTCATCACATATGCGTAAAAACGCACATTCTATGGATGATTTAAGATTTAGATCTAAAGATCCAGAAATGAAAATATATAATGAAAAAATTACAAAAGATTATAAAGAAATGTTGGAGAAAAATGATTTGACTAACGATAAAAACGAAAGTGGTAAATTGCGAAAATTATTTAGCAAAATAAAAAAACAAAAAGAAGCGAATATCGAATTCGACCATTCATCTGATGACGGAGAGAATGACAGTATTATTGAATACGATATGAAATCTTATGTCACAGATACTGCACAAAAATCTAGAGAATTATATGCAAGGTATATATAATAAGAAAATATATGTAGTTTTCTAAAAATATCATAACACAAATATTATATAATTAGATTATTTAGCATATTCATTTTTGTTGTATAATTATTGATATAACTCTAATTCTCTTTATACTGTTTTATAATTATTTTGTTGCTTCTATTATAGATTAATTAGCAACACAGACGATATCTCTGATACTTTGGATGATATGATGAAGAAGACAAATATTCATTATAGTGATGAAGAAGAAGAAGAATTAAATACAAGTTTAGCAAAAGATGTTATGTTTCAGAAACACACGAGCAAATTAAGAGTATTACAACATTATAGAAATAAAGATATTTATGATAGTGATTCTGAATTTGATTCCGATGAGAAGATAGATACAAATGGGGATTCTTCTATAGAATATAAAACTAATAATTTTCAAACCGATTTATCTGAGTATACCAAATTGAGTAAATCTTTTAATGATGTTCATTCAGATGATGCTTTAGAAACAAAAGAACAGTCTATCATTGACAAATTAAAGGATGCACAACTACAAAGGATGTCTAATCACATTCTAGATAATCTCCATATGGAAAACAAAGAAGTTCCTCAACAATCTTCAAAGAAATATTGGCTGGAAAGACAACAATTTCTGGAGAATAATGAAATAGAAAATTCACCTATCGACATTAAAAAAGAAGATTACATAAAGGAAAAAGATGAAACATATTTGAAAGATAAGCCAGTATATATTGATGTATCATATAACGAGGTAAATTGTGACACAAATAAAAATGAAGAAATGAAAAATTTGCCAAGTCCAAAAAGAAGAGAAGCCAAAAAAGACTCACAACAAGTTTATGAAGAAGAATGCACAACAAATTCTGATGAAAACAATCCTGGATATAATTTACAATTAGAAGAAGAGAATCTTAGGCCTAGAGTAGAGGAAAAGCCAAGTATAACACAAAGCAATGAAGAAACATTAAATACAAGTAATTTCAATGTAGAAACAAAAAATAAATTGAATGTTTCGTTAGAAGCAGAGAATGTTAACATTCCCACTATTATTCAATCTCAGACTGAGCAGACTAATAGTATAAAAGCTGAACGAATAGACAATAAACAAATAAATGACAAAAAAAAAATAATTAATTATGATAAAGAAAAACTATTAGCTACAATGAAAGCTATTGATGACAACGAAAATATTGAATATCTAAATCAAGGATACAAGAATCACAATACAAACAGAATGCAGATAACGGAGAATTTATATCGTGGCTTACCTACACACTCGAAACCAAAACGCGATATTATTAAAGATATATTTGAAGACAACCATATAGAAAATAAAGTCAGAGGCACTTGCAGTAAATCTCATTGAGATTTGAAAAAGTAAATCTCATTGAGATTTAAAGATAATAGTAAATAGCACAAAACTTATTTTCTCTTTTTTCAATTCCATTAAACTCTATGCGCAAATATATGACAGATGTAGTATATTATAAAAAGAAGGCATATATATTATATTTTTTCTAGAGTATATGGAAGTTTTTATCAACTTGCCTGAATATATGCCACTGAATATTAGATATACTTTATTCAAAATAAACCACACAAGAAGAATGCATGTATTTTGTCTTTTAATAAAAAATAAAATAAATTTAAAATCTATCTCACAAAGAATAAATCGTATATTTGAATAGATGACCACATCACATAGTGAAGATTTAGATATTTAAAATATGTTCTATTTGACACTACAAAAATTTAAATTATTCGATTAATTAATCAGAGGATTCCTCAATCAATTGACGTCTCGATTGCAATCGGTATTCAACCGATTTCATATTTACATATTGAACCCTCTATTTTGAAATGGTCAAGAAACTCAATTCTTCCTTCTCAATTATCTCTTTATGTTCTAAAAATACAGAAATAAAAATGTCATTACACTTTATTTGTTATTCATTCATTTTCTCATTTTATGAAATTACAAAAAACATTTATAAGATGATTTACAATCAATTAAAAAAATACTATATTGTTTCTTATTAACAACAAATGAGATTATTTAAATTAATGTGATCATTTAAATTATTTTACAATGTGATCATTTAATTTACAACTGATCATCACGAATAATAAATAAAATTTCCTTCTCTCTACAATCATCTATTTAATTAATTATTTCAACATGCATTATTATACACATACATTATTAATAATTTGCCAGAATAAATATGTATGTATTAATACTTATTCACACACATTATGTAACTAAACATATATGAGAAAATAAGTGCACAAGGAAGTTGTGTTATAATAGCGATTTTATCCTTAAAAGTTACCGAATAGGAGTACTGATCATATTTTTTTACGATATAATAAAAATAGTGGTTTTCTGATATTTTATGTGAATAAATAAATATCAGATTAATAATAACGAGATATATTTTATGTATTTATTCATTGTATTATTATGGATGTCCCAGAGCATTATATACAAGCGCTTGTGAGTAGGTAGAGCGTCGCCGACAAATGCCTGAAAAAAATTGTGCACATTATATATTACCCTCTGAGAACATTGTGGACACTGCCTTCGTAATTCATGTCCACAGAGGGCGTAAGGATTATCTAAAGGCGGGTTCGATGTTCACTCGCAATAAATAGCAAATTAGTCAAAGTCTGGTCAAAGTAACATAAAAATTTTATAAACAAAACCTTAATAATCTTTAATACATATGATATATATGTAATATGGTCAGACTTATATTGTATAAATGTATGTAGACGGAAATAATATTAAATAGATATCAGCTAGTAGTAGTTTAACGTCGATTGTCACTTAAGGCAATTGTCAACAATGTCACGAACTGGGACGAAGCTTGACGCGAAGAAAGTGGCAAGTATTACATTGTTTTGTATGCACACATATTAATTTAATATCGATAAATGTAATATAATTTTTTTTTATTTATTTCAAGTATAAAATTAGTCTTGAAAGGTTATGGCCATTATTAGTTTCAAAAAATGAGAATTAATGATTATTTTAAATTTTAAATTTATAAATTTTAAAAATTAATATTAATATACCAGCCGTGTGTATGCATCACAAGAAATAATATTCTGATTTAATTTATGCTTTGTTTATATATATATTTGTATTATATTACAGAATTCTGAATTATTTACTCTAACTTATGGCGCACTTGTGGCCCAATTGATTAAAGACTATGAAAATGTGGAAGATGCAAACAAACAATTAGAAAGAATGGGATATAATATAGGAATTCGACTGATAGAAGATTTTCTGGCGCGAACTGGTTCTGGTCGATGTTATGACTTTAGAGATACAGCAGAGAAGATTCAAAGTGGCTTCAAGATATTTCTTGGTATAACACCGTCAATTACAAATTGGAGCCCAGCTGGCGACGAATTCTCTCTATGTTTCGAGACAAATCCATTGACAGAATTTGTAGAATTACCAGATAATTGTTCAAACTTGAAGTATTGTAACATATTAACTGGTGTACTTCGAGGAGCTTGCGAAATGGTGCAAATGGAAATTGCTTGCTGGTTTGTACAAGACCAACTTAAAAATGATAATATAACTGAATTACGTGTAAAATTTGTCAAAAGATTAGAAGATGCAATACCAGCAGGCGAGGATTGAATATATCTGTTATCTAATGTGCAAATGTTATCTATAATTTTATCATTTTAATGATAAAAATTTTGTATTTTGTGTTATAATAATTACAAGATATATTAGTCACATATGTATTTTCTCATATACTATTTGCATCTCATTATTTTTCATTTAAAAATAATATATTAAAGATTTTTCCATATATTACAGTTTATATTAATGTAACTATGATGAAATGAAATATATGATAAATTTATATATACATATACACAAAAATATAGTACATACATTATTATTCTTATAACAATGAATAACATTATTTATTATTTTTACAATAATAATATATTTCTCTATAAAATATATTAAAAAATCTTGCTTTTAAATAGCACTCTAATAGATAATCTTTTTTTCCACAAAGAATGCATCTGTCTATGTACAAAAGAGGTTATAAAGGTTATATTCGTATTAAGTGTCGTACGTAAAAAGAGGGTTACACGAGATCTTATTTAGATTTTTGCAATTTTATATATACTTTTTTCAAGTTGCAAAGAGAGTATAATTTCGAGGAACATATATTCCAATTGTAATATCTCTTACTAAAATAATTACAATAGTATAATTAATGCTAGTACCATACACTTGGTAAGTTTTGTCAATGTTGTTTCATTTTTATAATATATTACAATAAATTATATAAAATATTACATACTACAATTCTTCTCTTTATAATTTTAACTTATATTTTATATTTCTTCGTCAATCAAATATCAATAGTAATAACATTAAAACTTAATAATAACGATAATTATTTTTTAGATATATATTTTTAAATTATTTTTTGCATTATCTGTTTTTAGTATATCATGGAAGTGAGATGCAAACATTGTTGTAAATCTCTTTTTAAAGGTGACTCTATTTTATTTAATGCACATCATGAAATAAAGCAGCATCCAATAGATTTAGGATGTCAGGCAGATAATTCTGATTACTGTTCATATATGACTTCAGAAAATGTACCAGACTGGATTATGAATATTATCAATCAGGTATATTTTCCTTATTAGAATTCAAAAAATATGTTTAAAAAATATGAGATATAAATCAAAATAATTATTTTTATAGGAATCTTGGACTAAAGGTAAATTACATTGCCCATATTGCAACAGTCGCTTAGGATCTTTTAACTTTGTAAGCAATACAAAGTGTTATTGTAATAAATATGTAACACCTCCCATAAGAATAGTTAACTCTAAAATAGATATACTATATGAAAGAATAAAATAAGAGATAAACATAAAAGATAAACTGTTAAAGAATATATATTTCTATGTATATATATATATATATTCCTCTTTTATATTTATATATATATTCCCCTTCTCCATATACTATTATATTCTTTATATTTCCAAGAACAATTTTTAAAATTAAGGAAAATATAAGAAATTATACTTTAAAATATATTTTAAATAATTTTTAATAATACTTTATATATATATATATATATATATATATATATATATATGTGTATATATATATTTTATTTTAAATAATAATTCAGGTTTTTTTATGCAATTACAACATATTAAAAAATAAAATTTATTAGTTTATTATATATTTCTTTAATTTTTTATTTAATATATATTTACATCTTTTTTTTATATAGTCACAATTAATTATATCTTTCTTAACTTATACATATGTATTAAGACTTATATATATTTATAGCATGATGAGAAAAAAGAACGCATCGAGATATTTTAACATCATATATATACAATGTGTAACATTTTATATATATTTTTACAATAAAATTACACTGTGTGTGTGTATATACTTTTTATAGAGAACATTTTGTCAACTAATACTGCTATCAACAATATATACAGCATAAAATAGAATTTTATTAGATTATGTACAAAATTGGAAACGTATGTATATACATATATATATATATATATACCTATCATGTATTGTATATCAAAGTATATCAAGTCTGGATATAAATATTCCTTTTTTAAAAATAATTTGCTAATTTAACTACTTCAACTAATTTTTTTATAAAAATTATAAGTATAAATAAAATCTTTCTAACTTTTGGATCCCTTTATATATTTTGAAGAATTATAATTTTTCTGGAATTGTAGGAGATTATAATATTCACATAATTGTATGATATTATTTAAGATAGCTTTTAATAATATTATACTCCAACAAAATTGAATAGTATTTGTAAAAAATTTAATTCAATTATGAATTAATATTATAGGAATTAATTTTTTCATATCTTTATATTCCTTATAGAAATTTGTTACTTTTTCTGTTTTTATTAATGTTTGTTAATAAAAACCTCGTTAGGATTTTAATAAATAAAATGATAACATTTACACATATATATTTAATATTACAAAAATGTTATATATCTTGTTTTTTATTGCAAGAAAAGGAAATTAAGAATTTATAATAATAAAGTAACTGAAAAAAAATAAAATATATTATTACTAACAAATATATAACAATTTATTTAAAAAGTTGTATCATATAGATAGATTCCATAATTTAATTATATATGTAATTTTGCGCTATTTCTCTATTATGCAGCTATTTTTTCATAATGTTGCCTTTAGTTTTTTGTGATTTTATCACAGTGGTTTATAAAGTTAACAAAAAAAAAGAAAGTAAAAAAATGCATATGAATTTTTATAATATATACCTAGACAAAAACCAAGTATCGAGAAAATTTTACATAGAAATTTGTATTCAAGGCACATATGGTCCACTAAACGTTAGTTAAATAGTTACTATAATGTTCAAATCGTATAAAAGTTAGTTGATCTATTCATATTAACATGACAAAAAAAATCATAAAGTTGAAATACAGTGCATTCATTATGTGAGATTAAATTTTAAAGTTATAAGAATACAATTTTTTGATAGCAAAAATCAAAAAAGACAATACAGTTCAATTAAATTTATAAATGGATCAATCAACATTGAATATGAGAAACAATCTCCTATATCACATTGATATACAGTACATCCTTTCCTACAAGCTTTTTAATAACAATCGAATCAGGATATTACAACCCAATGAAACTTAAATGCTACAACTGGAACATTTCATCTTGTTGCTGCTCAAGTCTTTGTAAGGAAGTCTTTACTTTTTTTCCTTGTGTCATTACTACAGCAGTTGGAAAATTATGCATATCACTAGAGGACATGGGTCTGACAGTATCAGAGGAGGGTGTCGAGTAAGTATTCGACGTAGTAGGAAATGAGTTTCGTAATTTAGCAGATCCACGCCGTCGTTGTACATAAACATCATTGCTATCAGTACAGAATCTGTAACAAAATGATTTATTGATGATATATATATGATTTTTTTGGTAGTAAATATTATGCTTAAACTCGAATTTGTAGATAATAAATTATGAAAATGTGCTTTTATTTTTGCATATCTTTTTTATATTATTAGTTTAATATTTTATATATAACACATGCTTGAAAAAAATTCAAATTTTATTTGAGTTATATTGCATAAAGCACAGGAAATAACTTACTCACTGTTCCCTTGAGCACGTTTGACTTCTTTCTTAACATTAGCTATTGAAGAATCCATTTTAGCTAAGAAATCACCAACTGAACTTTCATCATCAATAGATGATATAGATGAAGGACTAGATACCTAAAAATATTACATATGCATTTGTAAAACATGTTTATTCTTAATGAAGTATAATAACATCTGCTTTTTGTTTCTTTTTAAATTTTCTTGTTAAATTTTACTTACATTTGGAGGGATGTCATGTTCTTCAGGAGCTACGGATTCGTTATTACATACAGAGGCAGAATTATCTGCATTAATAGGAATAAGCAAATGTTCTCGTAAAAATAAACTATCTGAAGCCCATAATCTATTAATCCTTCTAATTTGTTCTGTCTGCAAAAATTGATCATATATATATTGGAATCATTATTGCTTAAAGCAATATCAATATTTTGGGATCATTGAATAAAGTACAAATGTGACAACAAATGTAAAATACAAAAATGAAAAGATCTTGTGCATAAATAAGCCATACCGTAACTCCATATTTCAGAGCTATTCCTTGGAGAGTATCTGTAGGACACACTGTGTGTTTCACTAAACTCTCGGTCCTTGTCATGTGTTTAGCTGTACTCCCATACTTTTTTAGAGCCTTCCCAGTATCTCGAATATATCTACGCTCCTCCATCTCTCTAGCACCATTTCGCTCCATTGCTAGGCCTTTAAGTGATGATGCTCATGAGAGAGTAAGACATATTGTAATTCGACGACGTTGTTTCAAATCAATGAGTCAATTCAAGAATCAGAGAAGATCAAGAAGATCAATCTATTTTATTCACATCGTCCCACGCATAACCTGTTAAGGATTTTATGGAATTAGACAATTAAACGTACTATCAATTTTCAATCAAACCAATGAAAGTCACATCGAAAAATTCGCATTGTTTCACTAATCTCTTTTCTTTATCTCTCAGCATCTTACGTGAGGTGAAACTTAAGGATATAGCACTTACGAGGTGCAATAATAAACGATTTCTAAGAAGTTGGAAGCGCTTTCATGCCTGGAATAGCGTGCACGCGCGTGCGAAATTTTATCATTCTCTTGGGATCATTGATAATTTTTCTCGCTGATTTTCATCGAATTAGTCACGAGGAAAATCACGGGATCACACCGATACATGTACGATACGAGCGCTATGGCTGATTAACGTGATCGCACCTGGGTGCGAAAAACTTAGATATGCAATAGCGAGTAGTGCATCCATACTGCATTGCTTACTGAGAGATGGCATTATGTATCATATGATTCAAATAAAATTGCAATCGCGATAAGGTGCAATTTTGAAAAGTATATGGAAAATAATTTCATTTTCTTTAGGTTCTCTTTTGATCTGCGTCTTTAAAATTATTCGAAAAAATTTCTTGTAAACAAAAAAAAAAAAAGAGAAAGGAAAAGAAAACGTGCACTCCGTTTCAAATCACGTGGGACTGCATAGAAAATGAGGCAATCATATAACAGCACGAGAGTCTCGAAAAATGTAATCAATCATTTTTATTAGGCTACATTACAAAAAATATTTAGTATTATATTTGTACGAGATAAATTAAAAATAAAAAAATTGAACTTAAAGCATAAAACGGCAATATTTGAATTTCGTTTTGTGGGCATATAAAATAAGAAAATAATGGAATGAGATTTTAATAAAAAAATGTTCATTATAATACGTTACACAGTTATCTATTTTTAAATACAATATATTACAGAGAAACACACAATTTTTTATATAATTTATTGTTATTATAATATATCTATTATAATTAGCTTAGGATTATTATTATCATTACTATGTTGTGTGCTAGCCTCGATGAATATATAAGGCAGCAGGAAAAATTATGTGTAATGGGAGACTAATGCATTTTTTTTTAGTTAGGACAACTGTATCGTCGATTATTACGGTTGTATTAATCCCCAGTAGCAATGTGCAACAGTAACGGCGATATTGGTAATAAATAGTTAACGTAAGGATAAATATTACGCTACCGCGGCAGTGTACTTCCTGGATTCTGTGGGTAAGGGGCTGGTTTCTCTAATTATCGGGACTATATCGGCTAATATTCTACATGATAGACCCCTCCCCGCTATTCTCCAAATAGTATTGTGGCTACTCAATGATGATTAACATCAACAAGCAGCGCGTTTATATTTAAAATTATTTCTTTCCATAAACTGTCACAGACAAGAGTTACGGATAAAATTTTCATTTCCTCTCTTATATGAATATCTATACGATCAATTTGATTTTTTTATAAACCGGTACCTTGGAAAAAGGGATCAGAGAACGATCAGAGTTACAACAGAAATTGGAAATGTGTATACGTATGTGTATATGTATGCGGATGGACACATAAAGTTATAAGGCTATCTAAAAAAGAATAAGAGTACAAAAACTGCTTGATTTGATGTAATAATAGAAATTATTTTGATGCGAGTGTATCTCTTGGATTTACACATTTCACACAAACACTTTGGCGAGAGCGTCGGCACCAGCGCTTGCTATAAATGGTCTTGATGGGTGAAACGCTACGTCCAAAATACTTTCGTCAAATTTCTTCCGATGTGCTGTTATCTCCTGAACACAAGTCTTGTTGTCCATATTCCATAATCTTATACTGCAATCATGACCTGCATAATAAGAAGTACTGAATTAGAAACACTAATACACATGACTTTAAAAATTAAATTTTCATTAAGTATAATTACACATTTTAAAATTTCGTTATCGTGATTTAATAAATTATTTTCTGTCTTTATACTTACTTCCTGAAAGTAAGTATAGACCATGAGGATCTACAGCGAGACTAGTAACTGCGTCCAAGTGTGCTACCATCGCGTGAGCAAGAGTAGCTGATCGGTGATCGTAAAATCGAATATGCCGATCTTCATGCGCGGCCACAACAAGTGGTAATGTTGGATGAGCTACAACGCGATTTACGCCTTTCGTTTCGTTCGCCTCGAGTCGCGCAACGATTGCGCCAGTTTCAGTATCAAATACCACGCAAGCTCCTTCATAAGCTACGACCAGCTTGTGCGGCTCGTCCCTGATAAAGTCTACTGAAGTTGGTATGCCGTCTATAAAAAGAAAAATCATTATGACATATTTAATAATCTACAAATATACAATATATAGAAAAAACTTACATTCAATCAATATTTGCTAGATAAAGTTCTGCGAATTTGACTTTTGTGTTATTTTAAATAAAACTTGCTCTACTTGCTAATAATTATCTAACAGTGTTAACGCTTTAAGTTTAAAACATTATATAATATTTATGTACCTTGTTCCGAGACATATGTATTGAGAAGAGGTTGTGTGGCCTGTGGAGCCCATAATTTTACAGTTCCGTCTGCGCTGAACGATAGCATGGTAGCACGCAGATGATACATACTCAAACCCCAAACGGCATTTGTGTGTCCTGTTAATGTGTGACTAAGGACACTTGGTTCGTACGAATCGTACGGATCAATGTTAGCTGATGGAAGTGTCCAACAATGGATATTGCCATCTAAGCCACCACTGTAACATCGATTGCCCGCACTGCACATGGCTAGACACAATACAGGTCCAGTATGTGATCTGAACGTGTATAGTGGTTCTACATCTAATGAAGCTGACCTGCACAGAAAAGTATAACAATATTTTATATACATTTCTTTAAATATGTTGTAATTATAAATGTGTTATCATAATAAGAAAACAAGAATACAAACTTCTTTGCTGGAACAGTCTTATGAAGATTCCACAATTTCAACGTGTGATCATCACTTGCAGTGATAAGAACTGGATCTGTGGGATGGAAGACAAGTGCCCTAACAGCATCGAAATGCGATCGTAATGTATATTTTGCATTCCACGTTTTTCTGAAGGTTTCTTTTGTGGTGGAAACTATCTGTATAATAATATATATTGGAGGCATTAGTAAATTATAACATTAACTTTCAATATTAATTTATGAAACAGAAGAATTCTTTCAACTTACATCGTATGATATTTCCGCATCATTATTAACACATAATTGCTCTAATTCTCCTAATTCCAATGTGGAATCACCTTCTTTATTTGAGTGTCTTGGATCTAATTGCAATTCTCTATGCATGTCTATTGCATCTGCATTATTTGATTGCAGAAAATAACAATTAGTAACAAGCAAGTAAAAAGATATTTTAATATATGTACTGATGTAAATAGATATGTAAATAAATACTAGAATGTAAATAGATACTTTAAAATAAATTTGAAATATAAATCTGACATCCAAAATATGTGAATTATACAATAAGAACTCTTACTTACTCCATTTTGAATGAGAATTCTTTTCCAGATAAATAGAACCAGGTGGTGATTCTTCAATTTCTGTGAGGAGATTTAATTCGTTTAATACCTCTTCTGCTTCTGCATCTGTGTCAACATCTTCTCCTAGCAGGGGCATAGATGTCTGCAAGAGAAAGGTAAAAGTTATAAATACAGAAAACAGAATACACAATACATAATACAAATACAGATAATACTCATATCATAAAGTGAAATATAATGAAAGTATAGAAATAATAATAATAATAATTACTTTATTTGGTTTGGTATCTGTATTTGCATCATAAATTTCATCTTCCACATCTCCTTCTTCTTCTTCCATATCCATATCTGTGTGACCCAAGAATTCAAAATTTGCTATAACAGCTGCTTCTGTGTCTAATATCATTGCTTCTGCTATAGAAGATGGCTGTTGCTAAAATAAAAATATTATATTTTTATGTAGACATTATAGATATAATATGCAATATATTTAGATTTTAATCATTTATTTCTAATTTCTAAAATTTTGTAATAAATTTTTATTTATATACATTCACGTGCGCATATATATATACACGCAACAAAAATTATAATTAGTACTAGCATTAGTGTTTCTTTCTAAAAGAATTTATCTAAAAACATTTATTCATAATGTTTACCTTTTTTGGAGGATGCTGTTGCTTTCCCCGACGTACAAGACTTTCATTATATTCTTGTTTATCTTGTACTCCTTCATTTCCATTTAATGCTGGAGTATTCATTTCCTCTGTGTCTGTGTTATTGTTTAAACCGAGCAATGATCTTACTCTGTTTGACCGTACATCTATTATTGTATCAGTATATCCAATCTCTTGTAAATATCTAAAAAAAAATCTTTTATGAAGATTTCTTTCTTTTATCTTTTAAAATTAAATATTTTAGATTAAATTAAAATATTTATATATTTTTTAGTTTTTATCTATGATACAATAAATAATATATAATAATAATAAAAAATTTTATATATTAATAACTTAAAAATTATATTTTTCTGAAAACAACAAATATTTTACATACTGCCTTAGAAGTTGACGACCTTGTCTCCAACTAACATTACTGACAGATGTGAATGAAGCTTCTCCATCTCCACCTCCTCCTCCGCTGCCACCGCCACTACCAGCACTACCTCCAACACCACCACCACTTTCAGAGATATTGCACGTAGTATCTTCTTCATAAAGAGGTGGTTTGATATCTCCTTGCATTATTAAGTCGGTACCATATTTTAGTTTGTGATACCTTGCTCTATAAAAATAAGAGATAACATTTAAATGTTATTGATATAAATTATGGATGTCTTTAAATATAGATATTTTAATGCAATCACATATACTTTAATAATAATTTAATAACATAATGTTGAGAATATCTACCTCATATATGATATTCAATTAATTTATATAATTTGTATTCTGAATTTAGTGTATGTTTGTGTACATAATTAATTAAAAATATATTTATCGTAATATCTTATATCTTAATCTTTTTTTTTAATAGATAAAAGAATAATTATTTAATTATCTTATTACAATATATATGCATGTGTGTGTATGTATATACACTATGTGTATGTCTGTATGTGTACACATACATTAAATATTATACTTTAATATTCGAATATTTTGAACTAAAAATATTATTTTTAAATAATTTATTTCAATTTATTTTCAAATAATGAAGCTGTATGTATGTGCAATTATATGTATACGTACATAAATAATTTATTATTTACCTTTCTTGCTTAAGCGCATATTCTAACATTTTTATTCTCCTCACAAGATCATTCTTCAAATTTTCTTGTCCTTTCCTTTCACCTTGAAGGAAAGCTATCCTAGCCTATACAACAAAATACAAAGAAAAGTTAATTAATATCAAGAATTTATCATTAATGATACTATTCTATATTTCTTATTTCATAGTTTGCTAAACATCATTTACATTGGTAATGTCAAATAGCTCGAGTATCAAGCAGAGAGGCACTTCTTATGTTTCACATGGCAAATGAAAAGCAACAGTGTTACGATGTGACTATATATTCAAATCACAAGACATTCATTACTAATACAGTCTATCGCGAACATCTGTATTATCCTAAAGCTGACAATTGGTTGGATTTTTTTTACGTTTCGATGATTCTTCCGTCACATGACAGCTGAAGCAGTAAGTACGAAGGAATAATCATCGCGCGTCCGAGTCGACGTACGATACAATTACCAGTGGTCGAATTGAAATCCGTATATACCTGAAATTCCGCTCTGTCCAGCTCCCATTGGGACCTCTCGAGCTCGAAGCGGGCCCACTCGTGTTGAATAAAGTGCAGAATACCAGGCATCGAGTACTGCGGTCGCTGGTCCTTGGCATCGCCGTTGCTGCCATTGTCGCTGCCGCCCTGGTGCTTATTGTTGGCGATGGAGACATTCGCGCCGCCGGCCAGCTGGCCGTTATGATTTTGGGACGCGGGGCTACAGCTATCCTCCATTGTGGCACCACAAAACTGGCTGGGCACCTTCATTTCATGACACGGCGGCCATTACAGCAACTTCCCTTTCTTCGCCGAGTACCCCGAGAGTGCTCTCCGGTCGGACAATATATTTCGATCGGCTCGTCGGGAAAGGAGAGACAATTATCACGCATGCGGACGCGATGCGTGCGCGTTTCGCGCGAGAAAAAATTCGCAGTCCCGCTCTCTCGCGAGATCTCGCTCTCGAGCGACGCTCTTGTGGAAAAGCGGAGGAATCTCGCGCACACGGATGATCGTTTCCTCTCGTCTCGCCTTTTTGCTACGCCGCCCTCGCTTCGTCAACAACGGGTCGACGGGTGAAAGTTGTCGCGCGACATGCCTCGTATCCAGCTGCGAGGGTCCTATCTGCACTTGGCCGATCGGTCCGCGCGCATCGTCGTCGAAAATCTTAATCTTACCCTTCAATCGGCCCGATTCACCGACGACATTCACTACCCCCTCGCGGCTATCCCTTTCGCCGAGCGGATCGCCCGTTTGTTTTTCTAGTCCTTGCTACGCGGCGCGTTACGGCCTCCACGTCGGTTTTTATTGGCTGTCCGTCTGTCCGCGAGCCACTCCGACGTTCCACCTGACGCACGGAAGCTCCATTCATCTCTGCGCGACAATCTCTGTGGACCAATGATGTTGATCGCGCGACTGTACACACGTCGGTACGAACGTGAGTAACCTTGTGAACTGAGCCTGATTATTCCCCATTCAAAAATATCATATATGTGTATGTACTTTCGTTCTCCATGACGTCGTTTATTATCCAATGAAGATAAAGTAAGAGAAATTTGGTTGATTTATTTAAAAATTTCTTTCGACCGGAAAGTCTGTCGTTCTGTAAACGAAGCTGAGCATAATATATAATATGAAGGTTGCAATGAATTTTAGTTTAATGAGAAAAATTTACGAAAAAGATTTTTTTAAATTTATTATATGTATTAAACATCAATAACAAAACAACTATTTTGTTACAAGTACCGCATTTCAGATATGTAAAGTAGTAAAATCTTGTTTTCATCGATTTTTGATACTGGCTGTACTCTAGTAATTTTTACTCAGTCGATATATGATTTATTGAAATAAATTACAAGTTTAAATTTCCATGTACTTAAGTCATTTAAAACTATCTCTTTATATTAACATGGATTTTCAGCCGTCCCTCTTATTCCAAATATACAAGTGAAGAAAAATAACGATCATGTGTACAATTTTATGTATAATTTGTGAAATAATTACATTAAATGATGCTCGTTGTAATCGCTTTGAACAGCGCTACAACTTTTATTCTATCGAAATATCTGCATAATATTAGTAAAAAATTATGCATATTTTTTCATTTTTAAATAGCTTTTCTAAGCAACTATTATACTCGCAATAAAGTTTAGGTCAAATCATTTAATTTGATATAAATTTATATGAAGTGTCTCTTTCTTATTTTATAAGAAGAGAATATACTTCACTCACTTCAGTCATTTATGATAAGACACCCTATATATTACTATACTTACAGTAGACACACAATACACACACACACACACACACACATACACACACATTTCTTATAAGTGATGAACATAGATACAAATGATAAAACACAATAATACAAAGTAATATTACAAATAATATAATAAATATAATCATAAATATAATCATAATATAAATATAAACAAAAAAATAAGAACATATAAACAACAATTTTTAAAGTGACTTAAAAATTTGAATTATGATGCCATTATATTGTTGTTTGAAAACAATACTATAGTAACATAATCTTCAGCATGTTTATGTACTAATACTCAAATTACTAAATTACTTTGTATCATATTTGTACATAATTTTGTATGTAATCGATATACACTTAGTGACAACAATTCGTCTTGAATTCTTAATAATACATTTCGATATACTTATTGCTTATATTAGATTTGCGATAACGGTTACTATTAGAATCTTATGTGACTGTAATTGTAACAACAAAGAAAATATTTTTGTATAAGTGTAAAGCTCTCCGACCGAAGGAAAAAAAATGTAGCTAAAATTGTTGGTCGGGAATTCAGGTGACTTCGCGCATGCGCAAACGAGATTTCATGTGAAATATAACAACGTATGATATACGTCGATAACTCTTAGATACGTATTTATTAATGAATTATAATTTATAAATATAATTTAGACTTTAATATTCCATCTTACGCTGAGTCTTAGATTCATGATATAAATATATATGTACATTAATTCATTGTAATTTTGTCGTGTTTCCCCCACGTCAATGTAATGTAACGTTAGGTGAGGTAACGGTAGGATAAGCATTGGCAACGTTGCCGAAGTCGCTTGTTTAGATTGCGATGTTGCAACGTTATTCGATGGTCAAGTATCAAAAGTGTAGTTCCATTTTAGCATATTTATAATAAATATAACTTGTTTCCACGTGGCGAAAAGTATATACGTCACTGCCCGAAATCTTTCCACGCAATAATATAACGTAAGTTCATCAATTATCATCATTCTACTATCTTAACATGGGTCTTAATATGGTTTGGGTCTTCTACATTGAATTTTTCATCAAGAAGTTATATTCAATTCGTATTAAGTATTAAAAACTTTATGTCGATAATCGGATTTTGTCGAAATTTTATTTTATACAAATTTGAAAGTATTATAATTTTGAGCCTTTAAAATGTTTGAAAAATTATATAGGAAGAGAAAGAGAGGTTAAGTAGTCTACATTAGTCGATGTCCAAGATTAAATGATTTTATTTTTTATTTAATTTCTTTAAAATAATTGATGGGAATTCATCATATAAAAGAAGCCTTGGGCCTTAAGGCCCAAATTTAAAAGCTGTTGTTATTATATAGAAATATTTTAATATAGAAAAGGCACCATTTTAGATAGCACTATATACGCCATTTTGTTATTATTTCTTCTATAAATGGTTTTATTGATTTAAAGGTGATTATGAGATTTTTTGTGACATTTCGTTTTTTATATCGTATTAGTATCATAAATTAATAGTAGTATCATAGATTAATAGTATCATAAATTAATAGTATATATAAGTGTGCACAATAATTTAACGAAATTTTGCAAATATATCCGTACAATTTGATGAAATTTTATTAGATCTAATAAATAAATATATTAATTGTATTTATTTTTAACTTTATTCAAATTAATTGTATTTATTTAACTTTGTTCTATTCAATTATTTTTCCGAATTATGTTGTTTATTAATAAGATAATGCCATGACCGAAATGCTATTGATCGGTTTAAATGCATATAACATTAAATGATTATAACATTTTTCATTCAATTAATTCTATTTTTTTATAGAGAGAACTCTCTTTGTAGACAAATTTATATATTTAATAGATTTATAATGTTTTATATATAGGTTATGAACGTAATTTTCATAACTTTTTGATAATTGCAACTTCATATATATATATATATATATATATATATATATTTTTTTTTTTTATGTATTACAAGTAATATCAAATAGAATAAAAAGTGCATTTCTTGAGATATATATCTAATGTTTTATATAAGTTTGTAGAAAAAAATATCAATCGATACAAGTGGAATATCCATTTGATACTATTTCTGTATTAAGCAGAATAATATTAATTAAATATAATCAATCGTTGCAAAATTTTATCTTTGAGAATAAAATTATAACTAAAATACAACATAAAATTGAGAAACTACTTCGTAGTATTATGTGATGACATAGTATCGTTATTGAGATAAAAGTGCCAACAGATGGCGATACTTGTTCAGTTGAACCTTCACTTAAAAATAGTTGATTATATTTTTGACTTAATAATATAGTTAATTCTTATAATTACTCTAAATTCTTAATAAATTTTTATATATTTTAATTTTACAAGAAATTATTACTTTTATAAAAAACAAAATAGTGTATGTTGCATTTGATATGATTTAGAAAATGTTTTTTTTGTTTTTTTTTCTATTTTTTAATTTTTTTTAAATAATAAAAGAGCTTAGCAATATTTATATCCAATATTATACTTCAAAATCTAGTATGCATAATTTCTAAAATTTTCCGCATTGTTTATTATATTTCTAAATTCGTCAATATTGTAGTAGAATAGTTTGTCTAAAATTAAATGAGATAAAAGTATTTGTTATTATCTATTCCAAAGAATTTTGAAAATATACGCGCAAATTCTTGGGCATATTAGTGAATGAATTTTTACGATCAGTAAACTAGCTTAAAGTTGATAAAAACGCTGCATAAGTATATTTCATAGGCATATGACTGCATAATTAAGACTGGTCATTTTTCAAACTTTGAATAATTCAAAAAATTTTGTTCAGAATATATATAAGATGAATAATAGCAATCAACAAAGATTTTGAGATTTTAAAAATATTTTCTATTTTACACACACACACACACACACACACACACACAAAATGCTGAGTTCTCGCAAGTGGCGCCCTCGCAGCGGAATATCGAATTTCAGAGGGGAGAATTGGCACCAAATTAGGGCAAAACTGGATTCAAAATATCAAGAATTTCTTAAAATGATTAAAATAGATACCGCAGTGAAGTTGTATTCTTTTATCGATTTCTCTAATAAAAATATCTATTATTTTATTGTGAATCACCATCAGACTAAGAATTCTTTGTTTTCTATATGATCAAAAAATATAAATTATACTATACTGTACTATTTAACATACGAAAGAGAAGGAAGAAAGATGCGTTTCGATATTCACTGCCAGTACTGAAAATCTATAACGTGAACGTAACGTAAACCATAGATTTTCAATACTGACAAATCTTACTCTATAGTTTACGTCACATACGCTATAGATTTCAGTATTAGCAGTGAATATCGAAACGCAACTATAGATGTTTATCTCCTTGTACCGGGCACCATCAATGCTAGGGTCGGTCCTGATTGTGTTTGATTAGTTGAAGTTCTCTAATTGGAGAAATATGCAAATATTGATTACGTTATAATTAATACAGTATAATTACGTTAAAATTCAATTTTATTAGTAAAAAATACGAAATTTTCATCATATCACCAACATCGACATTTACCAGATATGTATGGACATGATTAAATAAAATAATAAAATATATTAACATTATTTCTCGAGATTAAGTCAAGAATCTATATTACGATCAAATACCAGACTTAAGATCGAAATAAGCCAACAAAAATCGATTGCTCTGCAATACGACGAAGAACTGCGTCTTTTCTCCCACCATTGATTCTGCCATTGGTGCGTTGAGTAAGGAGTAGAGGGGACTGGTTCATCAATTGCTCAATAAAATGAATTCCCCTCCATATAGCTAAAGCTATATATAAATCATGGAAAGATCTCATATGAACACAACATATGTTAAATTTTATCGAAAAATTGTTCAATAATTTTATCGAAAAATTGTTCAATAATTGGACACGATGGAATTATAAATAGGAAATGAACCATACATATATATATAAAGTAGTATAAGATGAAATGAATTATGCAAAGATGTTATCTGATAAACATAATGTTAAAATGATAATGATTGTAAATATGATTAAAATAGAACGAAGCATATGAATACAATGACTAAAAACGAATAAATACAATGTCACATGGATGGAAAAAAAATTATCATCAGTGCATTTTTGTAACTCTTCCAAATAGAAATGGTGAATTTTTGGTGAATAATTGCCAGAATGTGGTTAAAAATGAAGTTCTCGTTATTGCGCAGCAAATTCTGTCGTAAGAGCATTCTGATGCTTCGTGTACATTCGGCCACCTTCGGAACGAATCTCGGGGCCTAAATGTAATGTATTCCACGCTCGATGCGCAAACCTGTCGATGACGCTTGTTCGCGCGGTTTCTTTAATTCGCATTTGTGTCTGAAAATATTAGTGATACATAGGGCAATAATAACGATGTTCACGAATCGTTTTATTGTCGATCGAAGTGTCCCTGTTCGCTTCGTAGCATCTCTTTGGTGTTGAATAAATGTTTCATTGAAGCTTAAACCAGCTTGTGTATTCTCGGTTCTCATAACCTTTAATGCCAACACGAAATGATTTGCCCTTTTTAAGTGGCATAACTTTTAAGGTAATAACCTTAAAGTGATTTCATATAAATAAATGCGTTTCTTTTCGATTTTTTTAAAATTGTGTACATATATATATATATATATATATATATATATATATATATAATTCGTCAATATAACAAATCGTTAAAAATACCATATTGGAGATACGAAATTATGTTGAAAATATGAAACAATTTCGTTTTCAAATATGAAAGTTACATAGTTATTCGTTTATTATAAATCAGAATCAGAAATACGTTCTTTGTCCGCCATCTTTTGCTTCGCTATGCCGATAAATCGGGGCCTTTGGCCCTATATCAGGGCCCGATTTCATTATTCGATTTCCCTGAACATTATGCGTGATAATTGCTACATACTTTATAAATGCAAAGAACTTTTTGTTTTATTTAATTTTATCGGGACGTGTCAAACTTATGCACCAATCATATATTCAATAAAATAGTGACCTCGGACGATAAGCATCGATCCAGGCCGAAGACGCGCGCGCGCGCACGTGTGTGTGTACAGTAGCTGTCAGAATATTAAGATTCTCTCGTTATAATGAGAACTCTTATTATATTAATAATTTCTATATTATAATTATGGAAATATATAACTATAGAAATAAAAGAATAATAATTATCATTATTAAAACGTTAAATAAAAAATGCTACTATTTTCTTTCCTCTCTATAAAAAAAAAAATTCTTCAAAATAATATAAATATATCTAAAAGAGTAAGGCCTGGTTGCACCAATGTTATTTTAGCTTTAAGCGAGACTTAAATATATGTCTATCTTTATCTTTCTTTCTAAATAAATAAAGAGAGACATATATTTAAGTTTTGCTTAAAGCTAAAATAATGTTGGTGCAACCGGGCCTAAAGAAGATATTTTTAAGAAACAGTAATTTTTAAATATGACGCAGATTTTTTTGAGCAGACGATAATTTGTCTCAAATGAAGATGATCGGTTTCCGGATATAAAATTCCAATAGCGAATATCCATATTACTACATTTTCAACCATAAGACAGCTTCTATTCAAAAAAATTACATTTTATTTTATCAAACTTGTATGAGCAATTTTTTCAATAACATAATGTTAATAGTACATGTGTCGACAGATTGTTAGATCCTATAGGAATGAATGACAAATGACATGTTGTGTTGTATTATATAGACATAACCTAATAACAAATTGATAGCAGAAATTAAGTAGAATTTGTAAAACAAATTATGCTTGATTTCTACTATTAATAAACTTTCCATGTTGAAAATATGTTAAGGTTTGCCTAGATCTTTCCGTCAATCACGTTTTGTTGACAAACTAGACAAAATTTGTGCTCTGACGTACTTGTTACTGCCGATAGCATTACGTGCGTTAAATTTTACATCTTAAATCTATAACCCCTTTCTACTTTTAGATAGCATAACATTTTTGCGATATTTTGCAAAAGCTATTCTTTTTTATCTCTCGAATAAAATTAATTATATATCTCTGAGTTATTAAAATTTCGAAAATAAAAATTATTTGCTCTTGTGTTTTCTCTTGTGTTCACCTTTTCTTCTTTATTTGAAAATATTATATTAATATTTTAATACTTGTGCTAAAAATAAATTTATATGTAAAGGTTGCTTTAACGAAACAAAAATGCATCAACTATAACGATATCGACCTTATAATTCTTAATTATTAATTCGTTATTATTTGTTTATTTTGACGATTTTTTCGCGAGTACAAGTGACATGATAAAGATTATTGTCGTGTATATATGTATATATACACACACATAACATACACGTTGTGTAAACACTCAAAAAAATAAAGCAAAAAAAGAAAATAAAATTGTATATCTCTTTATCTCTAAATTGTACTATTTTACTATATATATTTCATGCAGTTTTTCATTGTTTGAACAACATTTAATTGACAAGATAAATATAAGATAAATATAATTGCAGTGATTTTTATTATACTTGTAATGGAGAAAAAACAAACTGGAATAGCGCATGATTCAGAATCCAGTTCTACAATCTCTTGTATTGATAGAATCAATATTGAACTGTCAAAAAAGATTAGTATTGATACTACTGATAATGAACTATCAAAAGAGAGAGAAGACGAATTATTATTTGGTGCAGAAGAAGAAGGAGATGATGAAGATGTACTATCCGATGATAGTTTGCGTTTAAGATTATCAGATGATGAAGATGTGGAGCAAGAAGATAATATAACAAACTCTACAAATATTACGGAATTTAAATTAAAAAATAGACAAAGTGGTATATAATTATTTTTTATTTATAAAACTTAAAATTAAAATTCTATTAAATTCTAATACACTATTAATTTATTTTTTTTATAAATTTTTTTAATATTATTATATTTAATTTAACACAATACAAATATTTATTTTTTTAAATCTTTATAGATATCATTATAGATATTTTTTTTGCAGAATATGTAGATGTAATCACAGAAAAAAATTTATGCTCTGACATACAACAAATTGTTGAAGAAGTCTACAAGCCTGATGATGGAAAATTGGAGCAGAAGAATAATTCAGGTAATATTTTTATAAATGACAAAAAAATTATAAATAATCACCAAACTAGATTAATTTTCTAACATTAATAAATTAATTTTTAAAATTGAATAAATATAATTACTATTTACATTATTGTCAAAATCTATGAAACAAAAAAGAAATCAATTACTTCATAAAAATTTGTTGCAGCAATTAAGACGTCCCAAAATTCAACATTATTCTTAGATGATACATCAGAAAACAAACGAAAACAAGATAATATATGTAATTCGGAAAACAGCAGTATGACTGTTAGTACATCTACAGAAAAATGTACTTCCAACTCTAATAAAGATTTAGAAATTACTGTTGCAAGCATTGAATGTTCAAATGCAGCATCTGAACAACATATAGCATTAGGAAATGATAATTTATCTACAAAAAATCATATACAAATAAATAATCTTCAAAATGCAGAACCAGTAACTCACAGTAATGATAATTTAAGAGAAACAATCAGTGATAATAAAGAAACGAATGCCACAAATACTTGTGAGCTAAATAAATTGGATAATGTAGACAGTAATAATCTTGTTATAGATTCCGCTAAAGCTCAGGTTTATAAAAGTGAAAAATTATCTACATTTGCAATTATTGCTAACAGTGATGATAATAATTTAAGCGAAAAAGTAGTAGATAAAACTTTTAATGATGATAATCATTCTGTAAAATGTTCATTTGTCGAAATTAATAATAGTCAAGATCCTAAAAATTCAATCAAATCTGAAAATTCTGATAATTCTGATTTATTATCTCATAAAGATTATGTTGAACATGTAAGTAAAACTTCAGAACACAAGGATATAATACAAAGCAAAGATACATCAAAGATACAACCTATGAAAAAAGAGAGCAGTACTTTATTAATACAAGATCAAAATAATTTGCTCAGTATAAAAGACAGAAATAAAGAAGAAATAAAGAAAGAAATAAAGAATGAAGATCGTAATATTAATGAATCTGTAACGCAAATTATAAATAATAATTCTACAAGTACATTGCAAAGAATTTTAGAATCTATTGATGTCAAAAATTCTGATAATGAGATTAAAAGTATAAATGTTACAAGAAGGAAACGATCGAAAAAAACAATTAATACAGTAGAAAATTGTGTTGAAGAAGACAAGCAAGGTAGGAAATATTTTATATTGGAAGTAAAATGTGATTCATAGAATTCTTATACAAAAGAAGAAAGAACAGAATAAAGAAAACGTGATAGAAATTTCCGTTAACAGATCTATGAAATTAATTCTAATATTTTATAAATTTATAGACAAATATATAAATAAAGCTTACAAAAAACTTTAGATTTATGTAAAAAAAAAAACTGATATATTTTTTAAGATTATTCTCTAACAATATTAGTTACAAAAAAATTTTGTAAAATAAATTACTTCTGCAGTCTTTGTGCTTTGTCATTACGTAAAATAGTTTATTTATAATTTTTGCTATATATATTTATATAATATATTTAATATATTTATATATTAAAAATTATTTTTACATTTTATTATTACAGGAAAAAAAGAAAACGGACGACAAAAAAGGAGAACTGCTAGAAATGCAGAAGAGCTAATCAGAAAAAAGTGTCTTAATAGCGATAGTGATTCTAGTGATTCTAGTACAGAACAATTTGTACCAGTGAATCACAAATTGAATCAGGATATACGTTCTGCGTCACCCCCTTCATTAAAACGTAATTGTTCAGACAATGAAATTTTTAATAGTGTTAAGAAAGTGAAAATGAGTATTAAATCTGAGGGAAAAAATGATATTACAAAATTAGCCTTTGTTGAGAAATTTTTCCAAAGGGATATGAAAGAAAAATTGCCGAAACTTACGCAGGAGGTAAAAATATATTTCAGAATAAAATATCTTTTAATAGTTTGCTATATCCCAGGTAGCAAGATGACGTCTAAAGACGTCTTAAAGACGTTTATGACGTCATTAAGACGTTATTAAGACGTCATTTGACGTCATTCTGCTACTAGGGATGTATATTTATTTTAGCACTTTTGCATATGTATTGTTATAATCGACAATTTGTTTGTGAAGGAACTGGAAGAACTTTTAATTCAGAAGATTGCGGAAACGATCACGATGCATAGTGAAATTGGACAATTGAGAGAACAAGCTCGCATCTCGGAGAAATATCAAGAAGTAATGCGTACAAAGCTGCAGCAATTAACAAAGCAAGTGAAAGATTTTGAAATGGTGGTAAATCGTAACACAATAGATCGTCGTGCGAATCCCGACAAGCCTGTTGCGCCTATAAAAATAAATAGATCCGTAGGCTTACAAGTCAATTTCATAACGGTAATTATCATAAGACATGTTTTCTAACATATTTAAATATGATATTCATTGAATATTATGTTAACAATGATTGAACTATATTACTCAATAGGAACATGGAATACAGAGCTTACGACAGGTACAACAAACCTCGCATGTTAAGCCTGTGACCGCTCCAAGTAATGTTAGTTCCTCACCAGCTGAGTCAAATAATAACAACAATAATGCAACAAGACGCAATGGTATCAAAACAAGATCGCCCCGACCTGCAGCGACTACGTCAACTCCTACAGTTCCACAGAGTCCGATACAAACGGCGCCTCTTATTTCTACTGTGACACCGGCGGCTCTAGTTGTTGCTAAACCCTTGGATTCCACACACACGCTAACATTATCTAGCCAACCCCCTGGCCTTCAGCCAATTTTACCTGCTGTGAGACTTATTCCAATAAATATTTACACAACTAATATATATAATATTGTACTGCTTTATATTGTATTAATTTAATTATTTGCAAATTCTCCAGCCACAACAACAGATTCAGACACATCCGCAACAAGCTATTGTTCTAAATGGTAAAATACAAAATCAAGTAAATCGTCCAACAGTGATAACTTCAAAACCAAAAAATAACGATCTTATTGATCTTACAGATGAAGAAGAAAAGAATAAATGTAAATAACTATTCTGTCTTTGCACATACATATATCAGTCATTAAGTAATATCTTCATATGATGAATGATGATAATGAATATGAAATTTTTATAATTTTTCTAATATACAAATTTTATTATAGCAGCAAATGTAAAAGTCACAGCTATAACTACAACCTCTATATTGGAGCAGCAATTAAATACGCCGAAATATACACAATCCTTCCAAAGAGTAATACAAACAATTCCAACAAACGTAGTTCCAATTACGCAACCGGCTATAAAAGTGATAACACCTAACCAGCCACCAGCAACTGCCCTTGTAGTAGGCATTTTATTCTTATTTCATTACAACATATATGTTAACCATGACATTAAGGAAAAAAAAATAGAAACTCATGAATATACTCTTTTTAGAATAATATGAATCCGCCCAGAGTGGCATATGTAATGCAAAGTAGTACAGGCTCACCAAGACAAGTACTAATAACATCAAATGCTAATCAGCAAGTACAGGTTAGTACTTTGCAGCAGTTTCGTTTTTTTTTCCTTAAATTTCTATTAAGATGACAATTATTGAATATTTTACGATTATTTTATGTATAAAAAATATCGAATATCTTTTAGATACGACCAGTAACTACATGTAGACCATCTTTTTCGACTGTTACCTATAAGACAGGTAATCAAATTATATTTTAAAACGTATATTGTGTGTGCGTGCGTGCGTCGTATGTGTACGTGCATATATATTTATAGTTTTTGAATATTAATTTTGTTATAACAAATATAGTAGAAAGTATTTTCATTTTGAAATATGTAGTGCTTACTATTTTATGTAATTTATTATATTATTTTGTAGGAATTGCAAATGGTACTGTTCGGGTATTAACCACACCAGTTCTGTCAACTATAATTAAGGTAAAATAAATATGTACATACATATTTATATACGTTCGTTATACTTTATTCTAATTATTCTTTATAACATATATTGGTTAAAATATGATAATTGTATTACTATTTTATTTTAGCATCCTGCACCATTGCCAGATACTCCAAGTTACGCAATGACACCTAACTGGAAACTTCCACCACCTGCTCCGTCGTTAAAGATTTCAAAAGTCTCAAATGGTATATTATAAATATTTCATTTTATAAATATGATTAGATTCAAATTTTAAATTGAGATTTTTAATATAGCATCAATATCATATTAATAGGTATAGTGCTATCCTGGAACATGAATCTGTCAGATAAATATGCAGATATTGCTAGTTACCAATTATATGCATACCAAGAAGTTACTGGTGTAAATCCTAATACATCATTGTGGAAGAAAGTGGGAGATGTGCGGGCACTGCCGTTACCTATGGCGTGTACCTTGACTCAGGTAAATATAAATAACATCACAGAGAATAAAATGAATCTTCTGGAATTATTTGGAATCCGCGAAGTATTATGCAAGATAATATTCTTGTTACAGTTTTCTGAAGGTAACAATTATTACTTTGCGGTCAGGGCGGTCGATACACATTCTAGAAAAGGACAGTATAGTATACCTGGTAATATTTCTCTATAAGAAAAAATGTGTTACATTTCATGATCTCCATTTATTACCCGTTATTTCTTACTTCTGCGTTCAACGCATAATTGTGATACAAATAGTCTATAGATCATTTAAAAATAACACGGCATATTACATCAGATCTAATTCGGCAATAACTCCTAACTTAATATTTCATTTTGAATTCTTGAATTTGAATTAAATAACTGTTCCTATTGATATTACTCGTATAAATGCTTCCAATTATATATGTGTGTGTATATATATATATATATATATATACATGTAATAGAATACATAACTTTCCTAATTTCATAATAGATACCTAGTTTTTCACATATTTATTTGGGACAAAATTCAAGTATTGATATTACATTTATATATAATATTTTTTTATCATAATAATGATTAATAATAATTGATGAGTAATTAATGAATGATGAATTAATAATGAATTTGTGAAATTATTTTGATGCCTATACTTTTTAATTTCTATTATTCATAAATATTTAATAAATTTTCACAATCTATAGGACCAGAAATTCTAGACAAAAAATTTCATGCACAACTTCATGAGTATATGTAATATTACTTGAAGACTGCGAAGGAGTATGTCATAGTCTGTTTGAGAGTTGGAATGATAAGCGTCAATAAACTCTAAGCGAAAGATAATGATAAGACAAAGACAATTGTAGTACAAAATATGAAGGAAATATTTTATATATTAGTTACTATACAATCTTTTGGCAAGATAGAATCTACAGATTATCATATAATCTTATTTTGTTGTAAGACAGTTATGTAATGATCAATACATTCTTTACTTTGTACTAAAATTGCCTTACTCTCGGACATTGTCTGCCGCTCAACATTCAATATCATTCAGTGCCAACTATCAAGTGATATACCGTGTTTACCTTTCAGCCAGGTTTTATTTAGTCTGTCTATTAACGATATAAGATTAAAACTTTTTCCCATTGTGTTTTTCTAAAGTGGGAAAAGAAAGCACTAGCTAAATTTAATTATTTAACTCACATTCATTCTATGATTTTTTTTAAGCTGGTATTTTCCAACAATAAACTTAAAGTAATTGACTATTATATTAAGAAAAAGAGAATGATATAATTTGCTCAATTTTTATACAGTTAAATTTGTATGTGTATTTGGATGTGTATTATAATGCTAATATGCATCATAGGAAAAAAATATCTTTTAACGAACGAGAAATGTTAATCTTAATTACTACTCGTATGTAAATATATCAATTATGTATCACTATTAATTATATGTAGATTATATAAGTATTTATACATGATATAGATTATATTAATTTAATTAAGTTTAATCAACTTCTCTTAATCCTATGATAAAATAAATATTAAAATTCTGTTTTTGTATTTATATGAATAATAAACTTTTCAACTAACTTTTTCATAACTTTTTATTTTTTTTATTTTTTAGTTTCATTTTTATATTTATTTTGTTCATTTTTTATTTGTGTGTGCGTCTGCAAGTATAAATGTATATATTATATAAAATTTATTCTAAAATTTGTTTATATATTTTTAGAGAAAATATATATATGAAATTTTATAATTATTTCCAGTATTCATTATTTTCTATTGTATTTATTATTTAATATATCACATAGATATAATTTATAGCAATAGAAAGATAATATATATTATTGAAATAATAATTTTAGAAAGTATGAATTGTACTTATAGTATGTACTTTTTTGCAATATATATGTAATTGGACAGTTCAATTGAATATATTTATTTTTATGTTATATTTTGTCAAAGATCTATTTGCTTCATTATTTATAATTATAAATGTAAATATTGAATTAAAAAATATCTAAAATATATTAATTTAAGATAGAAATTTATAGAAATATATTAATTTGATAGAAATTTATAGAAAAATTTATAGATTATTAGAATATTAAGAATTCAATTTAAGATGATGACTTGAACATGGATATATGTTCAAGTCAATTGGAGCTTTAAAGAGGAACTGGATGAATAAACTTTATATTAAAAATTAATAAATCTAATATATATTTTAAGATTTATGAATTTGATTGTAGAAAGCATCTTTAGTTTTTTAAAGTATAAAATTAATAAATAATCTGTGAGTTAAAATAAAAGATTTGCCCTGTAAAATTGAAAGTTATTTTCATGAATTTTTGTAGCGTTGTACAATTAAAATCGTAATACACTCACTATAAAAAAGTGAATATTTAAAGATAATGAGTGTTTTTCAGCAAGCGACACACAGAGGACACAGTGTATCATTTCATCCTTGTTGATTGTCGAATGTAAACAAGGATGAAATAATTCATTGTGTTACACTGTGTCCTCTGTGTTGCTTACTAAAAAACGCCCAATTTTTGCGATTTTGAGATTAAAGAGAGAATAAGAGGGGGAAAAGGAAAAGAGAGAGAGAGTGAGTGAGACAAAGGAAAAGGGGGGGATGCAGAAAGTGCAAAAAGTACTGTGGAAAGTACAACTAGACACAACATCGATGACACATCGAATCGCTCTCGACGGGAAACGGGATTTTGACGGAACGTCACTAGCTCCAGAATTACGCTTTCGTAGGCTCTTCTTCCGCGAAATCTCCGCTCTGTTGCTATCTCTTCCTAGAATTCCTTTATGTGTCCAGTACATATGCGCTAAGTGAGTCACACACAGGGTGTGATGTTACGTCAAAACAAAAACAATCTCACTACTGCTAATTGCGAAGATAAGTTGCGATTACGGCGACTACGACCGCGACGTTCTCCTCTAGTCTCTCGGTCGCTTCTCGAGCAGAAAAACGAACGAGGAAGCAAATGAGAGGGCGGAAGTGTTTGTATCGCGAATCGAATGATTTATGAACGCGTCGCGCGGATGTGTGTGCGCGCGCACACATACATGCGCATATATCGCGATAGCGTACGCGACGGCGATGGCAAAAATGTTGGCGAAGATCGCGGCGCGTTGATACAGGCGACAGGATAGAGTGGGACACGCCGTTTCATGTGCCGTGAAATACAGTGAAAGCGCGGCGAGCGATGTCTGGGACGATCGCGTGCGACCAATCATTAGCGTAGCGATCGCATCGGCAGAGGAGAGAAGCTGGGCGCATCGTCGTATTTCTACGATGTGCCTCGTTGCGACATTACGGTCGTCGTTGAGGAACTGCCGCATTCCGTAATCAGGTGATTCGTGTGTCCGTCTACCTTTAACGTCGTTTTATTTGTGACAATAATTCATCCGTTCGCCCGTTCCCCGAAACTGACAAACGCGATCAGCTGTTGTGTGTGACTGCTCGATACGTCTAATGTCTAATGTGTCTAATAATCGAGGATGTCCGTTTCGCGGTCTTGGTATTGAATCGAGAGACGTAATTCCGTCACGAATATATAAGTAACGTCAAAAACGCGACACAAGCGTTAATTCGACGTAATATAACCGGAATTAAGGATGTTTGTTGAACATCGATTTTTAAAGACTTAACATGCACGTAGGAATTATGTGCATAAGATAACGTTGAATGTCGAGGATTATGACGAACAGCGTAGAGATCTATCGATGTTTGTGCAACTCTTGGCTGCACCGTCTCATTCGTCATGTACACATGATTATCCGGGTTCATGCGTTCTGTTATTGTCAGCGGTGAGCAAACGACGACGAGCGCGACAGGGAGCTCTTCGCCGCGAGAAGATCGGCGAACGCAATCCTCGTCGTTTGTAACCAGCAGCGACGTACAGGGGATGCCTAGCCTACACTCGCTCGTCTTAAGACGAGCTCCGTTAACGGATATGGGTACCGCAACCAGTTCGGTGACTTCTGTCAATCCGCCCACCAAGCTCGCGGCTAATCCCAAGAAGATTGACAAGGCTAAATTTAGCGGCATTAAACTACCTCTGATACGCAAGGAAGCTAGCGTGGTGAATCTCTCTTTAACAGAAAGAAATACACTGGGTAAAGAGGTAGACGCGCCTCTCCTGCGACCTGAAAGCAGCGCAAGCCTGGAAGCACGAGGTGGCAGCTGGATGAGCCTGGGTCCTGGTGCTCTGAGAAAATGCGAAACCGCCGTAGGATTAAGTACCTCGGCTCTGGAAGGAAGACCGATCAACCGCAGCAGAGTATGCTCTCGCTGTTCCAGTTTGTTATCACTGGCGTCTAGCTCGCGTTACAGCTTGGCTGCTGGTAATTTCGTTCCTGCAGGTTCGCAACAGACGATTGGACGGATATTTTGTAAATTGTGTCTCGTCGATACTTCTCTTTCCAAGACATTTAAGATTGAGGGATGCGGTTGTTCCTATTGTAAAGATGTAAGTCAAAATTATTTCTGTAAGAAATCATTATCAAAGAATGTATGTGCATTTTGCTGTACACAAAAGAGATACTGATACTTATATTTTTCATCAATTTTAGTGCATGCGTGCCTATGTAGAATTTGAAATTGAGGAAGGTGCGTATGAAATTAGTTGTCCTGATGCTCAATGTGATCATGGCGCAATACTATCTTTGAAAGAGATATCAAGTCTTGTCAGTGTAGAACTTATGGAAAAACATTGCAAGTTTCGTTTGAATAGAGGTAAGCGATGCTGATTCTATATTTTTCCAATTAGAAATGCAAATTTAGTCTTTTGCACAATCTATGATCTATCATATCACTTATATTACAAATTATAATAATGAACACTACATATGTACAGATGTATCAATGGATAAAGGTCGTGCATGGTGTCCACGAGCGGGTTGTGAGACGATATGTTCCATAAATGGCAATGGTGGAAGCAGCACTCCTTTAGGTCCTGTTCATTGTCCCAACTGTTCTACCGATTTTTGTTCGATATGTCGCGAGCCTTGGCACAATGGGCCCTGTTCGGAACTTCCATTAGGAATACCGTTTGGTAGCGATCACATTAAATGTTGTCCCATGTGTTCTGTACCGATAGAAAAGGACGAAGGTTGTGCTCAAATGATGTGCAAAAGATGTAAACATGTATTTTGCTGGTACTGCCTAGCGTCCTTGGATGTGAGTATTTAAAACGATTGTTAAAAAAAATTGCATGGTCGATAACACACAAACATATACATATGCATAAGCTTTCAAAATATTTCATTTTTATATATTTTATATTATAATATATACTGTATTATTTATAGTGAATGTTTTTCAGCAAGAAGACACAGTTTATCCTTGTTGATTGCCGAATGCAAACAAGGATGAAATTCAATGTGTTACACTGTGTCCTCTGTGTCGCTTGCTGAAAAATGCCCAGTATATTTATAGTATATATATAGAAAAGAGAAAACTGGTGAAAGAATATAACTTATTGATATACCTTTAATTTATTCATGTTGTAGGACGATTTTTTGTTGCGACATTACGACAAGGGACCATGTAAAAATAAATTGGGACACTCACGTGCATCCGTGATATGGCATCGAACGCAAGTTATCGGGATATTTGCTGGTTTTGGCCTACTTTTACTTGTCGCATCACCCTTGCTATTATTAGCAGCACCTTGCATTGTATGTTGTAAATGTCGTGTTTGTGGTTCTTCTAGACTCGAACAGGAAGAAGGCGATACAGCAACATAGAAACTTCCAAACTTTTTAACCGATTTTCGTTTATTTCTTTGAATTGAAATATTTTTTTCCAGATTTCTATATATGGGAGGTAATAAAATTGGCAATTTATATAGACATATATGCATTTTGTTAAGTTTATCTTTTATTTTATTTTTATGCATTAAATGATACATATAATATAGAAGGGCAGAATATCTCTTGTCAAGTCAAGCATATTGTGATTAATATATATTTATGTTTTACTTAGATTGTTTGAACAGAATAAGAAATGATGTGCGCGACTCGTATCATTATACACACACACATACACACACATATATATATATATATATATCAAATATCGGTTTCTCCTAATATACATTTATTTTACATAGTCACTTAATAATTTTTACATGATGATTAATTTTTTTTATAAAATATTCTTTATGATGTGTAATAGTTATGTGATTCAAGCAAGTTTAATAATTTATAAATACTCATTATGATTTCTTAAATAAAAACATTCCAAAAATTTACATATATACATATATATCGCACCTCAGATTTATTATACTGCCGCAAAACATGCTTTACAATCGAGTTGTAAACATTATTCTTTTAAAATGGCGATAGCAGTATGCTGATTATTTGATTCTTCAACAAAGATTATATAGCACATAATGAAATTATACTTAAATTATAATATATCTTGAAACACACAGTGTGCGTGTATATCTATATGTGTGTCCGTATTAAAATATTGTGCAAGATTCAACTTTACTATTTTTATTGAGAAACGAATCTTAATGATCAAGTATTAGATTGTATAATATTCTATATTCTTGTTATTTTAATTTATGGGTGCTTTCACATGTTTACTTTGGTGATTTGATTACATGTATATTACATGTATATTAATTTAGAGAATGCGAGAATAGTAAGTAAAAATAATTATATAAAAAAGAATATCTCATCAATTATACATTTTATCATTGAGAAAACGCTTGTTATTATGTATTTAACACGTTTGTTATCGATCAATATCTGAGCTGTACAGTTAAAATGTTTGACATTAAATTTATAAATCAATATGTGCCATGTGATTACGAGAGTCTATGGAGAATAGTTCTAAGAATTCGAAATTTGCAATGAAGTAAATTTGCTCCGAAACGTGTTAATTACATTCACAACAATCATTTCTATTAAGCATATTAAGAAGTTTAGATTATTAAAGGTCACGAGTATGAATAATCAACTTTGGACAATAGTTATATGTTATCTCATCTGAGAAAAACAAATTCTTACCACAAATAATAAATGATATGAATATAAAGATATAAATATATATATATATATATATATATATATATATATATATATATATATATATATGATCATGTAATAAATATATGTGGTATTTTGTACATATAATTATAGATGCGCTTATATAAAACGAAAGAGATGATCAGACGATTTGGACGTTTGACGAAATGATGCATTTTTCGCAAGTAATGCGATATAGATAATTCAGCTGACACAATGCGTTATATGATACATATTAGTTACTGCATAGCTGGTTTCCACTATATATATTTTACATCAAAACTGTTAAAATATCTCATTTGTTGTATTAATATTGTATGTAAATATATAAAAGGACACATACAGTGTATGTGTATGTCTATACACACGTATGTGTAATTATGCATTTGAGTGTGTGTGCACTCGTGTGTCAAAAATAAAAATATAATGAATTAAGAGTGTTGCATATTATGTGTCTGTCTTTTCTCAAACATTTTCCACGATAGGAATATCTTTATTTATAAATTTTAAATTTATCAATATTAACGAAGCAGAAACGTGTCTAAAACATCCGAAAATTTACTTAAGACTTATGTGAAAAAAATCATTAAATATGTGTGAGTTGTATATACGTTTGTTTTTCTCATACCACAAAGCAGAGAAAGAAATTGCCCAAGGTCTACCAATCGATATCGGTGACGTCAAAAGCGAGAAATGCGGCATAAATTATTTGTGATTCGCGTTCAGCATGCGAGATTTTAACTGATAAAAAATAAGATAGAGATAAGCCTTTGTTTATTTAATAACTTGTAAATATCTAGAATCGAGTAACTTTTAAATTTTTTCGTGAAAATATATTTTTTCAACAGAATATATAAAAATATCACAAACGCCTTGAAATTATTCCGTTAATTTAATAGGCTTGTCACCAACAGAGCTAAGGAAAGAGAGTTCCTGTATATTGCTAAACTCTTTTTATTGCTATATTTATATAATCGAGAAATAGCTCTTCAAGCTCTTATCAAAATGTTTCTAGATTCTTTAACAAGGATCGGAAATCTATACGAATTATTGTATATGATAATATGATCATATAATTTATTTATATTGGTTTTTGAATTTTAGCTATACTTGTTGCTTAAAGTATTATAATATAATCTGGAAGAGATTAAAGAAAAAAAAATATAATTTTGGAAAGATTCACACACACACACTACAATAAAAAAATAAAATAAAATAAAATTATAACAGCCAGTAAAATGAGACATTTCTAATAAGGAAAAGGATGTTAGCTAATAGTTTTTATCCTTCTCAAAACTATTGTATATTATTTACATATAATTAGAGTTATTTTATCGAATAGTTAAATGCAAACATAAATCATTCATGAGATTATTTAAAAATTATTTCAGAATTTGTCCGGATGATTGATCATCACATTATCCAAAATATAAATTTGACAGATAACACGTGCCAGTCTCATTTGTTATATCACAGTATTACGCAATCATACATATACACAATATTATTTTAAATTATATCTTTACATTCTCTATTAAAATAAATATTCAATGCAGATTTTTTTCATCAAAATTAATAATAAAAGATTAATATTAGTGCATATGTGTGATACATTTATATTACATGTTATCAATGTGATTGTGTGAAGAAAATTTCAATTCAATTTTTGGATATTATATACACACATGCAACATAGACACATGATTTATCAGTCTATAAATATAAATCTAAATTGTGGAAATAAATTGCTGCTTGTTTTGTAGAACCCATTTATTATTTACTACATAATTTGCCATATGAAAGTATTATGAAATAAAGGATAAAAATTAATCGGAATGGAAAGATTCGCATCAGAGAATGAGATATGTTAGATAACTTGTAGAATGTGTACAGACAGCAGGTTTCCCCTTGTTAAAGCTAAATCGCATATTCCGACAATTTACACGTGTTATCTAACACACCGCGTTTGCCGATGTTGATGGACCATTCTTTACTAGATCGAAATACATTTTATTTTAATGATAAATCTATATTTTCTAAAACGCTGCGGTTATGTATATAAATTGTATGCACGTAAAATGTATATATTATATAACAAATATAGATGTTAAGAAATAAGAAAATTGCAAACAAATAATATATAAAACGGTAGTCACCGTTAATATTAGTACAATTGTAAAATAGAGTTAGTGCCAAAAAATATATAAAAATCTAAGTAAAATTAATATATATCTAATAATAAGTAAAATATACAAATGACAATAGATTGAGATTGTTGACAAATGGATTACTTAAGGAGACCCTTCGCCTTAAACAAATCTCTCATCAATCCCTTCAGATATCCTATCTCTCGCTGCAGATCTTTCACATCATTTTTCAATTTCTCGTTGTAATCCGCGAGTTCGCGTTCTTCGCCTTGTATTTCTTTGATCTCCTGTTTTTTCTTCTGTCTGTAACGCGTAGCCGCGTTCTTATTCTGCTCTTTCTTTCGCACTTTTTTGTCCTCAAGAGACGGTCGAGAATAGGGTTTATGACGATGTTTCGAAGAATCGTGAACTGATTGTTTCAGACTTTTTCTTTCGGATTCGTAACTCCAATCGGGATCGTCAACGGAATCTTCAGTAGAAATGCAACTACCACCAGAGCTAGTGCATGGACTTGACGGTGATGGTATATCCTTAGTGTGCGAACGAACGTATTCGTCTACCACTGCTAATTCGTTCGCAACATCCCCACTGAGTGGACTCAATGATATGTCTTCAGCGCTCCACTCACGAGTTGAGTCATTTACGTATAGCGATTCTTCCGCTGGAACGATATTGTATATCGAATGATCGTCAGCGAACAAGGGTTGCTGTACGGGCTGCAAAGTGATCAGCAGCTGCGTATCTACGTTAATCACTTCATGAGGGGGTGATTGCGGAGGAGTGAGCGTAGAGCAAGTCGGTGGAACGATCTGATTGCAAGGCGGAACGATCTGGCAAGCCTCGACATTTTCCAAAACTGTTTCGAACTCTTGCAAAAGAGTCTGCGTGTTATCGTGTTGCTCCTGTTGCGCTTTAACGTTAGTCGGATAGATCGTTTTATTTGGGTCGTTCTCGAGAACAGGAAATTGTTCGAATATGGGCAGGTCTGTTTTTTCCTCCAGCCAATCTGAGAAGGGTTCTGCAAGCAAACGGACAGAGATTTGATTAAAGCAACAAGTAATCGTTTGCGTTTGGCTTTCGACGACGCTCCGCGGAACAATTTGCGTAAACATTATTGCGCAATTCTTTTTATAGAGTCATGATACGCATGTCCGACGGCGCCATCGAGATCGAGAAACGCATTCGTTCTATTTCTAATTGACATCGCATATCAGCTGGCGCGCTAAATATGCGAACGACTTCTCGTGATGTATTTTTTCATTTGTGAACGAATCACATGGGCAATTATATTTCCTGGTAATGCGCACTGTTATTCGATAATGTAAGGCAATTCGCATGTCTCTAGAAATGCGGCATGAGCGGTAAATATGTAATGTCGATGAATGATCGATCTTCGCATTTTCCTCTACAATATTAGATTGCTTACGTATAATATATTTTAGAAATTACATTATCCATCTTCTTTCATGTTTTTGCAGTGACAATAAGTTGGAACACAATCTGCGATTTTTCCACAAATCTTTTTTCCTCATTTAAAAATAATATCGCACAGTTGTATCAGAACAAAGATTAATTAACGCAGTTGCACGTTCTTACAAAAAAGCAGTAGATATAAAATTATGAGATAATAACTTTATAGATAATACTAACTTGATTAAAAAAGTTTTAAGATATCTGTCAATAGTAAGCAATGATACTGTTATCACAATATGTATGAGCAATAAATAGGTGTGGTGTGTTGATACATACATACATGAACAAATAAATAGGTGTGGCGATCGATACACATATAATATATATAATTATATGTACATAGTTTCATGGACATTACTGATTTAATTAGAAAAATAAGTTCTTCATTTGCAATTTACTTAACTCGGAATAAGATGAATTCTCTGATATTGTAATGATTTATTATTCCGAACGCAACTAATGCTCCTGAAAAAATTTTTTATCAAATTTTTTTTTATTATTAATGAGATCACACTTAGTGTGTAAGAACTAAGACAAGAATCTTAAAGCGCTCCTTTTTCCTTTTGTTTTTGAAACTGTTTCTAAATGCTCTACTTGTATTTGAAGCTATTTTCGGAGATGAGGCTAAATAAGCGTTTAACAGAGGATGCATTCTTGAATAATGTTAATTTTCGCATTTTCTAAAACAGCCATGACCTATTTTCTTGTGAAACTTTGATCAGCAATTATTGGATATTATCTTCTCTTAAATACAGAGGGCAGAAGGTTAGATAAGAGCACTTCTCTGTATTTGGAAATCATATGTTGAGCACTAGATACAAAGAATTTTCAAGAAAACAAAGATTTGTGAGCGAAAACATTGCAAGATTCGAAAATTGAGATATATGCAGATGTACGCGTGTAGTATGTTTTTTTGTGATATGTACTTGCATATCGCAAACGCAACAAGAGAATATTATGTTCGCTCTCATAATTTTTATACTTTTTCCCTTTTACGAAAGGAATAAATTATCTTAAGTGCAATGACCGAAACATATACAAGTATAATTATAAACTGATTTTATAATTTCTAAATTTTATAGTATCTTTTAAATATATTAAATTTATGATCCTCTAAATATGTTAGACTTATAATGACTAATATATTTTGTGAAGAAAACATGTTTTGTAATATAATGAATGAGCTAATATATGAAAGAATGTTAAAAACACAGATAATAAAATCGATAGGAATAATAAGTTATTAATTTCTAAATGAAATTTAGAAGCTATGTTGATATATCATGGAAGAAGTATATTCTAAGAATTTGTGAGAATATTCCCAAGATATATTCTTATATGTTTGATATGTTACATTCGAATAGGCGACGAATCTTGGTGCAACATCATTTATTTTCATTTTAAATTTATAGGCTGTGAATACAGAGTTTCATCTGATGAGCGCTAACAGGAGAGTGTTTCAGGGACTCTCTAGTTGTTCTCAAATTAAAGGTAAAGTCTTTGAAGAGATAGTGTCAATAAATTTTCCCTACTTATCTAAAGAAAAAAATTATCTTAGAGTTCTAGATAGTTCCAGATAGAAACATTGATTTTAAAATTTTTTCAATGTGAGAAGAAACATTCCATCTGGTTATATACAAATAAATAATTTATTGTTAAAAAGACTAATTTCATGAGAGAGAAATAAAATAAGGAAAGAAAATACAGAAAATACTTATATATTTATATGTTAATATAATTGCAAATGTTGTCTAACGCTCGAGTTTCATAAAATAATATAATTTTATACATAAAAAATAAATGTTTAAAGTTATACGTCTTTTTATGATTAAGAGGAATTCATTATTACGCATATTTCTTTAAGCAAGCAACAATATACCATGTAACAATAACAATAATAAAATTATAAAATTAATGCAGAATTAAATTACATCCAGATGATATGTTTCAGTCTCTCTTTTTTGCTTCGATTGCAAATTTTGCCTAATGTGTCAAGTCTGAAATAACTCGCAAAATGTGGAATGGGAAAGGGAGAAGTAAGATGAAGCAGAAGAGAAACCTACCACTGTAACATAAAGCCATAGTAATCGCGCCTGACTTGGTGTTTTCCTTGTTGAGGAGGAGGAAGATTGCTGGATTTGGAGTATAACGTATCTAGCGTAATTTTGGGAAAGGTCGATGATGCCAATGATCGTTCCTTGGGTAGCTTGTGACAGTTCGTACAAATAAGAAGAAGGCGTGTGGGCCTTCCGCATGCAATGGTGACGGATTTAACAATCAACGTCTTTTCACGAGCTTCTGGGAGTTGACGATGATCTCTCGATTCCACGTGTAGCGATATGCGAACTGCATGCTATTATATAACATTAGTACACTCCACCATCGAGATGCTAGATCGTATACTTGGGTCGACTTTAAAGATGCCAGTCTCGTGGAGTTATCGATACCGCGCTTTCGTTCTTGTCAAGCAAGTGACGATGCCCATGCAAAATCGTCTTACGCTATCTCGAATTAGCGCGAGCTGCCACACAGATGTTTCGCAATAATTGATCCCGTACTTCTTCCAGACGATGGTCGTCGGCACAATACACGACCTCGTTCGAAATCCTATTGCCTCTGTATCGGTGATTGCTCAAGATGTGGACAATGTGAAAGATAGCGATGATTTTCCCAGACACGATGCAAGATCGCCGAGATACGATACGTGCTTTCGCTAATCAGCGTTGAACGATTTCGAGATAAACCACTTGTTCTCACTTTTCTTTGTTCCAGAGAACGAGCAGAGGAAACGAGAAAAATACGTGAAGATGTTGCTTTTATTCGTGAAATAGATGTACTGATTAGAGACCGTAGACGCGGGAACCTTATTTGTTGTGTAAAATAGGAGCCGACGACGGCAAGATATTTGAATACACGAGGTACAATGATATTCTCAGACACGAGATACGAGATGTGAAGAAGTTTGTAGACGATGGATAATTAAATACTCTGATATAGCGCGATGAGCGATCCAGTGAACGGCGATCGCGTACAAATCGTACTTGGTTGGCCTGTATACTGCCGTGGTACGACTCCTGCTTATCTTTGGACTTTCCCCTCTGTCGCCCCTACTCCCTCCGCACAATCTCGCCGTTGACAACACCGTCACCCCTCTATCAGTCCAAGCTAAAGCCATTTGCGTAGAGGTTAACCAGTTTGTCCCACTCTCTTTTGCAGAAAAAAAGGAGAGGAGTACACGAGAGCGACGAAGACAGAGAAAAAAAAAAAGAGAAATGTGTGTATCGAACGGTACCAGTGGGAAAGAATGAAAGCGAGAGGGGGATACGAAATCGAACGAAAATACCAGTTTTCACATTTTTTTTGCGCAACGCGGACAAATGTGAAAAGTAGGCAATTTTCAAGTCACACATATGTACTCACGTGCATTTTGCTATATCCTTTATTATTGCTTGCTCTCGATTATATTCGCCCGCGCGCATGAAGATTGCGAAGTATCTCTCTCAACAACATAAGGCAATTTTTTCTCGCATCACACTCGGAATATAGATATCAAGATACTTTATAATTGCTAATTTATAATCAGAAGCAGCTGTCCCTATTAAATCGTATTTAACAACGCCATTTAATATACCAATAAAAATGTGATTTAAAAAAATATTTTACCAATGAGTGTAAATTGTAATATAATTATCATTATGTAAATGTAATATGTGTGTGTATATACAATTTCATTCTATAAGCTTAGATAGAATTTTGTGTAGTATATATATATATATATATATATATATATATATATATATATATATAATCTTACAACTATATTTCACATTATTGAAAATTATATAGATATTTTGTATTATATATACATATATATCTTAAAATGGTATTGTATGAAAATATAATTTTATATATTTAAATTAGATATATGATAGATAAATATTGTAAAACTTTTATTATATTTATTATATTTATCTTATATAAGAACCCTGAATTTTTTATTTCCTTTTAATTATTTTGATAAGTCATTCAATGCTTATTAATAGATTATACTTTTTAAAAAACAAGAAATATCTTTATCAATGTTTGTATGTGATTATGAGAATAAAAAAATAATTTATGAAGATTATGAAGATTTATTAAGATTCTTAATAATGTTCTAGAATATTAGATAATTTGTTTTAATATGTAAATTATTTCTCGAATATTTATAATTTAACTAGAATATATATTCTCGCACTAATGTTCCATTGTTTGTGTATTAAATTTTATTAACAGCTTCTTTAATTCATTTGAAAGTTAAATTTATACAAACATTATTGTGTTAGAAATTTAATTTGTAATTATTAAAAGAAGTTATAAAAATATTTTAAAAATTAAAAACTTGTATCAAGTGTATTTGCTATTTTGTCAAATTTTTTTTCTAAAGAAAAAACTCAAAATTTACTATATAAACTTGACATAAAAACTTTAATTATATATTAATAATTCATTAATTGTATCAAAAAAATCCTAATTATATTATATGTCATGTAAAATCCTACATAATGTAAGATTAAAAATGACATTTCTCTTTCTCTTCAAATTCCAAATTTCTTTTCGAAATTAATAAAATCTTATCTCGTTAATTTATACATCAACAACTATTCTTATAAAAAAGATAAACAAAAATTAATATGTACTTTGTATTGAAATTTGTAATTATTTCTGTATTGTAGAACATATAAAATTATTGCTTATGTTCCTTTATATTCTGATCTTCGATTACTGACTTCTTGCTCTTAGATAAGAAGTTGAGAGATAAAATTCAAATAAATTTTTTAAATTTCTATACTCTTGTTTATGTTAATTATATTCTATAATGACAAGATATTTTTTATACATGTATATTTGAAACCTTTTAGAGAACATTTTAGAGAAGAAATTTTAACATATATATGTAATTATATATCATTTAATTTTTGATTTGAAAAAATGTGAAATATAATATCAAATATTATTATTAAGATTCTTATATTCAAATAATTGTTACTAATAAAAATAAAATAATTACCTTCTTTGATCCATTCGTCCAGTTGTTCTAAAATTTTCGTTGCCACTTGTGCACGGGAAGGATTATCATCATACATAACAGGTTCCGCAGCATTTTTAGAAAATTCTATAGACTTATCATCGAATAGAAACCAATCATTAATCTCTAATGGTGGTGTTCCACAGCCGGGAGACACCGGCTCGCTCTTCCACAACCACATTTCTTGGTCCAGATTGGATGACATTCTCAATGCAAATCGAACCGAGAGATATTAAAGAATGATGAAAAGAAATTTGTGTCGGATTAGCGACGTAGCTCGTAATGAGCGCCATAATGGCTCTGAAAAATAAGAATAAATTCCATATAAATATTGTAATAAAAGACTAAAAATATGAAATTAATTTTTAAAATTAATATATATAATGCACATCATTATAAACCTATAAATGCACACACACACAGATGCATACATACACACACACACATATATTTTTTTTTCTTTCTATTTGTTACATATTAATTTTAAGAAGAATGTTTTTCGTCCATAATATTTTAGAAATATAATAGAAATTTTTCGTCCATAATATTTTTTTTTTAATTATTATTATTAATTTTTTCCAGTTCTGTACACATTTAATTTACATTTAAAAAATAATGAGCAGTGACGTAGATGTGTAGATGTCAAATTTTGGATCGGAAGTCGTATACAATATCCCGTTTATTTACGAAAAATAATCTTCGATGATACGCACCGATTATACCGATTATACCGATGTCAGATGTCCAGTTACGTATAAACAATTCATGTCGCGTCATGACGCAACGCTAGGCTATCATCTGGCAAGATAACTCGGCGAGTTCAAAATAAATAACCCGTCTGCGATGCGAATATTTGGGTGATATATTAATGTAATATACAATTCGGGGATGATAAATTCATCGATATAAGAAAGCATGGTAATTTGTTTTTGCGATGACTCGCACTCGATGACTCACAAGATGGCCAGAGTCTTTTGTAGCACACGCGAGAGACTCGGACAAGCGATGTGGGATGCAAGTACTTTACGAAATAATCGATATTACTTACTCCATGATTACTTAGGGAGTGTCGGCACACTTGCGTGTGCAAGCTTTTCGTTGAACTACGAACTCATCTTGCACGTATTCTAGAACGCAGAGAAAATCCAAACGTCTTCCTTACAAGCTTCATGGATAAAGAATGGAAGGAAGAGAGAGCATGAGCGTCCTCTTCCGCCCGAGTTCGATCAACGGAGGTCACGTGACTTTTCCCTCCACTTTTCAGAGTACGTTTCACTTGCCGCTACCAACGCTTGCGGAGCCATTTTTCCTCATTTCATCTTTGTTGTTCAGCGAAAATTAAATAAAGATAAAATGACAATGCTCGGGAGCGTTGCAGATGTCAAGTGAAACGTATTCTTGGAAATGTATTGGAGAAATTGGTTGAATTAAATTAATATTGAAGTACGTAGAATCGTGACGTAAGAAAATTACGAAATTAATATTTCCTTACGTCATATCATGTGTAGATCGATTGCTTCAGAGGATGTTATTGCATTTCGAGAATATCGATTAATTATCGTACAAGGAAATTTTAAAGTTTCAAAAATTTTTCACATTATAATAATCACATTAGTTTTTAAGATTTTGAAAAATTTCACGTAAGTTTCACGTAGTTTTTATAATCAATTGTGTTCGACAAATTTGTGAAATTTACCATAGACGTATAAAGTACATAGATGGAGTATTAGCTGCCGATTAAATACACGTAAAATACATAGGTGGAGTTGTAGTTGCCGATCATAGACATATAAAATATATAGACGAGCGTTAGTGTAAATATATTTGTATAGTTGATAAGTAATTAGTCAATTCCTTAGTCAATATATTAATTCCTTAGTCAATATATTAATTAGTCAATATATCTTAATCGAAATTGCTCTAATTTTAGATATTACAAATACACATAATCGGTTGAAAGAAATTATTTTTTTTTATTAAATTAAACAGTGTAAAAAAATTTATCAAAATTAAGTATTTCATTGACGGACATTGTGGAACAGAAAAATCACAAACTATTTTTATTTTTATTAAACTATAATATATAAATGATACAAACGATTACAAAACAAAAATTACTTTTGCAACTTCATTTTCCATCATTATAATATATCAGACAATTCTTGTGTTTTCGATTTACAATTTATAAATATAGTACAGATATGCATCAAATAATAATTTTATTAATTACGATGGCAGAATTAAATATGACATCCCACAAACGCCAAAGATGTAATCATTTTTCTCTCGTCGTACAATAAATTTAAGTTCTTGATAAAAAATTTTGCTATAATTTTTTTATTTTTAACAAAAAATTATATGATCACTGATCTGATTATATTTTTTATTAATTATATTAACTTAACGTTAAAGCTTGCGTATCAATACATATAGTATACAATTTTCAATCGACATGGTATATTTTTAAATGACTCTTTCGATTTCGATTGAATAAATCTGCTAATAAATCTCTTTCGATTTCAATTTGAATCTGCTAATAAATCAAACATTAAAATATTGTTTATGAACAGGAATATTTATTTTTATATACTATATACTTATATGTATATATCCGATATATATTTCTTTATCTTATATATGTATATATATAATCTAATATATAATATCTAATATATGTATATATATCGAGTAGGATTTTACATAATCGTCTTGCACCTGCAATATTGTATAAAAATATTAAGTTGTTGAAGAGTTTGTTGAACATATTATCAATCTTCTCTCAAACGAAAATTATATTTATATCTTTTATAATTTGTATGTATATATATCTTTTATAATTTGTACCTATATATCTTATATTTATAAACTTATAACTATTAACATATTATATTTCTTTATTTTGTCTCTTTAATATTAAAAAATATAATAATCAGCAATTCGTTATAATTATTTATGTTTAATTAATTCACGAAAATATAAAAAATACTTATATAACAACAATATTATTGCAATGTTTTATTTAACATGTAATAATATTATTGCAATTTTTTTCCTTGTCCTTTTTGTTGGAAATAGTCTTGTCTTAAATTCTCATTGATCATTTGTCCAATTTTTGTCCTGAACCATACAGGCGATGTTAAAGCGAGTAATTTCTGAATGCTATGTGCCCAGTATCCTGTACTATTATCCATTTTACCAAGAATGGCAATGGCATTTCTTGAATAAGTTGCGGCATCAGGCACAAATATACTTGAAACCTGTGATTTTTAATAAAACGTATATACATTAAAATTTCAAAAGTAAGAGTAAATAAGCTTTTAAAAGAAAGCAAATCCAACAATCTTTGGAAGAACACTCAATAGAAAATATAAAATAAAAGTATAAAATTATAATATGTAGCAAATTTTTCTTGTACAAGAATTTTAAAAAAATTTAATTATTTTAATATTTAATAATAATTCAAGTACCTGAAGCCTATGACTAAATGCGTTCATTTTAGTATTGACGTAAAGAGGAGACAGATGCTGAACGGTTATGCCGTATCTAGAGTATTCCGCTCTAAGTGCCTCAGAAAAGCTCTTTACGTATGCTTTTGTGGCTGCGTATACCGTCATTAACGGCAACGGTTGAAATTCTGATCCGGAAGAGACATTAACAATCGCTCCTCGTCTATGTTTCTGCATGTCTCCGATAACCAGTCGTGTCATTAACGTAGTCGCACCCACGTTCACATTGATAATATCCCACAGTTCCGTTTCAGGCACCTCTCCAACGTACATGGGGTATTCATATTGCTTACCCACATTATTAACTCAAATAAAAAATAATGATTGAGATATTATCCAATTATATTTCATTGTATCAAAAAAATATTATTTAACAAGTTTATAGACAATATTACATATCGTCTACACTTTGTTCTATGAGAGAATTCTCTGATAGTTATGTTAGAAAAGAAAATAAGATTCACATGCATTTGATGGTCACGGATACTCGTACTAATATAAGCTATTTCTTCAATTCAAATAAGTTCAATTGTGCATCTGCTCATGATGAAAGCTTATTTTTTTCATAAAACAAAATAGATAAGTATATATGTATATATGAAAAGAACATTAAAACTTTGTTAATCGATATTCATAATCCGTTTTTATTTCCGTTTTTATTTCATCTTAAGTAATATCTTAATACGGTTCTGTTATTCACTCATAACATCTTAAGGCTATGCTTAGATCTTAAATATAGGAACGGATTATAAATGCCGGCCATTGACTATTTATATTCAATAAGTGAAATAAAATAGCATGATTATATGTCCGTCTTTAAAAAAATTTATTTTTCTAATTCTGAAGTAACGGTTTTATAAAGTAATATTGATTTTAAATCACCCGATTAATTTTAAATAATCTGATCTTAACTCCTAAGACTGGATTACGATATTCTTTCAAACAATTACAATTAAAAAATAAGCTTAATTTTACCTAGTATACCAACAGATATGTCTTGCAAATGAGAACGAATCTTGATAAAAGCATTTTCTCCTTCAGTGAAGTCCGCTGTTATAATTTTAATTTCGATTTTTGGATTTATTAATAGTATTTCTTGTTTCGTTGATTCTAGTTTTTCTAAATTCCTGCTAATTAGAATCAAATTCATGTTTCTTATTGCTAACTCTTTAGCATAAGCTTTGCCAATACCATCAGTTGAGCCAGTGACAACTGAAATATTTATGCTTATACATATTTATGCTTATACATATTATGCCACAACTTATCTTTATAATGCGCAATTAATAAAAATTTCTATATAGTTATATAATCAATTAATTTTGTTACAAAATTATTTTTGCCTTCCTCTTTTGTCTGTTTTTTTTAAAATTATCTTTGTTTTTCCTTTTTTGTTGTCTAAAAAAAAAATGTGTACAAAATGTGTACAAAATTATATAAAAAATAATAAGTTAAAAAATGTTGGAATTAAAGATTACACAAATATGTATTGATTTACGATTGATGTATGAATCTTCAAATTTAAAAATATAAAATTTATTTTTCGCAAGATTCTAAGAAATAATTTATCGTATAATTTATCGAAATAATTTACCAGCCCATTCGCCAAATTTTGTTCGTAAATCGATTGTTTTTCTATCGTATATCTGTATAATAATTTCCCATAGAGCACGCAAAACTTTCGTAGTTGGTCCAAGTAGAATCCAAAAACCAATTAAACTAACTAATAACCAAAATGCTATTGAGAGTAGCATTTTGTCTCGTTACTTTGTATTCCTATAATTATCCTTTATTTATAGGAATGCTAAAACAAAATCATATAGAAAATAGCTTTATCATTCCATTATATGTAAAATTTTAAATTACTTTTTTCAAACTTAAAATGGCTAATGTTTACAATATTAATTATACATAAAAAGATATTATAATATTAGTAAAGATTCTTACGTTTATCGATTAAATGCTCGCCAATAACGTCACTTGTTTGTATCGTTTTTTGTCAACAACGTCGAATATCAATAGTTATATCAATGTATATCAATAGTTCCAATTATATACATTAATAATGCAAGTTGCATATGTGGAATAATAATTTTATCTATTTAGAATATCTCTACTACTTTCAGAAATATGAAAATATTGTAATTCCATTATTCTATTATAAATATGTACGTCAAGAGATTGTATCAAGAGGTCTATATGTTAATAATAATTTTTTCGAGATGAAAGTGCTTCTGAAATTTCACGATCGTCTACATTTTTTTAATATTACTATATTTATTTATATAAATCGATTTTTTGCAATTTTTGCATAAATAATGATAAGGATAGGATGACCAAAAACTGAATAATTTATAAAATATTTTATATTTTAATTTGACATAATTTTATATAACTAAACTATGAGAGAAAGATAGAGAGATAAATATTGTAAAATATTTATTTTTTTATTATCTTGCCTCGATATAAATTCATATATAAATAATGAGAAAATCAATTGATGTAAAAATACGTAATTGTTTTTAAAAAAAATATGTAGCTGCTTGTTGTAAATTCATATTTTTTCTTAAAAATAACTATATATATTTTTTAGATCAATTGATTTCTCTCATTTTATATTTAAAAATATTGAGGTAACACAATCGAAAAATATTTTACAAATTATTTCATAATTTATTCATGTCACATTAAAGTATAAAATATCTTATAAACTATTCAATTTTTTGCCACCTTTATAAGTGCTTACGTCGAATATTGTGAAGAGTCGATTTATATAAATAAATTAAAGTACTTCTATTAAAACAAAGAAGATAATCTTGAAGTTTCGAAACGCCATCTATTAAGAAATTATTATTAACATTATAGTCCTCTTGATATTGTACAATTTTCGTAATTATAATATTTTCATATCTTTAAAAAAATAGCCAAGATATTCCAGGCATAAAGTTATATATATTATTATCCTGTACATACAATAAATCATGTATACAATGCATTTTATGCATGCATCTATATTTGAATCACTTGATAATGCAACTTGATATGCAATCGCTCTATGTGCAATTGGGACTATTGAAATATGTTGATAGGATGTAGAAAATACGAAATTATTAGCAATCTTTTTTTTTTAACAAAACTAATCTTTTTTTCATTTATATTTTTGAATATATTATTTTTATCACAATTAATTTTAAATCTGAGGTACTATATAGAATTAAATTTAATTTTACGCATTTACAATTAAGTTTTGTCTGGTAATAATTCACTTTAATAACTTCAAATTTTAAACTTTTTATATGACTACAGAGTCGCCATTTAAAAACATTCTTCTACGAAAGTGAAAATTTTAACCCAGAGGATTGTTACTTAAATAGACCAAGTATTTCGATAGCGTTACAAAAATAATCAATCGTTTCTGTTAATGGCATCTTTTAATAGCATATTTATTTTATCTACCTCTGCTACTGCGTTTCTTCCCGTATGTCCTATTTACTTTTATCTATGCGTCGATCACGTACTGAGTGTTCAAAGAACGAGGGTCGAAGAGAAACTAAACGTCGCTCGGGTGATTGTACAGAAGGCCAAGTCGAGAAGTCACGGCACTTTCTCCATCTGCTGAGAATCTCATGCTGCTATGCATTTTTTGCCTTCATGGTCCATATTACGTAACAAAATTTCGATTTTCATATTTAACTTTTATACATATTATAAATAGTTTATCAATAAAGATTGATATTATTTTCTTTGTCATACAATGGAATTCTATGCTTAGTCATTATGTTAAAGAATTCGCAATTTCCCGACATTGTATGTCAATCTTCTTAGATACGCTTATGTAGCAGAGTTAGGTAGCAGAAATAATCTCATTAATGATTTGACATTCACTCATGATTGTGGTATGTTGATATTAGTTTTTAGCCAATGATGAAGCTCATTGACTCACACTCGTTTAAGACCTATAATTTGCTCAAACTAATGTTCATTAATTATTATGTTTTGCAACTGCAGTGTATGTTGTAAAACTCATTTATCTGGACAATGTAATTAAAAATTTGACGAAATATATATATACATATTTTTATTATAAAATTTAAGATTAATATTCATTGTTCTTATAAATTCTTTTAATAAATTTTTTGAATCAAATCAATTTGGAATTGATTTGACTTTAGTGAAAATATCGAGAGACTAATTTATTTTTAACAGAAGTATATTGTTTGTCATTTTATTATAAATGTTTACTTTTTATGTATCTGACTAAACTTTACATTAAAATTTGATATTAAAATTCTATTAAATTTTCGAAATTAGTTGAAAAGTGTAATTTTATTATCTATTTAATTTCTGAAATGTATTTGTAAAAAGTCTATTTTTTTATAATCATTCATAATTGGAAAATTAATGACTGGATTTTTATATTAAGATATCAATTTTATTAATTAGCCAAAAAATCTATCATTAGAATTCGCAATTTCCAGACATTGTATGTCAATATCCTCTTATATATTTATCATAATTAAAATAGAAATAAACCACAATATATATTACCAGTCTTAAAATATAAAATAGTTATGACACAAATGCTTGCGTGTAATTTACATAACGAGATTACATCATAGCGCGTGTAATTGTTTGTACAGCAGATAAGTATTTTCAAGAAAGATCCTCGTATATGACACAAGTGAAAGCAAGGCGCATAAACCGCAAAGAGATGGAAATATCAGTAATAATATGCAAGATGCATGAATAATTAAGATGATATAAAATACGATTTAATTGTAAAAATATTTAAGAGACATCGAAATGTATTCAATGAATTCAAATTTTATTTCGTTTAAATAAATTATTCGATCGCTTAAGAAAAAGCATTTCATGGCTCGTTAATGTTAAAATTGATCATCGATAATACATTTTTCACGAAGTTTGTTATGAGGTCAGAATGGTCAGACCGGCTAATCAATTATGCATTATATGATTTTACATTATGTGGCTTTTGGTTTCTTTGAATATACATACCAACGAACAAAGGTGGGGAGGTCTGTGGATATATGAACCCCGGTTGAAAGAAGACTAACTGATCCGGGACAACCGAAAAGAGAACGAGGACGGAAGAGAAGAGGCGCGCGCAGCGTCTTTCACTTTACAGACCGGCACATCCTCGTTTCGTTCCTGAGGGCCAACCAAGCGACCTAAGACGATCGCCGACTGCTACTCCGATCGGCTGCTTGACCACTCCGTTCTTCTCACGGTGCGTATCCGCTGATATGTTTCGCATCGTCGAACGCGAACCCACTTCGTCGCTGTCATTGTTTTCGCTCGAAGTTTCGGGAAAGGTGAAATGAAAGGTGCCCTTCGGAAAACCTCGTCTCAAAGGTACTCTTCGAAAAAATTTGCCCCAAAAAATTTGTCGATTCGAAAGAAATTACTTGTTAATCTATCGACGCTCCGCTATTTTTGGAAGATCAAGATCTTCATAAAGTTCTGGAGAACATTGGTATGTTCCAAAGTACATTCCGAAGGATCTGCAAATTTGCTCTGATTTGGAGAACGTTCTATCTACTTGATCGTGAATAGAACTGGAATTACAAAAGTAAGTCAAGTATATTATTACAATATGGTTAAAATATTTTCAATATATATATATATATATATATATATATATATATATATATATATATAGCACGTTACGTACAAAATTTTTGGAATAATTACAATAATGTTCAATAAGATTTTTGATCCTCTTTAAAATACACATTCTCACAATATACGCTTTCTTCAATGAACGGATCTAAAACCTTTATGAGCATCATCTGGCAGCGCTCCAATTTTAATACCGAAAGACAGTCCTTGAGAAGTACAAAAAAATTTGTCACAGCTGGTTTCGAGCAACTTGCTTATTTAGGAATCACTTTTAATGCTTATGAAATATTTATGAATTAAGATATCCGGTTCGGCTTTTATGCACCCGTCATATTTTTTTTATAACGATTCGATCAATTTAACTCAGATACGAAGTCTGTGCCGATTACTCTTCGTACGCGTTACATCCATTCTATATTTGGATTTTTATATGTGTATGTAAAATATGATAACCTACATGTATTTTTTACACACATAAGCGTTACAATTAAATTCTGTTTTCTTCAACAAAATACTGATTGCGTTTGTTATTTAACCTAATATGATATTTTATAATAATACGATATTTCTCATTTTTGTATTTCAGATAAGAATTACTTATGTCTCACAAAAAGTAGTGATAAGCTCGATGATCTTCAACGCAAGATCATTTAAACTATATTATTATACTATTGTAAAAATTTTACTGTTGTAAAAATCATAACTCCATTTTTTTAAAAATAATAATAATGAATAATAATATCTTTAAAAAATTTATTTTTTTTCTTGCTAAATTTCTTGTGTGAAAAGGAATAGTAGATTTGTATGTGTATCCACAGAAGATAAAATTTTTCAATTTTCAATTAATTCTGAATACAAAACAACATTTGCTACCTATTTCTGTAATATAAATCATGAATATCAAAGAGAAGATATTATCTGCATTGTAGTACGATTGTACTTGCGTTTCTTGTGCTGTGACCGTAACATTGACCTAGAAAGTTACATTGCAGCTCATTTCCTTATTGTCTGTACCGAAGAAAAGAAAATGCGACGAATTGATAATGAAAAATATAAAATGAAAACATTATAAAAAAAGAAAAGAAGAAATATTGTGCAACGCAATGCCGTTATATGAATAATTAATTAAATACATAAAAATATATATATCATTTTATCATATCTTAAGCATTTTTAATAATAATTATGGTCTCTTATAATATCACTAACGATGTACAAAATTAGCTTAGAAATTGGTTCGTAAAAACTGATAGCACAATTAGACATCCTGTTAATAGTTGCTTCATTTCTTGTCCTAAATAAATCAGGTTTTCATATCCCCATCGATAACTGCAATTACCTACTTACATTTATTGCTAACAATTTATATATAAATTCATATATAAATATATTTGTTTTTCTTTGAAATTTTATGATAAAACATTATGCTAGATTTTAAATTTTTCCTGTAAATATTTTTCTCCGTTTAATAACGGAGATGATAATAAATAATTTACTTTAATTGTTCATAATTGCACAATTATATAAATAATACTTATGTGTTCGAAATATTCTGTAAATTTTTAAAATTATATCATCATGATATATAAATGTATAAAATCTGAATTATCTTATCGCGCACGTATTAACAAAATTCTCTAAAAAAGAGTGTTCTATTTCACTTTAACCGATGTTATCTCATACATTTCATAATGAATCGATAATTTAATCATAGTAAGCGTATTTCACTCACATATCAATTATATATATTTAAAAAATTGATAGTAAAAATATAACGTTTAAACTTTATAAAACAATTATAATTTTGCAATAATATTTTGGTGAAATAAAGAACTGTATAAAATAATAATAATATCCTGTTTTTTTTTTTTTTTTGCAGAATCAGATTTTTATAGATCTGTACAATATTTTACAAAGAAATTCAATGCTCGCAGTGAACAAGGAAAAACGATGGCAGGATGTCGAGTGTGGAGGATAATTTTAGTCGTTATCATTATGTGGGAAACGACCACAAACGCAAACAATGCGAACGTCGCGCAAACCACTGCAAATAAAAATGACAAGAAACTGTTGGAGCCGAACAAATACATTTATTCGTGGACAGGGCCAAATGCCTTGGTCAGATCGGCTTTGATAGATCGACAGGAAAGATTGCAATACAATTGTGAGCTCGAAAATAGTGAAGCAGATATCGAGTTAAATCCAGAATTGTTCAGAAATGTTCTTGTGGATGATTTGCATGAATTACTTTATTGTTATGTTCCAAAGGTTATTGCTAGATTTATTGTATTGTTCTCATTAAGATTATCTGTAATTTATGATAATAATAATAATACTGATTAAATTCAGGATTAAATTCTGTATATTTAAGAAAAAATGTTAAAGCTATTTTTTATATGTGTATTCTAAAGAAGCGATTTTATTTTTCAGGTAGCTTGCACAAATTGGAAACGCGTATTAATGATCGCGACCGGAAAATGGCCCGGTAATGATCCTTTAAAAATACCGGCCGATCAAGCTCATTCCTCGGGTACTTTTCAAAGATTAAGCAACTACACCTTGCCCGAGATAGAGAAGAAATTGGCGACGTATGACAAGCTGATTGTCGTACGACATCCTCTGGAAAGACTTTTATCAGCTTATCGAAATAAATTTGAGACTAAACACGAGAAAAGTGCAAAATATTTCCAGAGTCGTTTTGGCAAAAAAATCATCAAAGTAAAGAACAAATTTTCTTCTAATTGAAATCTAGTACAATTTTTTATATAACATTTTTTGATTGGAATTTATCTAAAATATTATAAATTTTGAACAAACTGAACAAACTGCGCGAATGTATGTTCAAAGTAATTTTACATTTATTGCAAAAGAAGTTGGATTGTGAGTCGCATGAATCCACATGCAAAAAATTAAGCATTATAAGAGAGCTAAATGCTTATTTCGTCAGTAATTTCATCATATTTAAAAGTACCGTATAATTGCGGATTCTTAGAATATAATTAGTAGTATTGTAGTTAATTGTGTAGGCTGTCTCACCTTCATGGTATTAACCGTTAATGATACGTAGATTCCATATATAAATGAAGAAAAATTATATAACTTTTTTTTAATATTAAAAAAGTTATGTAATTTATTAATTATAATCTTAATGAGAGACACAATCTTTAACTATGTTAATGACTTTTACTTACAGAAATACAGATCAAATGCCACCGAAGATTCTCTGAAGAACGGTGATGATGTAACGTTTCGCGAGTTCGTCGATTTCGTTACCGATGATTCCGAGAATGGAACTCGAAATGAACATTGGAGATCGATATACGAATTGTGCCAACCATGTATAGTTAATTATAATCTCATAAGTAAATACGAGAGTTTAGTCGAAGATGCTACGGAAGTTCTCGAACGAATAGGCGTCTCGTCTATGAAGTAAGCATATTATCACAAAGTTATCAAATTGTTATCACGAAGTAATAAAAAATTGTTAAATGTTAGAGTTACAATCTTACTGATAAATTATTTGCGCAGTTTTCCAGCTAAGCCATCAAGCAGTGAACCGACATCGAGAAAACTGGATAGATATTATTCTACTTTAAGTTACAAACAACTTCGTAAATTGGCAGATTTGTACAAATTAGATTTAAGGTTGTTCGATTACTCGTTAGAGGATGTGCTGGGATTTTCTCTGGCTTAAGTCGTCCGTTAATATTAATAGAAACAGGTGTACATGATGTACAAGTTTAATGTCAGATCACTAATGATAGCCTCGTGTTTAAAATCCATATAATATAAGCACACAAGACAGTTCCATGCATTAAGATAAATAATTACTACGTTATATATATATATATATATATATATATATATATATATATATATATATAGGATATTCTGAAATCTCAAATTTCAATTTTAATGATCAATTCTTTAAACGGATCTTTGATGAATACTCTTTTTATTATTAATGAAATGTTATACTACCTCATATATTATAGCATTGTGCTATATATTGTAGAATTCTTTCTTAAATCATTAATTTATAAGAAAAAAAATATATGTAAATCTTACCGTATATTTTATTTTTATATTTTAAAATATGTATTTTATATATTGAGATAACTCAGCATTATTATGAGCAAGCAATCAAAATTAATACATATAACAGATTCTTAGATATGTTAAATAAGCTATGTTAAATAAGTGATTGAATAAATACAAACTGTTTTATAGGTTGTAGAATATGCAAGTTTTTCTCTTTAATTTATCCTGAAATTCTTTTGTAATTGTATGCCAAAAGAATTTAAGGATAATTAAATTAAAGAGAATAAAAGAGAATCTGTGTTTTGTTTGTGCCAAGAGAATTACTATTGACTCCTAAAGTCGAATTTCTTGAAAGTTGTATGAAACATACAATCTTTATGCTTGCAATCTTTATATCAACAATTTATAGAACGAAATCTTCTCTAAAGATATTCCTTATTTATACGCATTTTATAAATACGTAAATACATAAATGTTTCTTTTTACTATTTTCGTAATGTGTCATATCGTATTTAAAGCTATTCCTTTGAACGCAGCCATATTTGCGTGCCTATGGATATTACATGGAATATGTATTAACGTCTATGATAAAATTCTATATGAATTTTTCTATTCAGAAAGAGGCCGTAAAGAAACTGTATAGTTACCAATCAATCATATTTTACAGATAAAAGTGCATAGTGTATATAGTATTGTCAATAGTATAATATGCGTTATATGTATTATGTATTCAACAATAAATTATATAATTAAAATATTGCTAATCAGTTATCTAACTAAACGACTAATTAATTATCTCAATTACTGACATTACAATTAAATTGACTCAATAAGATAGAAAATAAAAATAATCGAAATGTAAACTATAAAAAAGCCAAAACAGCGGAAAATGAGAATATGTCTATATTAAATTAAAATTAAAAATATCATATAAAATCAATCAATCTCTTTTCAATCTTTCTTCAGTAGAACGATGTATAAATTAAAATTTATAATAATTTTATTATTGCCTACATTTATATTGCCGTTATAAAACTATACGGCAATAATTTCTTGAGAGAGAAAGATGGATATATTCCGATATTAATATATTCCGTAAACCTAAGTTTAAATCTATTTTTGTGTAAATAACAATTTCTGTCAGTTTTTAGAGTAGCCCAGTTTAGTGAAAAATATGAGTGAGAAATATAGGAGTATCTGGTACATGTTTTTCACGAGGAAAACGTGTTACATAACGACCAGCTGGAGTTCAAGTCGGAAGTGTTCGTACATTGTGTTCTACATCGAGATTGATGCCTGACTAAACGGGATAAATTTAAACGGGAGCTCGAAAATGATGGACGGCCTTCTATTGGCGCACATCGGTTAAAGAGTGAAAACTTAATCGCGAGCAACAGTTTTGGCAGTCCCCAGAGTTGAATATGTTTCAGAATAACATGACGCATCTTGCAATTTCTAGTTATGCTAATGGACCGAAGCATATTAATTTCACAATGATCTTGAACTTGTCAATACTTATCTTACTTTCAATAATATTATTCGGCGAGACGATCAAAAATCATTTTTGTCAGGAAGTTATGTCTAACATTCACAATGCCTTAATATAACTCGAGGTAGCGGAATTCGTTATGTGCTCTCCGGAAATATTAGCCGATGGTGGGATCTCGTTTTCTACCAATCCTGAAGCAGAAGATGGTCGATGGAAAGGTGCGACATAGTACGCGCGAATGAACGGGTGGGGTTGATGATGGTTCCTGGAGGAATTTCGGGATCACAGAGGGTCCGAGTGCGTGGATCCTGCGCCGCGTGATCTAGTCTATCATTACACGTAAGACGACGAAGAACGCATTTCTGAATTCGAGTTACTTCGAAGTCAACAGTTTTGTGTTTTCATATATAATAATAACGTTTACAATCAAAAATAAAATTCCAAGCATTATAGCAAAATCTCGTTCAAAACATTCGCAAATTATAATAATTCAAGCATTAGTGAGTATCGCCGTTATTTCTCGAATGAAAACCGATCAATTGCCTGCAATAAAAGTAATAAAAATATTGAAAATAGTGGAAAATATTATGAAAAATGGAAAATGTTACATATATAATTTAATTGTAAATTGCTGAAAATTGGTTCAAAATATTTAAAGAAAGATAACAATTTATTGTTTTACTTTATTTGGCTATTACGTATAAACTTGCTGGTGTATAAACTTACGTAAAAATTGATTAAAATAAATTTTTTCGAATAATAGTAAATATAGTAATGAATTTTATATACAACAATATAGAGCGTGCTGTCTATACCAACCAAAAAATGCCACAAGCGGCCCACGAGACGCAGAATATTTTGATGACGTATTTCATTCTTATACTTCTATTAATCTCACTTTGGGTATTATACTCGGGGTTATTCTTTTAACTACAACAGACATTCCTCATTATGGTAAGTTATCATTAATAAATGCATTTAAATTTTATTTCATATGCAAACTATTTACTTGTATCAAGTAAATTCTTAGATTTTAAAAATTTTTTTCATATAATTTTAATTCCAATATAAGTATTATAAAATAGCATAACTTCCATTTCCTTTATAAATATATATCAAAATTATATGAGAATTGTAAAAACATTTATAATTTTAAAAATATGTTACTATGCATATGAAAAATTACATAAAACAAGACTACAATATTGAAGATTTTGTTACGTTAGTCATTGAAATCTCCGAACAGTAACGCAATTTTACTATTTATTGTATATAATTTGACAATAATTCTATATTCATCTTATGATTATTTTTTTGGACGTTTTATTATCAATTAATCATAATAATAATTGAATTCTTAATAATATAAATTAAGGAAATATCTCAACTTGCATTTAATTGATATCTTAAATATAATATGTATATTGTAATATGAATCGTATTTTAGGGCTGAAAAACAGAGAAGACATGCTTGTCAAAAGGCGGATGCATTCGAAGGATCCAAGATGGACACTTCATTCGCAAAGCTTACCATTATTTACTATATTTTCCTTTGGTGCCTGAAGATAAATGCTTTATACAAATCGCTTTCGAACTCTTAGTGGCCGGTTTTTACGATGAAAATGATTTAACAACATATATACACCAGAAAACGAAATGATTTGAAAAGGCTTACTTCTATTATCTTGTATTTTGTATTTTTTGCTGCTCTATCGTGAAAATTGGCCATCTAATAAAAATTAATTACTTATATATTACAATAATATATTATATCTTTTAAGAGATCACTAGTAATAGACACTTTATCTGAATTTAAAATGATTTATTATTTCATTAACATTTTTACAGCTAAAATGTACACCATCATTGAACTGTGTTCATAAAAATAAATATATCAGATTGTTTCAAGTGCGTTCATATCGGGTCCATTTCGTTTACTTTTATTTGATTACGGCATCATGTTCTTTAAATTGTTGTTTATTGTAGTACATTTTTTAATATATAACATCACATATATGATACCATAAAATAAATCTTTTTGTTTGGAATGCCGGCTGAAGTTTATTTTCTCCGGAAATAATTTACCATTATATATTGATTAGCTGTGACATTAAAAAACATAATTACGAAAAATAATTTTTGTTACAAAGTGCAACAAATATAGAACGTTCTAGAGACACGGCAGGTATACCCGCGAAAGATACGTGGGCGTTTACTCCAAAAATAGTCGATGCTTCCAGCTCTCAAAGTTCGACCATACGTTCACGTAGAACTAAATCAGTATTTTCGACAGCATTTACGAAAATAGATGACGTGATTAGTACACATTTCAATGTTGGGCAGCAATTAGCGTGCGCTGCATTAACGAAAAGCTTTCAAATATTGCATAAGACAGAGATTCCTGAGAACGTATGACACGAGTATCGAATTACTTGCTTGTTTTATTCGAAATTTCTAAAATATTCTTCGCGATATAAATATCCACCTTCCCATCCACGAAGTATCTTCTCTTTTTCACGTCGTCTTATTCAACAATTTTTATGTCTCATATATTCGCGAAATTAAATATCAAATTTATTGATCTTTAACTTTATATCAGGCTTTTTATTTTTTTATGCCATTTCTTTCACGTTCATAAATCTATCATATCTGTGATTCTCCGAAACATATCACAATTTTCATTATATCTGCATGTTTCTATTTCGAGAATATCTCTTATAATATTGCCAACATTAATAAACAGGTGTGCACAGGTGATGATGAAAAATATACTAAACGAGGTATATTTTGTGAAAATTAGTGCATCACATTATATAACAAAGACTAAACCTGAAGAAGGATCAAAAGTTACTATTATCCATATATTTGTAGATTATTTTCTCTACACAACTTGATTCTAGAGATCATCGGACATGATTATAGGACTCGTAATAGATCTTTTCACGGGCGTGGACTTAAATGTTACGGTAGCGCTCCAGTAACCGCTCGAAATAGATCTAATCGTTCCAGATTTGTGATGCTGACGATGCGATATTCGTGTGCCTGGTGTCCTGAAAGACGACACGTATGTCGACGGTGGCAATCATTTTTCGCACAATTATTTTTCCGATGATAATAAGATCGAAATATTAAAGAATTGCGTAATAGATGGAGTTACATATGTAGTTCTTTATTTTACGTACGATATAGGTATTAATAAAATTCCTCTGGGTATTAATAAAATTCTTGGTCGATGATGATTATTTTGATTTCTTTTCCTTATAATAAGAACGAAAAAATAATTCGATAAAGTAAAAAATTTCCACGGCGCTTATAAAACTAGCACCCAGTAAAAGACTAAATATGCCGCCCACGGACGCTAAAAAAATTTTAATTAAGATTTTAGAATCTATTCTTAAAATAGAGAAACAATCATTTTTACCTAGCAAATATAGTTCATCAGCAATTGGTATTGTAATCGTTTCCATAACTGTGTCGTATCCAAAAAATACTCTTAGAACAGCTTGAGAACTTGTAATATTTTTGCTGAAATAAATAATATATATATAGAAAAAAGAAGAGAAAAAAGCAAATATTTCAAGTAATTTTTTCATTATTTAATTATAACTTACTAAAATGGCAAAATATTAGAATTGTCATCATCATTTAGCAAAAGCGAGGAAGTTCGTGTTTCGTAATACACATTCCAACATGGATTCTGACATTCACACGTAAAATTTTTTGTATAGGTATTATGAAGGATCCGTATACGTTTCGTATTGTTATAGAGGCATTCGAAATCGCGCCATTCGCAGATCTGCAGGCATTATATTAAAACATGAAGCTACACATGTGTTGGAAAAGACTTCTTTTTGAAAAAAATCTCAAGTTACTCTTAAAGAATATTTATCTGCTACGGGTGCATAGTAATATGGTATGCAACCACAGATTTCTAGAACAGCTTCGATAGAACAACTAGTAAAACAATTTGAATATCGATATGCAGGAAAATATTTTAAGTTATTTTTGTCTATGCAAATCGGAGTCCATCCACCGCGAGAATTTCGACGATAATATCCGGGGAGATTTCGCTTGGTAAATGGAACTATAGAGACCTACATATAAAATAAAATCACAAAGTAGTTAGATATTATACAAGAAATATCGTAAAAAATGCTTAATCATTTTTTTTTATAATGTCGTGTAGAAAAATTTTACAAACATATTTTTGTAAAAATATTTGATTACCCGTAATTCTTCGCTTGCTTGCAAAAGTTGTCTAGTATATATGGGTCCGACGTATTCCAAAGGATGATGGCAGTATATCTATTTTAGAAAATATGTTCATACATATATTTATCAATATATAATTAATGTACATTTTGAATATATGCAATTGAAAACATATAAAAAGCAAATATCTCCATACAAATGGTTTATGTGACTATAAATACATTTCTTGGTAATATGTAAAAATAAAATTATTTTGCATAATGCCATATTAATATGCATAATTAATGTTAAATTAATATGCATGTTAATGTTAAAAGTGTAGAAATGAAATAGTTAATTTTTTATACCAAAAGACCGTAGGAATTTGTTGAATATTTCACGTTTTTATCTCTCCCATTATGGCTATTGGGCAACAAATCTCGTTTCACAACAACGGTAAGACCGGCTCTTGGTCCAAATAACATAGTTGTGCGAAGATCGGAGTCCTTCGTGATCCTAATTCGAACGAAACAAAACTACTGCATGAAACAATTATATCAATTTAAATATAATTAAATGAACATAATTACTTGTCGGTTCGTATATCATCTTCGAGAACATAATTAAAAGAACAACATAGACCTGAGTAAGCATAAGATAATTTGAACAATTCAGTACAATTTTTTTCATCGCCATCCCACCAACAGATCTCAAATAAATCTTCGCAAGGTCGCATAAGTTCTAAGAAATTTATCAATGTTAAACGATTTATTTTTAACAGTGCGTCCAAATCGTTTATGTACTTCCTATTGCCAAGTACATGTTCATTTGCAAATGATGGCCCATATCTGAGAAAACATGAAAATTTGTTATTAATTATAAGAGTTTACATATTATCAAAGATGTTTTTTTTTTTTCAAGAATTGATGTTATTTGCTTTTGTGTAAATTATATACATTATTAATGAAAAATGCATACTTGAGTAGTAATTTTGCCGTTTTGTTACTCATATTGGGTGGTAACTGCAAACTTCGCAATACTTTTTCCCGCCTTGTACTTGGTGGAAGTACTAATGGACAAACAGTAATAGCTGGGAAAGGAATTAAAGCAACTGGGGCGTGATATGATTCAATGACAGTGCGAGTTGGATTATCTCTGTAACGTATCCAAGTTTTCCGAAACATCCAAATTACAACTAAGAGAAAGAAATCGCTTATATCGGATGAATCTTAATACACATTAAATGTATTATTGCACACTTATAATTAAAATATAGAATATTTTTACATGTAAAGCATATATTTGTTACTTACACGCTAAACTGCTGATCATGATAAAAGTCCAGAAAAGCTTCCCGAGGATAGTGGATTTTATTTGTAACTTGCCAAGATATTTCACGCCATGTAGCGAACTTTCATATAGATATTCTTGCAGAAAGCGACGAGCAATTTGTTTTGTACTTCCTGTTATTTCATCGCCATACGAATCGATGTTTTTGCGCTTGAGTGATTTATTGTCTATTCTCTTCGAGATTTCTATTTGATCCACTATAATTCTGTTTACTGCATGTTTCTTTTCCCGGGAAACGTTTAACATCATGATGCAGACACACTAGAACACTCTCTTCTTAATATTCTCCCGATGATCACTGTCGCAGAATGCTTCGCTTAATGTATCGACAATGTTTTTTCTACGTTAAATTGCTTTATACTGTTGTTTGACTTGAGAATCATGTTGATTTTATCGCTCGTAAAAAGCTATATTGTTGTAATCAAATATGCAAATGTCGCATGTCAAGATTCACTTTACATTTTTTATACTTTGCAATATTAATCAAATCGATGAAAAACTATTATATTTTATTACCAACTAAAAAACAGTATGTGTCTTGAATGGTTTTATTTTCTGATAATCACTGAAAGTATAAATCGATTTTATTTAAAAAATTTAGAACGCAATATAATATACATAGCAACATAAACTAACTTGTAATTTTTAAATTATTTGATAAGAGAATTATTATATATAAAATATATAAATTCGTCAAAAAAATTCGTCAAAAAATTCATCAAAAAATTTTCCATCTTTATTTACAGAATTTCACGAAAACAATGAAACGGAATAACTAATCTAGAGAACACACACACATACAAATAAATAAGCAGCAACCAAATATAAAAAGTTATATATACAGAATAGAAAATTCATTATCAAACATATATCAAGTAACATCAAATTATTTGATCACGTTTGTTCTATATCGCAGAGTGAATTCTTCTATCTAATGCACATAGTGCCTTGATGAATTTGTGTGCAAAATATTGTGATTTAATGATATTATCTTATTATTGTCAAAAATCTTGAAAAAGAGCCAATTGATCCGGTGGTAAAGGTGGTTGGGAACGCCAGTCGGTTTCAGGATAATCATCGAAACAGCTTGCATCACCTGGCGTTTTCACACGTGGCCTTATCGGAGGTGTCAAGGCTCTTTGCGGTACCTGTGAATATGGATCGATGATTTAACAATTTACAGGATATAGACGCATGTATACGCGCGCGATAAAACTAAATTAAATATTAATAAGATTAAATATTAATTTTTTTCATTTCTATGTTTTATTTAATTTTGTATTGCATCACATGAAATTAATTAAATTGATATAAAATTACCAGAGGCCACTCGACTAATTTAAACCATCGATGCCTTTTGACGTCTTCAGCGCCCTGCCTCATATTTCCTAATCTTTTCGTTCTGTCAGCGACTAATAATTTCTTGATGAGATCTTTCGCGATAGGATCCATGTGTTTTGGCCATTCTATCCTACCGCTCAGGATCTTTTCATAGATTCCAAAAGGATTATCGTCAAAGAATGGTGGATACCCCGCCAACATTTCATATATTAAAACGCCTAATGCCCACCAGTCTACGGCTTTGTTGTGTCCCTTGCTTTGAATTATTTCCGGCGCCAAATATTCTGGAGTACCACACAAAGTCCATGTCCTAAAAATAGATGTGTTAAAAAATAGATGCACATGGTCTCTATCAATGTGATTTGAATTTTTTATGTACAAGAATTAATTACTATAAAATTTATGTACAAAAATTGAAATTAAAAGGAAAAGTAATATAAAAAAAGGAATATTAAATATATATACATAACAAGTTTTTTAGGATATTTGATATACTATATAAATAAATAAATATATATATATATATATCAACTATTAAAAATTACATATTTTAATATACAAAATATTAAAATACTTAGAATAAATAGAATATTTTTTTATTTTTATATTTTTATCTTTTCCTGAAAAAGCATTTTATCAACAAATAATTTATTTTTCTAAAGTATTCTTCTTTTAATTGACCCACCTATCTGTAAGTTTTTTCGAAAAGCCAAAATCAGTGATTTTCAGGTGGCCTTGACTATCAAGAAGAAGATTCTCAGGCTTGAGATCCCTGTAAACTATGTGTTTACTGTGTAGATATTCTAAAGCACAAACTAATTCGGCTGCATAGAAACAGCTTGTAGGTCCGGCGAACCTTCCGGCTGCTCTTAGGTAAGAAAAAAGTTCTCCGCCGGCAACAAATTCCAGTAGCATGTATACCCTGGCTTCATCTCTGCCACTCCATAGCCTGAAAAGACGATAGATTTGAAAACAAGCTAGATTGTTACGCGAGCAAAATCTCAACTTTCGCTCTTCTGATTGAAAAAGCATTTTCCCTCGCGAGAACGCATCGATTTCTCTCGCCTCTATCCAACTGTTTAATCGCGATGCGGTATAAACTAGTCATCAGCATTTGTATGTAACATTTGTACACTCTTTCTAATCTTGACAACGTTTTAACGATCTTCGCATAGATCTTTTCCTTGATTGACAAACGCATGAATTCTTTTATCGATATTATTACATCGTACATTTAAATAATAATAGGGAATAATTACAGATTATTTTAAAATAATGTATTTTTTTATGTGTTTAATAATAATAACAAATATAATACTTACATGTTGACAATAAAAGGATGTTTAACTTCTTTCAGAATTGTAATTTCATTGCGCACATGTTCAACTTGTTTCAACCTGATCACGTCGACCATGGAGAGGATTTTCAGAGCGAGAGGTGTTCCATTGTGACTGCAAAGAACTACTCTGCCAAATGTGCCTGTCCCTAGAAATTGTATCGAAACTTGTAGATTATTATTAATTTGGATTTGCGCGACTTTATTTGTATCTTAAAATCTTATAATCTTATATAATAACAATCTTTATATCATCAAATTAAATTTATAAAAATGTTACCATGCTTCTCTTTGACGCAAGATGCTATTCATTAACGAATTATGCTCCGTTTTTATAAATGAAATTCAGTACAATAATGATTTCACGAATAATAATTATACTTGTCATTGTGGAATGTTATTTACTCGAACCGATTATTGAAGTGACTGTTAATTGCTAACGTTCTTGGCATTCATCTTAATGTTGCAAGGTATGCTCTGTTTAATGCACTTTCTCACGAATGTGCAGATGACTCGGTTGTTCTAGTTAACATACCGTGACTAATTAGCGCGCGCACAAATGAGCCCTGGCTAAATTAAACCCCGAAATTGACCGTCACATTGTAGCAAGATTTAGCATATTTATACGCATATATATTGTTCCGAAAGAGAGCACGGTTTGTATCGAGTAGCGATGAAATTGGCCGCGTAACAAAAACGGCACGATACATACACGTCGTCTACCTACAGCTTCGAACAGGTGTCAACGACGAAATGCTTCCGGTGATGGCGTAATCGCTTTAAATAATCATGCGACGGATACGAATTTAGATATAACGTCGCGTAAATGGTCACGAATAAAAATTGACCGTGCAATACAGGAGATTAGGCGTTTAAAAAATAAAGAAAAAAAAAGAAATTTTAAAAATTAAAGTTTCTTTTTTTAGAGTCGCACACACATTATAATTTATCTCACGAATACAGGCTAAAATTAAAAAAAAGAGAGAGAATTTCGCACAAACACACATATATATACATATATACACATGGATCGAGTATCTGCAATTTTCTGACTACTCTCCCACATAATTTCGACTTCAACAAGCAGTTAAATATACACTGGATACCCTCTCACTCTCCGGTGTCCTACTTCCTTACTTCAAGAACGATACGCTTTATTCCTTTTCGCTTGTTTATCTTAAACTCGCGATTCAAAATATTATTTTTTAATTAATTTGATTGTATTGTATCTTTATTGTTATATATATCTATACAATTTCCTATCGATAATTTCTTGTATTATCAAGTAAAAAAATTTTTTTATTTGTAATTTTATATAAGAGTTTGTAATCTTTTATAAGTATATTCAAAAATTAAAATAAAGCAATTAAAGATTTAAATTGATTTATTCCAACAATTAAAATACTTTCACATATTATACAGGTGAGAATTATCATTAAATAAAAATTATAACAATTGTATCTACAAGGAAGCATATTTTTAATTATCTTTTTGATTAGGATAAACACATTTCAGACTTACCGATAGTTTTGATCATTTCCAAATCGTCAATGTCGTATCGCGGTGGATCCTCTTGAGATCCCTCATCATCGGATGTAGTATCTCCCGACATCGTTTACGGAGTACTGTCAAGCCGAGCTTCGTCAGAGAAAGTTTCTAATTTATTTCTCTCTCGACACGTGGAAAGAAGAAAGGAAACCCCCAGTTCAACGTTCCACACTGTGATATTCTTAGATCACGTACTGACGACGACTCGTTCTCATATCTGTTCTTCGTGACCTCTGCTCTTAACGTCGTTTGTGAAGTTTTAATTAATTGTCAATGTAATGCAGAGGTAAATTCAAATAAATAAAAATCACTAAGCGTTTTAATTGTCTTTGGAAATGTAACAAGTGTTTTCTGAATTCCGTTAAACTCTCCTGAAAAATTTTTCTTTAACACGGTCAGTATTACTTTCAAAAAGTGCTCCCCTAAAGTACTGCTCGACTGCAAGTCGAGACAGATGTTCGTGTCAACGATTGTCCTTCTCTCTGCCTCTCACTCGGAATGAAATTGTGTGAATAGATTTTTCATAAATATCATTTACCAGTGTCAAATGTGTACTGCAATAAAACGCATGTTTGAATATAGAAAACGAGTTTGCTTTCTATGTTTTCATGCACGGCAATGCGTAAAATCGTTAAACGATTTTGTTAGCGACTTTTATCTCTAGAAAGGAAGAGAAAGAAAGATAGAAGGAGTAATGAATAAAAAAATCGAATCTCTCCGATTAAATATTCTGGAAAAATATAAATTGCAAATGTGAATGTTGTTGCAGTTCTTGCTCAGGGATATCGCACGTGTATTTACAATGAGAACGACAGCAATCACCGTTCACTTATTCAGGTATCCCAGATACAGACTTTATAAGTTCGCTAAACAAGCCGTCATTCTTGATTTTAACTTCAATGCATTTTACACTGCACAATTCTGAACTTTGAAATTTTCATGATTCAGAAATAACACATTAGTTAATTTTGACATGTAACAATTGAGTATCGCACGTGCGTAATTGCCTGTTATTGAACCGTATGCTTCCCAGAAACGTCAAAACTACACCAACACCAATGCGATTTCTAGCAGCAAGTGCTTCGAATGTATATATATATCGCAGCAGAATTTTTGTTTCTCATTCATCAAATCAATCGATTTAATGATGGACTTAATAGTGATCTCGAACTCTGACTAAAGGATGATTATTATGTCATCCGTGGACCCTGCACAACATGCGATGCAGATGCCAACCAGAACTAAACTGGTCACCGAGGGATCTCAAAAGGCTGTCTATCCTATCCTTCTGTTGCCCCCTCTCTTTCCTTTGACCCCCCATCCCCTATTCGCTCCCACTTCGCGCGTGCTCTCGCTGAACATCGCATCTGCATCACGTAGAAGAGATTTATAGAAATCGTGATCGATGTTCGGAGATCGACGCGAAATATATGGATTTCTTCGAAACAAAAGCGAAAAGCTGTAGCCAATAAAGCCAGCGCAAAAATACGAATCGTTGGCTCTAAATTATGGTCGATCTCGTCTTGGCACACGTCAATATAAGTATACGCTTGCGTCAATCTCCATAAATACAGGGACAGCTTTTATCAAAGTTTATTTTGAAAATCTCGAGATTAATCGCAGTGTCACCTTTTTTCCAAGCGGATGAATCCGATATGCTAAAAGCTGTTTTATGAATCACTCTGAACGATGACTATGATTCAAAATTTTGAACGATATACTCATCGAAAAGAGAGACTGCTGCCTCGAAAAAAAAGTTGACAAATCTCTTATCAACGTATTTCACTGAAACATAGCGACAAGTTAAAAATCTTCTGTGAATCAAAAACCATCATGGACATCCTGAAGCATCCTCGTACCGTTTCATAAATCGATTATATGCCATTGGCTGTTGAAAAACGGTCGGAGCGAGTTTTGCTGACGATCGAGCGATTCCTTCGAATTTCGACTTATTTTTGAATTTGGCGATCGTCCAGATGCATTTTGCCACCGACGCTCGACGTCGCGATGACTGACGATACCTATTGGGCCCCGCTACCAATAAGCCCCCATAAATCGCGACTTTTATATTTATCGCTATGCATTCTCGATCCGCGAATATATTGAAAGCACGACATCGAAAAAAAAACATCATTATCAATGAAAGCAACGCAAACATAATTTCTAACAATTTCATTGATTCGAGGTCGTGAAAAAAAGTCAGGATGCGTAATAGTAAATTACCGTCACGAGTTCATGACTACATCCTTTCATAACTGATATTTGACGTTTCATGATGTTGTGTTTAACGTCAACATCTGTGCGATTATTATGTAACAAAATAATACAGCATAAAGTTGTAAACGAGAATTGCATGTTACGTATTGCGTCAGCTTGCTTAATAAATTATTAGCTTACACCTGTTTTAATCATACAATATGACGATTGAACTTATTTACGCGATTGAACTTATTTAACTATTTTGTCAACATACTTTTCTGTCTGATAAAGCTTGAAAAATTATCGTTGCATGTCGATCTTGTATTGCTGTGTTTCGTTCCATAATACGTGGTACATAATTACAGAGACTAAACTAAAAATAATAGTTTCCCGGAAACTCCATCGCGCTATACCATTCGATGCCAAAACGAGAGAATATAAGCCTTAATAATTATATATACCGGCTCTGTACAAGTATATTCCGAAATATCCTGTGATTATGAGACAACGGTCGATGTCTTTACGAATGAAATAAGCAAATGTGTACTGAATTATGTAAATGCTTTGGTCATCGATTACTTAATGAAATGCAACAATAGAACTACGGTTACGTAGCTGATCGGATTTAGAGATAAACTCCGTCTATTGAAACATGTGTGATCTTTTTGCTAATTACATACATTTTTAAAATATAAATTGTGCGAAAAAAAACAAATTTATATGATTCTCAATGACACTTATCTAGAAATGTACTGACATTCTTGATGCAAGTATATATTTAACAAGAAAATGCATTTCGAAAGAGGTGTCTGATGCTAAGAAAGAGAAACTGACATTCGAAACTATTTTTTTATACAATCGTATCGTTAACACTCAGACCAGGACATCAATATTAAATGACTGCCGCCATATATCAGTTAGCAGCAATGTTTACGCTAACTCAAAAAACAAATGTGTTTTATGTTTACGAGTTTCGCCAGACGGATGCTTTTAACGTCACTTTACAGATGCGAATGAGGCTTCAAAACTATCATCACAATCGATATATTTGTTGTAAAGTTCTGATTTTAATTCTAAGTCAATATTAGCATTCGCGATGACCATGATCGAAGATTGATGGCCAGTAAAACAACCGTGAAAACAACGTGCAAAATGTGATCAACGTGATCAATTAAATACATTACCAGAGACAAATAGTTTGGTTGTCAATATTTTTACTACAGATCTAATTCCCTGATCGTAATACATATAAAAATTTACTTTTCGAAAATTTATATTAAAAGTTTATGCTGAAAAATATAAAAGTTTATTTTTCAAACTTCTATTTACTTTTTTAAAGATAACTAACCGTGAAGAAACAGATATTTCAAATTTCCACAATTTGTTTCATCTATTAAAGTTCTCACATTTCATTCTGTTTCTATAAAAAATATCTAAAAAATTCTAAAAAATATCTTATTTATTTTAAGTTTCTAAAAAATATCTTATTTATTTTAAATTTTGTAGTAAAATAAACTTTATAAAATTTGTCAATGTAATGAACTAGGATCAGAGACACTTGTCTCTTTTGTTTTTTTAAAAAATTTATCAGTCTGATTCTTGGATTCATTTACTAATTGCGTTATTGGTACACATAGATGATAATGGTTCTCATGTTATGAACATCACGTTTCTTCTTGTTTGAAACAAAACGTTTGCATGACGATGTCAAACTGTAAAAATGTCTGTATCTATCTTTCAAGGACAGCGAGTCTAGGAAGTCGTTGGTCAGCATGATGTCAGCATCGCCCACGATTTCTGGATGTAGATCAATTCGTGTGGGTATCTAGAAATCAAAAGAATAGATACGTCGTTCAAGAATACGTTACCGCAAAATTGCCTCATTGCTATACCATTGTTAATCCTTCTATCTTTGCCAAACTTGTACGTTCAAGCGTCCAATTTTCTAAACGTTGCATCCGCTGTGTCATTGATTAATGTACTTCGTTAGGTTTGACATCTCCGACAACTTCATTATTTTCTTCCCTTGAAGCTACGATAATAAAGACTATAGAAACGAAGAGATTTGTAGGCATGCTTCGTGTCTGCTTCATGCTTTTCTCAATAGTTACGAAGCCGACATTTTCCATAGCCTAACAATGATTAGCATGAGTCATCGACCTACCTTGTACTAGTATATACGATGCTCAAGTGTGCATCTACATATATACGGATAAATTTCTTATTAACCATATGTAATGTGAAATATGATATAATGATTCGACCAATTTTCATTCCCAAGTTATTTGTTCAGAATTACAAGACGATTTTCAATAGATTTGATGAATAGTATTATTTTTTATTTGCGCACAATTGAAGAAATTTTTATTAAAAGAACAAGATTTATCTTTGCTACGTTCATCTAAAGTTCGTGTCGCGAGCTATCTCAGACACGAACGTTTGTGTACGTGTATGTCGTGATGACTGCTTATAGACACGCACACACGTACGCAAAAGAGAGACAGGCGAAAAATATACACGTGCGTGTAGCTAATCGGAGGTTCCCAGGGAGCATGAAGGTTTCGCTCCGTGTTTTCAAGCTTCTACAAGCGATCCCACGGCGACTTCCGGTTCCGCGCGTCGACTTATCCGCTTCCCGTTGCTACGACAATTTTCCGCGAGTATCACGCAGGGGTGCTAAAAAAAAGTAATAACGCTGTTATGTGCACGCACAGGTTACGCTTCGTTTCTTCATGCAAGGATCCAATGTTTCAGAATTTTATCGTTCACTGTTAATTACACATGCTGCGTTAATTATACATTAATTCCAATGAAATCTCTCGCATCGTTATGAATTATGAATGAATGTAACTACGAAGTTTTCGCGATATAAAGAAGTACAATCGGATGAAAATATCTCAACAACTTGTTTATTTATAGAAAAATGCGCTATAGACCCCAACATGGAAAAATGTGAACGACCGAAAGATTTAACGCAGAAATGAGACGTTACGTGTTTTTCTTTCCAGCCCGTTTATATCACGCTCAACATGGCACAGGTGCTTACCTGGCGAGTCAGGATGCAGCCAGGCCTGTCCGTTCGTCTGATCGTCGTGCAACTCAACCTGAAACCGGAAGCGCCGCTTTCTGGCCTGCTGCCCACGAACAATGAGATCGAGAGAGATTCCTGGGAGGACGTGAGCACGATCGAACTACGAGGTGTTTTATCGACATCAAAGATCGAAAATATTCATTTCTCCAGCTGGAAACATACGAATTGAAACTTCACGTCCAGTTGCATAAGTCGTGCTTAGAATATCGCGTGCGTACTTACTTCCTGTATTGTTTCAAATTAAAAAAATATTAGATTAATTTCTTTGTTTTATGCTTATTTAAATTTGCTTTATATAATATATGTTAAGAATTTTGTCTAACATTTTTTTTAAATTTATTTCTCAGTTAATTCATAAGTATAGTACACGTTTGCAGATATATTTGACGAGAAAATAACTTTTAAAAAATGGTTGATAAAGCATGGTTACCGATATTTTCATAAGTATGGTAGACACACCGTGATACCGTACAAAGCGACACGGAGACAATCGAGAAAATCTTTTCACGGCCACTATCGTCACGTGGCGCGCGTACGTGCAGCAACAGGTGTGACGCAACAGGTAATCAAATGCCGGTATTACGATTCGCTCTTTGTCGAATCTACCGACTCTATTTCGTGCTTATCTACGATTCAAGATTACATCCCCTGCGTATTATTTTTTCATGATTATTTCGAGAATCAGTGCGAAACTTACCGGTTATCCTTACCCGGATACTATTTAGAGCATATATCGTGTACTTTTCTCTTTCTGCGCTTATAAATCGACTTAATATACTTTTTCTAAGAAAAATATAATAATTATAAAAATCAAATTGATAGAAAAATCGAAAATATAATTTATAGAAAAATTAAAAATCAAAATTATAGAACATGGAAAAGGAAGAATACATTTGATAAGTTAATCATAAATCATATGCAAGCAATTTTACGTGACGGAGTAACTCGAAATTTTACAAAATTTCTTTACGTATATATTACCTTATTCTCGATCGAAATTCCGCACGAGCATAGGCGCGAAGAAACTTCTATAGAGCTGTCGTTGCTTTTTCCGCAAGAAATGACGAAGAGTGTGCGCATTGACTTGCCTTAGTCGCGCGACAGGTGGTGTGTGACATGACTTAAGCCGCGTCGCGAATCTGTCTGAGGACCTTGACGTGGCCTTTTTTTTCACCGGACATTTTCTTCTTCTTGCCTGTCCGTTTCCGGTTGGTCCTGTCTTCCCTCCGTTACGCTTCTCTCTTTGTCTCGTCGTCGTCGTCGTCGTGGCCGCTACCAGCATTTTGCTCGACAAATGCGCTTCTCCGTGACTATCATCCGCGACGCTTTGCGGTACGTTCTTGCACAGGAGGAGGTCGTTGCTCGTTGCCAAGCGGTTGCTTGCCACGTGTACGGACGGCGCTTCCGCGACTCGAAAAATAAAGGAAATAGGGACGCGCGAACTGCTGGTCGTAATAGTTGCATTACAAAAAATCTCGGTTTGTCTCAATTTATCACGTCAGAATGTTGATTATTTCTCAAAAACAAGAGTACAAAATTTTTAATCAGAATTTAAAAAATAGAGACTTGGGACACAACTTGCATCTCTCTCAAAGATTAATGTGAAAAAAATGGACAGATTATTATATTTAATATTTTGCAACTTATATTGCAAAGGAGTAATTTTTTGCTAAGTCTAATTATTAAATTAATTAATAATAATATTAGTGATTACCATGGAAATTTACTTCGAAAGGACTTATAAGAATCTATAGGATTATAATTATAATAACTTGTGACGAAATGAGATATTCTTGCCTCTCGTGTGATTGATACATGGAGCGAACAATATTCGAACGAGTTGTTCGACCCACGTATGAGTTTCTCCAATACATACGTGTTTGATGTTTATAAACCGATAGCGAGCGTCGATGGATGTTTAGTGCCACGAAGTGTGCAGAAGAAAATGATTTTCTGGGCTTATCGCGTCGTGAAGCCGGACGCTGTGTATGACACGGGAGCTCCACGGGCTTGTTGCTTAAAATTCCCCGTGAATTCTTCCAGTGCCATTTACAGAATCCAAGCCAGTAGACAAGCCAGAAAAATTGAGGAATTTTCCGTCTCGAGTGTGTCTTTCTATTGAAACTTTGACAAAAAAATTTGAAATTTATATCGATCATCTTCTAATGATCGATACATCAGTAACATCTGAGAGAAACGCCATGTTGCACGATTCTCTAGATATTCACGATCGATAAAAGTCGTTTGTATCATTGAAACTTCTTTGCGAGACCTGTTATATTTTCTAAATATTGAGAGCTGTCCTCTATCGCACAGCTATTGTCGATTCGATGTCGCATTGAAAGATAAGTCCAGAATAAATCAAGGTGAAAAAATGTAGCAGCATAATAAAGATTGAACGATTGAAGGTTGAACGATTATAACGAAGTGATATAGAACGAATTATTAATCTCACGAAATACAATTGCGACAATGCAAATGAATCTTGATATTAATAGTCCAATAGTTAAGATTTACTTTGAAAAATTTCGAATCACAAATAAAGGATCCTGGAATCAATTTGATTCGTCTTCGCGAAGCAAAACAGAACTCGTAAACGAGAAAACATAGTCGGAGGAAACGATGAAGTGGAATCCTTGGAGTTCATAGTTTGTCGATTACTCCTTTCCCCCTTCTTGTTCTTCCGTCATGGATCGATGACTCTTCCCGGAAGCCGTGTCTGCTAGATCTCGCGGAGCGCGTTATGATTTGTTCTCCAGGTGTTCTCCACGCTCGTCCTTCAAACTCTTGTCTTAAGTCTGTCTTTCTTTCTCTACTCTTACTTCTCTGCTTCTCGACCTGCTCGCTCTCACCCACACAATCATTCCCACCTATTCTCTTTAGGTTCGATCAGCGCCGTGCTGTCGGGTTCTCCATGTTGGAATATGCCTCCTGTCCTCTTCGTTTTTTCCTTAGGCTGTAATCTGAAGTATCCATCTATCTCTTTCTATTTCTCTCTTTCTCTCTCTTTCTCTCTTTATTGTCTTTTCTAGTTATTTCTCATCATTATATCAGAAATTACATAGCCTCCTCTAGTTAGAGGTTTATTAATATACTTAAAGTTGATTCTTCCTTGATGAAAATTTTTATTATTAGTCGTAACTAATTTCAAATGTTCTGTAGTTAAGAGTATATTTTTCTGTAGTTAAGAGTATATTTTTGATACAGTATTTTACTTCGCGATATAATATAATCAATTTTACTAATGATCGAAAGAAAAAAAAAACTCAAAAAACCCAAAAAACATGTTAGCTATCGTTCTTTCGTGCTGAGGTTCCTTTTTTGCCTCTTTAATGAGTAATACAGTCAAACGGTTACGGATAGTGCGGTTTAATTTCATTGGCTTCATACCAATTAAGATAAAATTGATCCGCGACCGTCGAAAATGATCGAAATGAAATTCACGCGCCGAAATCAATTTTACGTGTAACGCGACGAAATAATTTATTTATGAAATGAGAAAGCCAATATATATGTACGAGAGAATATAACACGCGTTTCTTCAAGTTTTCCCGTCTGGTTCTCACGATTCGAATCTTCTCAGTGCGCCGTGTATATAGTTGCGATTCTTCGTCGACTATCTGCAAGTCTCTCTGTTCTCAAGCCATTCTTCCGGTCATGCCATCATTCTGGTTCTCACGGTTTATTCGAACATCGAGAAACGCGCTACGGAAATGATGGCCGCTTGCAGAAGCCTTTTAATACGTCACGGTTAAATACACTACATAACAATTGTGTATTTTAAAAATAATCTGACTGCATTCCTCCGTTTAGCGACTCGTGTAACCTCACTGAGAGATCTTATCGAATCTTCAAGTCTCTTAAAGAGAAACATAAAGTATATTAGTTGAAGTGTTTCATTCTTCTTCTCATTCAACGAAAAATATATTCTGTTTTCTAGCATAATCTGATAATTCTGGTACTTGACAAAACTGCAGTCGTTAAAAATAACTTATTTATATAGAAATATTGTGTGTGCGAATGTTCTTACTGCAAAACAGCTTATGAATACATTTAATCATATAAATTGTATTCGAATAATAAATACTGTTACGCATATATATATGATGCGAAATAGTAAATAATAAAATATTAATACTATTAAAATAAATACAAATTAATACTATTATTTAATTTCTTATCATTTCTTTAATATTTACAGTACAAAAGTAGAAACTCTTTATGAAAATATTATTCCTGCTACAATCAAGATACGTTATAACAAGATATAGATTTTTTTCTTTGATAAATGCAAACTTGTGGGATTATATCAGACGTAAAATTTGTATTGCCTTGCAAATTGAGACGCAGCAATTGTATCATCAGACAGTGCCCATTGATTTGTATAAATCAAGATATGCAATGATTGCGAAAATGCGCGCGAACGCGTGTCTCGGACGTGTTTAAGCCCCCGTTTCGCGATCTCGTAACTCTTCGAACAGGTTCTGTGTGACCTCGACTTCTCTTCTCGTTGGAATGTCCGCTTCTCTTCGTCTTTCCTCCGTCTTTGATCCGTGCTACAATTTGCCGCGCGATCCTGATTGCTCTTCCGTGTTTCGATCGACGCACGATGATGAGTCTGTATCGAAGGCACGTGATTAAAGGAGATATTACATGGGCGGTCAATTCGTGAGACCGTCATTCTTAAACTACCTTATTAATTCACATTCGTTGTGTAATAATTAAAGCCAATGATAAAATAATATTAATAAATGCGTTAATATAATGTATATTCCATAAAATGAATAATTAAGAGTGAAATCTCTTTTTCTTTTCCTAGGAATTTTCCAAACTTTTTTCTCAATCAAAATATTAGAATATTTCATCGACGTGTTCAAAGCATATTTAAGACACGTTTAAGATATAAATGAGCGACTTATATTTGTGAATCTACGCGAGGCGCAGCAAGTATTGTTACTCAAGTTGCGGGGGAAAAAACATGATACAATTTGAGCGAATAAAAAGTTTCTTCTCGGATTAGAGAATAGCACCTTGGTACCGTGACGAAAGGATTTCACGGTGACGCAATGATATCTAGGATGAGAAAATAAATGAATCAAGGAAAAGAGGATAATAATTGGTAGTGGGAGAGAAGAGGGATGAGTCTGTGAAAACAATAAAATATCAAACGAGTCCCGGGACAATGGCCCCGACACTTCACTTCATAACTTTCGAAATCTTATTAAATCATGTGGAGACTTTCGCTGTTAGAAACAATATTACCGCGAACGAGTTGATGAATTGCAGCACGTGTGTCACATTTGCATATTTAAAAAAGTGATATAGGCGACAGACTAAAGGCCAGAAAACTTGCATTTACAATTTTATCCGATACGCGTGTTCTCATACTGCATATAAAGTTACGTAATTTCCAACGATCCGGCAACGATCACGTTCCTCTTATATTACGACAGAACCTCGCGGGATTATTCGCCTAGAGTCTCTTAAGTATTACGCTACATTTGATACTTAGAAAGCCGTTTGTAATTCGTATCGCGCGGAGACAAAGCGACGTTCACTTACGCGAAACACCAAGGATTCGCTTTATCATAGAGGAAGATGATAATTTTGGATTTACGTCATCATATGTAGGAAGAAACTTATAAACGCTTGTCATCGACTGGCATCATTCTTCTGTCCCGATGATGCTTCCGTTCTTATTGCGCGATTTCTCAGCGAGTCCATGTTTTTCGTACTGAGGTCGGAGCCGGCGAATAACGGTCGCCGATTCTCGAGGACACTGACCCGATGAAAATCTCGGATACACAAGAAAGAGAAACCGTTGGGAATGTGCCCCTTCGCGGATCCAAAGAAATAGATTTCACCGCGGCGATCATTACCACCGACAACAAAAAACACCGATATTCAGTCCGGGATATAATCGTTTCCTCTACGAATGCGTTTAGAGAACGCATTGCAATTTCGTTCGATCTGGAAAAATAATTATGCGGAAAATTTTATTCGCGATATGTAAACTTTTGACAGGTGCGATATTTATGAATATTTTTTGCCTTCACTCGAGTACCTTTTGCCTCGCAGCCATAAAGTTACCGTTGATCTGACCGTCGATCGATTTCGATCTAAAAGGGATAAAGATGTCGATCAGATTTAATCAATCCTTCCATCTTAGTAATATCCGTCCGTCGATTACCCTCGTTTCTCTCTCGCTGTACTGAATGAGTATATACCTGATGCCGATCGCTATCGGTAATGACCTCCTCCTTACAATTCTCTCTAGGCTGGTCGTGCCCGTCTCCTTTTCTTCCGCAGGTACGTACCGCTATGAGAGGTCTGTCAAAATTTCACTGTTGTCCGAACCGGTCGAGTCACAGCCAAGTCTCTCCATAGTTGGCGCGAAAAAAAAAACGCAATTTCAGCGATCGCAAAAGTCTTGACGCAATCGACCGTTTTCTCCTAGAGGATACAGTTCGCGCACCAATGTTAAATAATATCAACATATATCCGACAGTACGAACGACGCGCACGCGGAAGAGAAAAGAAACGGGAAAAGATGGTAAACGAAGAAAAGGATGAAGAAGAAGAAAAGACGAATCGAGGACAAAGACGAAGAAGAAGAGTTGCGCGATTACGTGCGTACATACGCGGAGGAAAGAAAGGCAGGTACGAGAGGAAAGGCTTTTAAAGTCGAGTGCAAGCGCGCGCGGACACCGAGAGGACTCCGAACCGGTTGCTCGAAGTGACGTGAGTGAACTGAGGCTACAGGCTGGCAGGTAACGCCAGGTAAACCCCGGCCGAGTGGCGGCACACACGCGGGAGAAGAGGAAGGTGGCCGGCTGGGTGGCTGCGCCGGCAAAGCCAGCCAGCCAGCCAGCCGTAGAGACAGTCAGCTCGGTCAGCCGACCTGGGGAGCCAGCCTGCGGCCCCTGAGGCCGCAGGAAAGACGCGCTGTTGGGACGGAGAGGGACCGTGGGACGTAGGGCGGCGGCGGCGGCGACGGAGGATGCGAGGGGGAGGGGAGGGCCCGAGGGGCCCGGAGAGAACGCGGACGCGTGGTGGGACAAAGGGGAGAAGGTGGGGAAGAGAGACAAGGAGAGAACCCGGTGCGCTGCGTGTGACTCAGCTCGGAATGAGCGAATAGGCCAACAGCACATAGCAAAGGCTGCGCCGCAAAGGCTACGTGTTGTGTACGAGATACACACGTACACATACTGAGTGATCCAGAAGTGACGGTACCCTCGTCGTCGCTTTTTCCGGTATCGTCGTCATGGTAGCGATTGAGAACCTCGCGTCCGTGCAAGCAATTAATGGCGTAATCATTAGCGGTTTGAACTTACGCAATTGCAGGAGTACGTTGACTCTGAATTGAGTTGCGATGATATAAATTCTGACAGTATAAAGTAGAAATTATCTCAATGACGATGGTATCCCTTAAATAGGATGCGCGTATATTTTCGTAAAGATACAACCGGGATACCGTTCGGGTAGCTTTAAACACGCATAGGAAAGAAACAAGAATAGCTCTCGATTCCAAGCAATCGGACAGGCTTTTAATGTTGTTCACGGTTATATTAATATTATGAATAATCTTTCGGGCCGGTAAATGATATTATACGCGCGCCGAATCGTAATATGTGGTTTACACGCTGATTACATGTGCGTCATGGGAATAAGTTTCCACGGTTTATTTAATAAACCGCGCTCGCGAGTTCACGCTGCGAGTTTATGTTTGTACGGGCAATAAAATCTCTGACCGCGCGATTGTGGCCAGGCGAGCTTATTTTTCTTACGAATTAAGACTCACGGGAGATGAACAATAGTCGTTGGCTATACATCGTTCTGAGAACGGAGCATCCTCCCTTCCGCATCCTCCTTCTCTATTACGTCAATGTACCGTAATCTTTTAGGAGCAGATCAACGTAAGAAGAAGCCAACTATTTCTAGACACCGAGTGGATTTCGAATTTTCATTCAGTGCTCGATTCAAATAATCGATCATAAAAATTTCTCGATCAAAAGTCGACGCAATTGCCCACCCGGTACATCGGATACTAACTATACCTGAATCCAGCAGAGCGTGACTTTTCACGTGTAGTTACGCCAGAGTGGGGCGTATGAGCGTACCCTAGTATAGAGCAAGATAGACTTTGATAGAATTTACACGGCGGCTTCTGAGAGTCAAGAAACTCTACTCGAATCATACGAGAACCATAATGGACACAAATTATGACAGGTAATTCTTCATATTTTTTCCTTCTCTGTGTCCTTCTAAACGAACTTTTTAGCGCATTTATTTGGCGAAGGAAGAGACGTTTCGTCATCGCTTACGCATCATCCCACGGACATGGCGGACATTATCTCATTCAAACGGATCGTCATTAAGCATCGCCGATGCGACGTACTTTACTCCATTCTTCGACCGAACAAAGAGATGACGCGTCGTCAGGTCCATTCGCAAATTTTATTAAATTAGTATCGACGATAATTACCTTGGTAATTTGTCGCGCGCGGTTTATACCTTTTGACAATAACTAGACCGACCAAAGCAAAATATAAGTGTTACGGTATAAATATCTTCCGTCGTAATCGCGGATTTTTTTCGGGATAATCATTAAAGAGGATGTTAATAAGAAATGAAAAAATTTTTTTACAATTTAAAAATAAAAAAAACGACGTTTTTATATCGTTTTTCATCCAGAAATTTTATATAAATCTTGTATAGGAAAGAGGGAATATTTTAATATTATAAGAATATATAAAAGATAATACGCGATAAATCTGTTCGCCAAATATGATCACAAAGTTTATGATAATACGATATGTATAAAGATTTTATATAGTTGATGAAAACTATCTTAAATAAATTTCTTAATATATCATACTTTTCTTTTCTTATCTGCAAATTTAAGATTCCAGATAAACTGCTTTCCTAACTGGGTAACATCGCTTCCATGAAATCTTCTCAACGATGGAATTTATATTGGACGCAAGTTAACTTCATCTTGTTCCATCAAAGACACACGCTGTTCGTGCGCGATTTTGCAAAGTAGTTGATAATATATTCTCGTTGTGTTTGTGAACAACATAACGTGCACCATCTCCCTCTTTCCCATATTCTCCGTGCATTTTCTCATCTAACATCCATCGGTGCATCATGGTTCTTCTGGATTACCATGACCATCGCACGGCGCAACTGGTCTATGTGCATGGAGAAATGCAGCTGATGCGCACGGCTGAGTCCTGAGGTCAGCGACTCGTCGACGAGTTAGTGGAGCGCTTAGGCTCGCTTCAGAGATTTTATGAATTGGTGCATGGTGGAACGGTGCGGAAAAAGAGAAAGGAGAGGAGGAGAATAGCGAAAAGAGAGAGAGAAAGAGAGAAAGAGGAGCTAAAACGTATCTATCTTTTTTCCGATTCAGGTAAAAGAAGAATCTAAACAACGAATCCAAACGTGCATTTTTCTATCAAAAAGAACAATTTTCAAATTCCTAAAATTTTTACGTGCGTGTGAAATAGCACCAAACTTGCTAAGCAGGAAATTCTATCTAAATTTTCGATAAATTCAACGCTGCGAATATAGAATAAAAAAATTTAACTTACGCTAATCGTTGCGTTGTTTTTATCACCGTGGATAAATATGTACAAACTATATTTTCATATATTTCTCTAAATTCGTCAAAACTATATTTCCAGTCGCTTATTAAATAATACGCAATGTCGGAAATACTCAATTAAGTCAAGAGTCTATATCGCGTTAGTAGAGAGAAATTGCTAATATTTGCGAATCGTTCAGCGGCTCGTTCCTCCCACTTTGTCGAAACGTTCGCGATGACTGATCCACGTGATCGACTTCTTCATCTTGTACGTCTTCCTGGTCCCACCGTCGGCTTCTTCCTTTCGCCGGATCGGTAGTTGCTCGACGGAGCTACGGACGTGATTTTCCCCCGCCTTCCATCGCGCGCGGCCTCCCGCTTCGCTTCACGGTGTTCCGCTCGCGAGCTGCGGACTACGCAGGTGCATTAACCGGACATTCAGCACCGTAACGCCGTGAACGAGAAAGAGGGAGCATTTCTAACCACTAGAGTCTGCCGCTGCCATGAGCAGATGGTTGGGACTCGAATTCCTCCGGCGCCCTGTACTAAACCGCGGCGCTTAAATCTAGACGCGCGAGCGTGCACGATGGTGTTGGGTAGTGCGGTCAGTCGTCTCTTCGTGGAGGAATGTTACCCTCGGCTCCTCTCCGGGATTGATAATCGCCGGAGAAACGAATGGGAGAGCTGAACAGTCGCACGTAGAAGGATTTATTTTCAATACTCGGCGAAAGATACTCGCTTTTTTCATACAAATGCAATTAATCTCGAGGAATATGAAGGGTGTGAAGTATAAAGATCGAGCGATTCCGATCGTGTAGTTTTCTACATCTCATTTTTCACACACACAACATTCCACATTCTAATATCCGTCTTTCGTTGCATATTAGCCTTTGTATTTCCTTAGTGATTTATTAATACCTCGAGAGCAATTTTCTCAAGTCTTAAAAATACAGTTAGGTTCGTAGACTTCTAGCCCTGTTTGGATAAGAACGAGCACTATCCTGTTCCTTCGTATTCATTGTTGCTTTAGGGACTTTACGGATCATTATCGCATTTACCACGTTTCCATGAGAACAATCTAACAATACCGCCCACGCAAATCTTACGAATCGTTGGCGAGCAACGCATACGTCGTGCTCGAACGCGAACGCTCCTTTCTATGGTACCTATGGATGGAACCAACCCACCGCAATCGCGTAAGAGTACTTTTGACCATGACCTAAGATCAGCGTCGTTAGCGGCAAGCGTTAAAGTCTCTACTATGCACATTCGTTTCCTCTTAATACCATAAGGCGCTCCGAGCGTATCGCCCACGCAAACTCCGAGATCAAGAGAAGGGACCATCCTCTCTCGGTACTCGGATTTCGCCTACCTAACGACTTCTCCCATAACCGCATCATCTTAGATGAAACGTAGTTTCGGACGCGCCATGGTTTCACGATCTTTTGACTACCAGCCAAGGACGCTATTTTGTATCACATGTGCAAATATTCGACATCGTTAGACAGAGAAACGATATAAGTCAGTAGTCAATTTTTGTCATTTAACGCGATTTTGCAGCTGTCCAGCTCCGAGTTTTATTTGTCTGAAACGTAAATCATGATAAATATGAACGACTAGAATCAGACAGCAACATTTACATGCTGTCTAATTTTGTTGGATATGCGACATTCAGCTTGGAGACTAGTTCTATCGACGATGAGGCGATTTTGGCAGTGCGCCAACATAGAAAGCATAATATGCGCGAAGGCGACAGGTTACTGTCAGACTTCGACAGGTGTGCAGTCGTAGTTTCGGCCCTGCCCGCCTGACTGACTGATACAACCATATGCTGCTAACGACGACGCAGTTTTTGGCGACGTTATAAATAAAATCCCAACAGAAATTAAGATGCGGGGTCTAAGACAACATCTGAGAATATTTACTGGATGTTTTTCACGATAAATTAGCTTTCGTCACGCTATCGAGAAAATAGAAGGGTCTACAGATTAAAATAAAGCAAAAGTTTCTTAGAGTGATGTTTACAAAGATATATTCATGAAGATCAAAAGAGAAAATATTTTGCAGGATATTTAATTCAGCCGAGAAAATGATTTTAATTTAATAAAATTAATTTTTCTTATTAAATATTAAAAATGTATATTAATTTATTTATATTTATCTTTGAAAATGTTTTTATTATTTTATGCGTATTATCTTTGAAAATAAAATTATCTTATAAGAAAATTCATTGAATAATAAAATTATACAGTACAATATAATGTGTAATAATAATATAGTATATATAAAATAATGTAATATAAATTTTTCCAGCAAT